GCACTGACAATATTATCTGATTACACTAATAATGAGTGCGTAGCGATTTCTATGTTGATTAGCGCATGGCTTTTTGTTGTTATACTGTAATTATTTATATATATAAAAAACTTCTATTAAAAAGAGCAACACTCAAGTTTCTTGCTCATTCTTCTTGTGATAAATGAGTGGTAGAATCAAAATATGACTATTCAAGTGCTTGTAATGAGTTTATTTGAATAAAGATTATTTCTATTCCTAATTTTACGCTTGTCACCTTGGCGGGAAATTGTCTATGACTTTTCAATGGCAAATATAATAATCTCAGGACAATTCACACAGCGCCATCTAGTCCCAAGTTAAGCTAGCTTGTATATATTTTATTCGTAAATACATACATATTATACGTAGAAAATACCTAGACCGATACAAACTATCATACTATACGTAGTTACACATCGACGGTTAAATAGAAAAATAGCACTATTCAATTTTAAAGTTTTTTTAAATTATTTAATCCTTTGATGTTTTAAATTTACACAGAATTATTATATATGATTTTAAAAGCATTTAGATAATGATTAAGATGGCGTGGTTAATTTAATTGACTTATATAAAAGCAGACAATTCTAGCTTTAAATTATGTTCTATTATCTGTGGTTCTATCTAGCGATCGAAATAGTCTTTCTACAAAGCCTAGGAGCCTCTGTCTGAACTATTTCAGTCGCCATTTGCAACTAAGTAGCTTAGCATATATGTAGGTTGAGTGTGTTAAGTCGGTAAAATTACAGGAAAATTGTAGGTATAACATCTTAGTCCTTACTAGTTAAAATCGACAAGTTTGCGTTTTTCTATTGTGTTGTGGCGTGAGGATGGCCCCTTGGATAATAATAAAGGCGAATTATGAGTAACGACGATTGTATGATCTTTATTCGAGCACAGGAAACGGACAAAATTAAGAAATTAATTTATTTATTTATTGTACAATATAGTGTTACATTTATCCTTATGATATAAGGTGAAATGCCTAAATAGGATATATATATAGAGGCCCTGCTCCCTAAATAGGAAAAATCCAATCGCCCAATACCATAATTAATTTAAATAACCTAATTGTACAACTAAGAACCTAAAATTAAAAAGCTTAAAAAAATATATAATATGATGACTAAAATATATTATTAAAAGGGGTCCCTTTAGGCAACGTTCCGAAGATACTGGCAGCGTTCCCTCTTTGAATAGCTAGACTAATTCTTTGTCCAAGGTAGCTGACAGCTCTTCGGTCTTCTGTGATGTCGACTAACCTTTTCGTTATTTCTTTGTTAGACCCAAGTTAGAACATTTTTAAGGTTCTATTGTCAAAGATTTCTTTTGTGTGTGTGTCAATTACATGGTAATTTGAATAAAATGTTTTTGTATATAATATATAATATATTTTTTTATGCATAATTAAAAAATATTAGCATTCTGTATTCCTTCTCTACATAAACTATAAGTGAGCGCAATTTCATACTTCTTTGTCTGCATAATTTTCGCAAAAAGGGGAACCAAGTTTTACCTTCATATGTTAATATAAACATATTTGAGAGTGTATATGCAAGCTTACGGTTTGCAATTGCAACAGTGTAATGATCCGAACATGACTGCATATTATAAATTAGTTGATTGCAAACAGTTTCAAACATTGTTACTAACATTACACAATTCACTGAAACTACTGAACATTACGATTAATTCAGTTACATCTTACATAACTCATGTTTTAAGTGTGAAAGTTAAAAACAAAAGATTAAACCGAACGGTTTTTACAACGGTTGTCTTGTTAAATTTCACTAACAATTGGTATTTGCTATTTTTGTTGGGTAATAACTGAATAACCTTAACAATTAGTTGGATGCTTAACTAAAATAGTCCATTACATAATTTTAAACGCTGAAGACCTGCAGTTTGAATACTAACTTCTGAGGTACTCGATTTGTATGTTTAGACAATTGTGTAAGGAAAGAAGGGAATCGCTATATGATTCATATATATATATTTAAAGACTATATTGAAAAGAACATGTGGATATACACTTTACATAAAAAAATAGTAAACAATGAATCTATACATATAAATAAAATTGGAGTGTCTGTTTGTAATATTTAAATAACCGTTTTTTAATACATGCATATGAATATAAATACGGTACATACACAAAAATTTTTTTTTCGATTTTTTTCTGTCTGTCTCTCTCTGAAATCTCTGAAATGGCTGGACCAATTTTGACAGGACATGTTTTGGCAGGTAGCTGATGTAATAAGGAGTAACTCAGGCTACTTTGATTTTAGAAAAATTATATTATTTTAGAAAAATAAAGTTAATTTCAACGCTGACGAAGTCGCGGGAACAGCTAGTCTAAAATAAAACTGCAGGTTTATTGTTACTAGTATATATCTATTCCATTTTAGACAGAAATAATAAGTTATTTTCAACCTAAATTTTATATTCCATAGGTATCATGTAATTCTATCGTTAGAGCTCTTTTTTTATATATCGTATTATCTAAATAAAACATAATGAAAAATTATTGAAAATTAAATATTGTTTGATTTGCTTTCAAAATCGGTTATCCGGATTTCCGATTATACGGAATACCCCTGGTTTTATTTGATCCGGATAATCGGGGTTCCAATGTATGTGAATTTTCATAGCTATTTAGACTTAAGAATATATAGAAAAAACTAACACGCGAAGTTACCTATTTATATTATTAGATTTAATTAAAAACTATTCTGGTAAAGTGCCTACTAAAAATATAATCGGCGCAATTCAAAATAACAAAATTGATGTCTCATTGAAGGAAATAGGATAAATAAATATTTATTATAGTTCAATATTCATTTTCTATACTGCTAATTAATTAAAATGAGTCCTGCTATTTATTATTGACTATATATATACCTACCAGGGATGGTATGGATATAAAATTTCGGATACGGATAGGTTTCGGATATAGGAATGCTTATAATACCAGATACGGATGCGGATGCGGATATGAAATTATTTCGGATTATCCGTTAGTTTCGGATAATTTCGGTTACGGATATTAATTTTTTAAGGAATTTCAAAAGTGAAATAGTAGCTAATAAAATGGTTACATAACGTGTCTCAATTAGGCTCCGTCTCTATCCGATATTATCCGTAACTTTTATATCGGATTCGGTTACGGTTACGGATATTTTTTTATATCGGATATCCGATAGTAGGTATATATAGGTTACCGTTACGGAGCTCCCTAACATCCCTGATACCTACATATCTACCTACTACTATACCTACATATTCAATATTTGGACCAAAGAAAAAATAACCTTACCCAGTGTTCAATAAAAACTCTATATACCTAAATGCTTTTTATGATAATTAGGTACCTACGGTAATAGGGAATACTGGACATCATACAAATAAACAAACTTGCAGTTTCCTCCTACTACTTATTATTGCCTATACACACATTAAAAACCAGCTGTTCCCGCGACATCGTCCACGTGGAATTTAACTTTATTTTTCTAAAATAAAAGTAGCCTAAGTCACTCCTTATTATATCAGCTACCTGCCAAAAAAAAGTCCCGTCAAAATCGGTCCAGCCATTTCAGAGATTAGCCGGAACAAACAGACAGACAAAAATTGTAAAAAACGTTATTTTAGTGTATGTACCGTATTTATAGTATATTTATATGTATGTAGTAAAAAACGGTTATTTCAATATTACAAACAGTCAATCCAATTTTATTTATATGTTAGATACAGACAGAGAGTTTAGATTCTGACCTAAGGACAAATCGTCTAATTTTCAATAGAAACTCTATATAAATACTTTTTTAATAATTAGGTATTTATGGTAATAGGCAATACCGGAATTTATAACAAACTGACTGAATTTATACTGAGGGAATTACCTTCTGATCCTATAATATTAATAATACCTCAGGATAATTCACACAGCGCCATCTATAGCCAGCAATAGCTGAGTTTGTACCTATTGCCAATCATATTAAATATGTATAAATGTGTAACTATGTAACTATACTAATATTGGCAATAAATGGATTTATTATTATTATTATCTATTTCTAACCTGAGCAGAGTTTGTGTTGTGCGTGCCTACCTACTAAATAACTGATATAAATACATACATAGATATATATTTTTTGTATATATGTTACATAGAAAACACCCAGATAAAAACGATCATATTCATACAGACAAATGTGCGTACCGTGCGAGGAATCAAACCCGCGATCATCGGAATTAACAGCTAAACCACCGCGGCCGTCAAGATCTACCTATACTAATATTGTAAATCCGAAAGGCTGTCTACCTGTTGGTTAATAATTAATTAATTAATTACTAATTCTAATATTCCCAGAGTAGATATAACCACCAATTATAAACATATGTACATGATACAGAAAAAGTATATGTTCCAAAGAAATGGAGGTAGCTCTAAGAGCCGTGAAGGTGAATAGGGAACCAACTCAGCATAGAGCTACAGATAAATCTGCAGAGCTGATATTCTGTTGGCTCATTTACTTAAAAACATATATGTTCAGATCGTATTTCGGCACTTCTAATATATTTGAGATTCATAAAATAACATATCTTAATATTATAAACGCGAAAGTTTGTAAGAATGCATGTTACTCTTTCAATCAAAAACTACTGAACGGATTTCGATGAAACTTTACAGTAATGTAGCTTATGCATGAGAATAACATATAGCCTATATTTTTTCTTGAATTTATATTAAAATAGAACGCGGGTACAAACGTGGGAACAGCTAGTAATTAGTATTTACAATAAATGATGTCTACTCTCTAACAAACTCTCCGACACAGACTAACTGCAAACATAGAAAAACATGCTCATCATACAGAGTACACAACATTAATAATCTTATAGATTTATAGCGCAGGCGTAGAGGTAGCCTGCTTGTACGCGAAAATCATAGAGACCTGGAGTCACTTGGTGCAAAAGTACTTGTTAGTACCTACATGTGTAAGACTACAGACTTTAAGTGGGCATGTCGTGTCGTGTTCACCACGATATCAAGTGATGAACGTAATTTATTTATTTACCTTTCTCCTTCCAGGTGGATCCTCCCATTGTTGGTCTTCTCTAGCGTGTCTCCAGCACCACAGGACAACAGTGATATCACATACGTAAAGATACAGCCACTACCTGGTGACCCGCTACTACTAAACCACTCCTCCAGAGGATCGCGAATACAAATTCTACCATTATCCATAGGTGGCAACACTCAACACAATCCACCAACCAATAAAGCTAATGAAGCAATAATAAATGATAACAACCAATTTCTCAATCCAACTGATGAGATCGCCACAAACGCGGACGTCCGAATTGTCAGTGACGTTTTTAAAAGACAAACAATTAATATAACAGCAGAACCTGAAAGTGTACAGACTTATAACCATTCTGCCAACAATACAGATGTTAAGGCACCAAAATCACTTTTAGATCAATCTATAGACGCTGCGATTATCAACAAATTCAACAGAATAGCATCTGGTGGTCCAATTAAAGTTACATCAAACCTATCGGAGAGTAATCACGATAAAAGATTTGCCAGAAATGAAGACTTTTCAACGGTCGCCTACGATACAGAAAATACAGATGTTAGCGAAAGAGAATCAGAATTAGCAACAGTGGCGTACGAAGCCAGAACTAAAGCACCAAGATTCATTTCCAAGCTAAGTTACTTCCATAAAACAACGGATTTAAGTGGATCCAACAATTTGGTGGAAAGCGGGAACAAGAAGAGGTTTAGATCGAGATGTAGATGCGAGAAGATATGGAATTGTCCGAAGTTGCAGATAACAGTGCCGAGGTGTCCCAATGAATATTTTTTGTGTTGCTTTTGAGTTATCAGGAGACAGAACTTAAAAATGTTGCAATGAAGCATTCTAGTGAAGATAAATATCGATTTAAACGTTTTTCAAGGTTATACACATTATATACTAGAATATTTACCGTAAAATTGTTAGTATGTTGTGAGCTGCTATATATTAGCTAAATATTCCCTTAAAACAAGTACTAAAATACTCAAGAAATTGGTCTATTTTTATTAAGAAACATACCATAATTTGACTATTAATATTGATTTTTTTTTCATACTACCATCATTAATCATATAACAGTAGTTTGTATGTAAGATTTAAAAGTTATTTTAAATTGTTCACTTTGCTTCTTTAGGAATGGCCAGGGGGGCACTTCAATATTCCAATTTGTTTATTTTGAGTCTTACTGTAATGGCGTAAAGCTTAAAGTCGTACAGCAAAATAATTGAAGTATGGAAAGTGGTGCCCTCTACAAGATCCTATAAATACTTAAAACGCATGATTGGAAACTTTACTCCAGAGGGTAAAGTAAATATACCAAAAGACTACTCTATGGCAATGGCCATGAGAGTAGTTTCTGGCTTGGCGTTTCGACTCTATATAGGTATTTTTTTAATTTATTTTTCCACAGACTAATGCTCCGCGATTTATATTTTCTAGTTTATTGCTCCTATTGATTTTATTATCTATTTCATTTATTTTTACTAAGAACATTTTCTGTCATTATGTTCACTTTATAAAAATTGCCTTTATTTTGTTTCGGTTTTCTATTTACTTTCATTGAATATAATGTGTACATTGTCTTGAGGATGTTACCATGAGAGTTTTGTTTTAGACCCACCGACCTAAATCTAATTAATCTTCTACAACAGAATGTTTGAGTTTATTTTTTAAAATACAATATCATTGACACTGGACAATTTTGACTTGTTTTATTTTATACAATTACAGTTTTATTAATCCAAAGCATCTCATCTAATTTATATGGGTTCATATGAGATGCACCAGCTTTCAAATAAAAAAAGTATCATCAAAATCGCTTGTTGTTCTTGCGAGGTAACTAACAAATATAAAAAATGCAATCTAGATGAGGACCTCTACGTTTTCTTTTTATAATAATAATAATAATAATAATAAACTCTTTATTATGCACATACAATACAATAAGAAAAACAGTAAATAAAAAAAAAATTACAAAAGGCGGTTATCGCTATAGGCAATTTCTTACAGACAACCTTCTAACAAGCAATAGGACTAACGTACATAGAAGAGGTAGATGGCAGACACAAGACACTATAATTATTAAACGAATAAATACACATACATATATAGATATATATATAAATATACTTACATATATACATATTTTATATCGACTAAAGGTTTTACGTCCTTACTTTATTAAAGAAATTCATAACTCTTGCCTAGAGGAAGCTTATATTTTTATTTTGTAAACTGGCCTATGTATACAAATAAATAAAATTGAAATATCCATAATATCAAATTATATCAGCTTTTCACTGAATATTAAATATGAAATTAATAATAATATGAAAGTATATACGATACCAACCGACATCAGAAAATAATTTTAAATGCCATAATTTGTTTGTTGATCTGTCTACTCTTGCTAATCTCCGAAACGATTTTGATAAGACTTTCATTCGCTAATGTTATGAGGAATAAATTAAACTACTTTTATTGCTAATCTATAAAACAGCTACCGATTTTGACGAGACTTTAACTCGCAGATGGCTAACGTTATAAATAGTACCTAACTTAATTTTTTATTTAAAAAAATGTATTTGTTTCAATTCCACGCGGAGGAACTTGCATATAATAATAATATATATATTTTTTTTATAACATAAGGTACAAACGAGCATGCGGCTCACCTGATGGTAAGTGATTACCGCCGCCCATGAGCACCCGCAACACCAGGGGAATTGCAAGTACGTTGTCGGCCTTTTAAAAAGGAATAAGCTCTTGAAGGTTTCAATATCGTATCGGTTCGGAAATACCATTGCTGGAATAATAATAATTATCTTTATTTGTCTCAAACAAAAGCTAATACAATTGTTGCCCATACAATAATAAAATTTTAAAGTATTGAAGGAGACAAAACGGTCTATGACTCAGTGGGGGCAGTGAGTCCACCCTCTCTGCTATTCTGTTATAGCCTTTATCAGTAAAATACAATGTGAGATCGACGACGACGATAGCATATTAAGTTAAGTTCTAAACTACAAATAACAGCTAATTTAAAAATAATACAACATAATAGTAAAAATTATTTCGTGAATCAATAATAATAAAAAGAACAAGAATAATATAAAATATGCCATATATATATATATTAGTATATGACCAATCGTTGTTAAGGAAAAGCTACAATTTTAACATTTAATTAGGAATTAAATTTGTAAACAACACATCACCGCACACGATGAACAAAGTTTGTAGGTACACCCGACCACACATGTGAACTATTAGTAATATTGATTTTAGGTAAATGTATTGTCATATATATATTTACTAGCTTGTATCAGTAATAGTACCCATAACTTAAACTTTAGCTAGTTTCTGTCATGGGTACTAGATTACTGATACAAGAACATAGATATTTTTTTCGTAAATACATACATAATATACATAGAAAACACCCAGATCGATACAAACAATCATACTCATGAATACAATTTTTTGTACCGTGCGAGGAATCAAATCCGTGACCATAGGAAGTAAGGCGGTGTGCTAAACCGCTGGACCACCGAAGCCGTGAATGATCTAAAATGTCCAGACTTGTGGCAGCGTGGTGAGCCGGGTCATTGGGCACCCTAAAATATGGTCGAGCGCAGTGATGGCTGGCTCACCCGTCATACTCGTGAATGGGTGCTGCTTGAAGGGACTGGTCTGCTCTAATCACTATGACTGATTTCCTTTTAACCAGTTGGTTGTATATTCAATATTTTTTCTATTTGAGTATTTAATTGAATTAGTGCTAATTGGTAGTTTGTATTCACACACTTAAACTTAAAAATGTAAAGTAAGAATAAAATTATTTAAAAGAGCAACACGCAAGTTTCTTGCTTGTTCTTCTTGTGATGAGACAGCTTTCCGAATGAGCGGTAGATTAAAAAAAATGTAATGACTATTCAAAGTGCTTCAATGTAAGTTTATTTGAATAAATGATTTTCTATTCATACCAAAACCCATTAAAACTGCTCCCTTTGTACTGGGAAAATTTCTCCCATCGGCGAAAAATCCTCCCACAGTATACTAAACTATTATACGCAAGTTTCTAACGAGCAAGAAATTTCTTGTGATGAGACAGCTTTCCGAACGAGCGGTAGATTAAAAAAAATGTGATGACTAATCAAAAGTGCTTCAATGTAAGTTTATTTGAATAAATGATTTTCTATTCTATTCTACTCTATAGAAAATAAATAGTTCATAGGAAAATTAAACACAATTTATTAATATATGACGCTTATTATTTATATTGACTGGTTAATATATAATATTACAATTATCACAAAATAGTTAAGACATCGTATCATAGATTATATTTAATTGAAATATAGGACTAAAATTAAAAACAAATGAACGCATCTTAATAATATAATACAACACATTTCTGAATACTTCTATTTTGAGAAATGGATATAACTTGGCAAGTAATTCTCTTGATTATCTTACATTTATAAAATAATAATCTACCTTCACGTCTGTAATCCTATTTGGGGTAGTTAGTGATTTTTAAGTTTATTTTTGTATAACTCATGTATATTGTGTCTGTAATTGGTGAATAAAGAATTTATCTACCTATTTCATTGGAATGGAAATTTAACGGCCCGCCTGATGGTAAGTGGTAACCATCGCCTTGATGTGAATATGAACAGCACTACGGACATCACGTTATCATGTGACACCCGTGAAACTACTCATGCGTTGCTATTCCATTGGATTAAGATATCAAGCCTCTTATCCTGTAATTTTACTGCAGTGAAATTACTGGATCAGAGAAGAAGAAGAAGAAAAATACTAACTCTCTCTTTTAGATTAAAGTTAATATGGTAAATACCTCGTGTCCACGTATAGTTAGATATTGACAGTTTTTTATTCTCTCACACAATATACAACATCATGTTTCCCCGTTGGACTATATTCCAGCCAGGAAGTTTCTATGAGAAAAAGAAAAGAGGCGATTTTTCTTGGCAGTTTGTAAGTTTTCCCTTCGTCATAATATTAAAAAAAAAAACTCAATTGATCCCGCCATTCTGAGCTTTGCGTTTTTGCAATACATATATAATAAAGGAACTATATTTTTCTAGTCTTGATACAGACTAGAGACTACAGACTATCTATAACTTTCTATTTAATTTACAACTGAAAAAAACAGAACAACAAAATGTGGAAATATCCAGTTGCGTTGCGACAGTTGCCCCTGGCCACCCCATCTAGGATTACAGTCTCAAACATAAAATTAAATCACACATCACATTTAAAACAAAATACTTTGTGATGACTAAACAAAAAACAAATGTCCGTAAATATCATAGCTGCACAATACAAAATATTGGTACATAAATGCAAAAGGTTTATATAAAATTACAAAAGAGTCGTCGTAACTTCAGCAACTATGTACATCCTGTAAAAATGGCCGCAACACGGTACGATGATGATTTTGATGTTAGCTCATTAAGAACTGTAAATATTTTAAGTCTACCATCTAATAATTATGTGAGGTTCGGTGTAAATCACGAAATATCACAAGGGGAATATATCTGATCGGTTCACGAAAACACTGATTAGACTATTTGCTTTTGCAATAGCATATGCTGGTGGTCACTTTATTCTACCAAATTTGAATTTAAAAATGAATCTGTATTATTGTAAACATGTACAACATTTATTTGAAAAGAATACGAGCTGAGTTTTTTGTCAGTTCTTCTCATCTTGAAATCATTCGAAACTGGCGGTAGATTTGATATATCTTAAAAGCCTAATAGACCTACATGAATAAAGATATTAAGAATTATGTTTTCATAAAACGCGCGCCATCCATCAAAAATACCATCAAATAATGGAGTTGCCAACTTTAGGGTTTACAATACTTACATAATAAATTCTTTTATACCCTAAACCTCGACTGAAGGGTTTAGCACCAATAGGTATTATTACAGATCACTACAATATCGACTTTGCCGACTTTAAATGAAGAGTATGCATACAAATTAAAACTAAAACCTACAAAACAAAGAATTCTGTCATTTTCTTTAAAATTAATACATGGTTAATTTATATGCGGTCGAAGTGGAAGAGAGATATATACCTACCAGATAATCAAGCTAAATCTTGGCCTGTCTAGAATTGCAGAAGTTGTATACTAGAAGATGTATCTAAAGCTGCACTAGCAGACTAAACTTGGCACGAGAAGAAATAGAAACACGAGAAGAAATAGAAGGTGAGTGTTTGTACGTCAAGGGGCCCCTTAAACCTACACCAGGGCCACAAGTTCCGGGAACTGCTCGATGTTCGAAGAACTGTCTGCCATACGATGGACTCGGCACTCGCCCCGGCACCTGTAGTTAAGAATGTATGTTGGTATGTCTTAACATACTCGTATATAATTATAAAACTTCGACCCAACAAACTATAGTAATAACGTTTATTAAGGAGAAAGGTAACAATAAATTAACCAAGTGAGCGGAAATTTTACATACACTTTATGAATCAGGTAAGTAACGTCATTCTAAATCCAATATGGCGAACCAAGATGGCGGCGTAGCTATTTTCCATGATATGTATAATAAATTGCTGCCTTTATGCCTTTACATGTACGCTCCTCACGCGCGAATCGGCTTTTAAACATGAAAGAGTGTGCATATAAATGTATACAAAGAGAAATACCGCCCGCGCCGCCAGTTCTCGCATTCCTGCGTTCTTCAATCGTGCGAGCTTTAGCGCCTTTTTGTAATAATTAATTGTTATTTCAAAATGGAAGACATCTGACTATATAGTAAAGTCATAATTATGGAGTATAAATCGTAAACGTGTCGTTGGAAAATGAAAACTGTAAAATAAAAAATAAAATTTTAATAGAAAGTGAATTGGCTTGAAACAATCACGTGCAAAAGAGTGAATACAAATGCAACCCAAGTTGCCTCTTTGCTTTCTCAGCGTTTAATGATTATACATATTGATATATCAATAGTGTATATAAATGTTTGTTTATATTCTATGAGAAGAAGAAAGATTTTCATTTCATTTCATTTTAATCACTCACGATTGCGCGCCCTGGCTTTCTCTCTCTAAAACGCGCGGGAAAGAAACGTGTCTTGTACAGGCAACTAATGAAAAGATTTGATGAATGTAAAATGACGTCACTCTAAATCCAAAATGGCGGACATAAAAACTTATTTTTAATAATTTTAAATTACTATATTCTAGAAATTATGAACAAATGATTATATATTTTAATACTTCCTATAATTAATATCGAAATTCGTAAAGCATAATAATTTGGCGTAGAGAACACTCGATTTGTATCACACGATTCATTTTATGTGCGATTGTATAGTCATAACTAAATAAATTAACATGTTTTTCGTAAAAACGTCATAAATTAACCATTAAAAATTTAGAATACACCTTGAAAGAAAGGGACGAATATTTTTTTATTGGGTTGTATGGGCTATTATCAGATGCTTAGACCTGTAGCACTGCGACCTACATACATCTATTGTGATCGCCCTTTTCCAGAGTTCGCTACCTAGACCCGCCAGGGACAAGAATCGAAGAAAGGACGAATATATATTTTATCCCTTTCCTTCAAAGTGTATTCTAAACTTTGGAAGAAATTAAACTAAAAATACTGTTACAGATAAATTATTTTCTTTATGATATAAAAATAATTTAATATCGTTTATGAGATTTGTAGAAATCATGTTTTTTAAATATAAATATTACCTACGTTACAGAGATAGTATAAAATTACGTTACATTGTGCGTTTGTTACATTTTTTTATAATTGCTAGTTCCCGCGGTAAATGTTATTTTGCTATATGAATTAGGTATAACAGTAAAGTGACTTATTATACCCAATTTATTTGGCAAAACAATATATACCTCTTATACATAAATTATATATAGGTATACATTTATTATCATAGGTTACTTACTCTTATACATATATGTATTATATAAAAATTATGTGTCACGCTATTTGACCGCGATGGACTCCTACTGAACCGATTGCAAATTTGATTTGCAGATTGTGTGCAATTTGATCCAACTTGAAAGATATGATAGCTTACATCTCAATTTATAGTCGCAATATTATTTTATTCAAGAACCTTAGCCACAACAACGCGTGACCGGATCTGATATTACGTATTACTAAAAAAAAATATATATATTCCTTATTGCACTTTTAAATACAAATTTAATTATAGACAAAGTGAGCAAATGTTAAAAATAATACTTTAAAAGCGATTTTGCCTTAACAAATCTCTCTTACATTTTCGAAGTTATGTAACAAGAGACAAGAAATAAATTGCCCATTGTAAATTATTAGTTACAATACATAACTATAGATTTACATATCTATAGATTTGTTTTATGCGTGTCCATGGCAATAGTTGTTCATGCACGGGACTTTCATTTAATGTTAGACATAGACACCTATATAAATATACAACGCAAATAAATAGACTATTAAAAAAAAAGTAATTCAATTGAGTTTCTTGCCAGTTCTTCACAATTGGATCTATATACTGAACTGGATGGTAGGGAAAAAAATAAAATTATAATGTAAAAATTTGACGTTCATATGTTCTAAAAAACAAATGATTTTTTAATTTGAATTTTAAAAGACTTTATTACAGATACGGCAGACGGAATGCAATAGGATATTTTTCTTGCATGCCACCTCTTCCTACCACTCCGTTTGTTCGAGAAGTAAATTCACTTAAAATGACTAATTCGTACTAAATTCTAAACACAAATAAAAAACATGTTTTCAACAACTCTTTGTATGGAAAGACAATTTTTATGTATTATATTACAAAATACCACGACTTGAACGACATGAGACCTATAGGTTACATGTAGTACTACTTCTTTCGTCATTTATTTCCTTCCGGTCGAAAACTTGTAAGATGTTTAAGAAAGTGCTGAAATGAAGCTTGGAGAAAGTCAGTTGCAGTTCCGAGGGTGGATTGAGGAGTAGCATCCTCACACACGTTTTGCACATTATTAATAGATTAGAGAAAACTTCATGTGCGGGCCAGCAAAAAATATGGCCCGTTGATTCAGAAGGTTACTCACACCTGTTCTATTATAATAATCTGACAAATTTTGAAGTGTGAGGAAAACACTGAATTTTTTACACGTTCGTTTTGTACCGGGAGGAAATTGGTCACCCTGACTTGTTCCTAGCTTGAGGTCCGATGTAAGTATATTTTTTTTATTACATAAAAAAATCTATCTACATTACAGTCCTCTATTAATATAGTATACGCAATAATCACATTTAAATATTTCTAACTACAGATTAAATTAATCATGCAGTACCTATTATAATGGGGGAAGGGGTTGTTAGTAATGGGGTGGTACCCCTATTGCTAGCAATGCCCTAACAGATCAACCTCGATACCGTGATCTGGTGAAATCACCATGAAGGGATGTAACTGGCCAGATTTCATCCCCATCCCAGCATCCTCCGTTGATGTTCCGGTCAACCTCGAAATCGTAATGAATTTCTGGTGAAATCGTAATCAATTTCTGGTGAAATCACCATGAAAGGATGTAATTGACCAGATTTCATCCCCATCCCAGCATCCTCCGTTGGTATCCCGGTCAACCTCGATATCGTAATCAATTTCTGTAGAAATCTCAATAAAGGGGTGTAACTGACCAGATTTCATCCCCATCCCAGCATCGACCGTTAGTGTCCGGGTCAACGTCGATATCGTGATCAATTTCCACCATCCCAGCATCCTCCACTGGTGTCCCGCCGGCGTATACCATTAGTGCAGGCGGGTGAACCATTCTATTTTCTTACATTAAAAATACTTATTAAAGTGCAGTGGGAAGACGCTTTTCAGTCTGGATACAGTAAATTGGATTCTCTTCGACAACGTTCCTGTAAAAAGTAAAGTAATATATTTATTAATAACTAGCTTTTAACAGCGGCTTCGCTTGCATAACTTTACTGCCTACTAGATGGCGCTGATTTATAATTGACTATAACTTCATAACTGGCTACTAGATGGCGCTGATTTATAATTGACATATAACTTCATAACTGGCTACTGGATGGCGCTGATTTATAATTGACTTGTAACTTCATAACTGGCTAATAGATGGCGCTGATTTAGTAGCAAAATATTGATATTTTATTTTTTTGTTATTTATATATTTTTTTTAATTAAAAGTATCCTATGTTCATTCTAATACCTCCAAGAACATGTGTACAAAATTTCATGATGATCGGTTCAGTAGTTTTTGCGTGAAAACGTAATAAACATCCCTACTTCCATATTTATTATATAATAATATATTAGTAAGGACGTATTCATTCAAATCAAAATATCTTTTTTCATGTAGGTCCATTACAGACTCTTATGATATGTCAAATATACTGTCAGTTCGGAATGATTTCGAGATGAGAAAAACTGACAAGAAACTCAGCTCGTATTCTTTTCAAATAAATGTTGTACTTGTTTATAATAAATTATTAATTTTATCTTATGGGTACTAGACAACTGATATAAATACATAGTTACATTTTTTTGTAAATACATACATAGAAATAGAAAACACCCAGACCGATATAAGCAATCATAATCATGAATACAAATGTTTGTACCGTGCGAGTAACCGAACCCACGTTCATCGGATGTGAGGCGGTATGCTAAACTGCTAAACCACCGAGGCCTATTTTATTATTTAGATACAGATCACTTACCTGATGTTCACTGATAAGGTAGACAGGCAGCGACTCAGTACAGAACTCGCAGGGGATGACGGGCGGATCGATATCTTGGGGCGGGGGTGCAGGCGTGGGGGTGATGTTACGCCGCACTTTTGGCACGCGGGGCCGAAGTTGCGCCAGGTCCGGCCGACATCCCGTCTGTGTGTATAATGTATATATTTACTTATTTATTTATATATATAATAACTAGCTGACCCCGCAAACATTGTTTTGTTATATAAATTAAAATTGCTATAAAAAAATAGGGGTTGGTGGAGAAAGGTGAAAATGTAGGGTTGTATGTATTTTTAATGACACATTATAAAAAAAATAGTGACCAAATAATAAAATAAAATGTTAGGGATGGACAACCTTTATCACTTAGGGGTATGAAAACAGATAGTAGCCGATTCCAAGACCTACTAAATATGCATTTAAAATATCATAAAAATCGGTCAAGACGTTTCGGACTACGGTATCTAACATTGTGACACGAGAATTTTTTATTTAACATATTTTTTTATGGATGGATGAAGCTGTACATGCGACTTCGTCCGCGTGGAAAATCACTTTATTTTTCTAAAATAAAAGTCTGTAGCCTAAGTTACACCTTATTACATCAGCTACCTGCCAAAAAAGGTCCCGTCAAAATCGGTCCAGCTATTTCAGAGATTAGTCGGAACAAACAGACAAAAATTGTAAAAAATTTTGTTTTAGTGTATGTACCGTATTTATATTCATATGCATGTAGTAAAATACGGTTATTTCAATATTACAAACAGACACTCCAATTTTATTGACTAAAGTCGTATCCGTCACGTGGGAGTTGGCCTTCAGCCGCTCCATAAGTCCTTCCGCGGGTTTGGAGTGCCATCTGCACTCACCCTCTATCGTCCGGTGAAGCTGTAAAGGTCAGCTGCGGCCAACAGCATTAGTGTAGTACGAAAAAAAATGTCAACTAATTTTGACATAAACTCTTTTTAGGTTATGAATCCCACCTGATGGAGTACGAGGCGGTCCGCGGGCACGAGCGTGTCGCAGAACTCGCACGGGAGCTGAACATCCGAGTCGCCCTCCTGGGGGAGCTGGGGCTCTTCGTCTATCTGTGGATGCGACCACATTCTTCGTGGCGGTTGTGGTGGAGGGTTGACATTACTGTATTATAAAAAATCTTTATTCAAATAGACTTGCCTAGGTTGACACCTGGAACTTCTTAAGATTATATAGAAAAACTCTTTTTTGTTGAATACAAGATTCATTGCTTCGTCTATAATTTGGTTAACTTATAGAATGTGTACAGGACTCCTTACATTTGGGTCGCTGGCTGGTACGAGAATTCCTTATTTTTAAATATTTATATTTTATATCGGTTGCTTTCATATAGTTTGTTACGACATATATTTTTATAATATACTATTCTTTTACATATTGCATCTTTAATTACCACCATCGTTGGCTGCACCGACCCCAGCGCCCTATACACACATACATGCCCTATATACCACACAGAATGTATAAAAAATGTGTATAAATGAATGGATGGATGCGAATGTAATGGCTGTCTTGTGAAAAGTGTTTGAATGACATTGGTCTTCAATTGCAAAGTAATAATTTGTGTGCCCTTTATTTATAAGCGTCTTTGTGAGTTATTAAACAATAAGTAAAAAAATATAAAATTGCTGGATGGAACTTTGTAGGCGCGAACAATACTCAATATAAGCATTTTTGAATAGTCATATTTTTTTTACTCTACCGTTCATTCGGAAAGCATTCCAACCAATTACAAGAAGAATGAGCAAGAAACTTGCATGTTGCTATTTTGAATCAATGTTGTTTATAATAATAATAAATCTCAGGACAATTCACACAGCGCCATCTAGACCCAAGTTAAGCTAGCTAGAACTTGTGTTATAGGTACTAGACAACTAATACATCATACAAATAGGTACATAGATATATATTTTTTTCGAAAATACGTACATATTATACATAGAAAACACCCAGACTGATACAAACTATAATATTCATGAATAGAAATGTTTGTGCCGTGAGGAATCGAACCCGCGACCATCGGAAGTGAAAACAAACCAAAACCGAAGCTGTCGACTCTTAAACAAAGTAAATACTTACACGTTATTAACCGTTGTGTTGGAATTAGAATTATAAGGCGCTGTGACCTGCAAGTAAATTAAAATATATTAGGAACAATTCATTGGGTACTTATAAAATACATGACACATTAACTTTGTTTAGTTATTTGATTCAGGCAATTTAATATTATTTATATAACCATATTGGCCTATATTATACAGGGCGTCCCAGAAGTCAACGTCAAGCCGAAAAGGGGACATATATAGACCACGTAAGACTTGTGTCATGGGTAATCTAAATATATATAACTCAAAGGTGACTGATATAGTGATCTATCAACGCACAGCCCAAACTACTGGACGGATCGGGCTGAAATTTGGCATGCAGTTAGATGTTATAACGTAGGCAACCACTAAGAAATTTTGATTAATTCTACCCCTAAGGGGATAAAATAGGAGATGACACTTTGTACGAAACTTTGTCAACATTAAACCGATCGGGCTGAGACTTTGCATGCATAAAGCTACTATGACATAGGCATCCCCTAAGAAAGGATTTTGATAAATTCCACCCCTAAGGGGATAGTTTAAAGCGAGCGAAGCCGCGGGCAAAAGCTAGTAGATAGATAAACTGTACTAACTGATATAAATAATTAGATATTTTTTGTAAATACATACACAATATACATAGAAAACACCCAGAGAGATACAAACAATTATAAACATGAATAATGTTTGCAACGTGCAAGGAATCGAACCGGCGTCCATCGGAAGTAAAGCGGGGTGCTAAACCGCTAGACTACCAAGGCCGTATTAATAAATAGTTGATTGAATGGGACAGTGTTAATATTATTCAAGTAGTTTATGTTACGACTGACCTCGTTGAGCCCCCTGCGCAGCTCCCGCAGCGAGGACTTGATCTCGTTGAAGCGGTCGCCGCCCGCGTCCCCCTCCGCCCCCCCAACACCCCCAACACTCTGGACAGACGCACGATCCAATTGGAGCTGCTTGAATCTGTCAATACATACAAATAATAATATATCAGGGCAATTCACATAGCGCCATCTTGTGTTATGAATATTATATTTTTTTTTTTAGTAATAGAAAAAATCCTTATTTAAATAAACTAAATATAAGCACTTTTGAATAGTCACACTTTTTTATACTATCACCCATTCGGAACGCAGACTCACACGGCCTTATTACAAAAAGATAAACCTTGTTTAGCACTAGTAATAAACCATTCACCAATGTATTCCTTATTACAAAATGAAGTTTATCTCTAAATCGTGATTCGTCTATGGTCTAAAGTTAGACCTGCGATGCCCCTAGTTTAACAGTGGTCTAAATGCAAAAATACAAACTCCATTTTAAAAATTCTATTGTAAGTTGTAGTTTTTGGAAAAATATTTTAACTAAATTAAAAATATATTAACTAAAAATATTTAAAGCAAATTTTACGACAATAAAAATATATAAAAGACGTTATTTGTTATTTTTTCACTCATTTGACTTTGAAATAGTCACCATTCGAACGATCCAATAAAAATATCTCGCCGTTCCTTTCCTCCGTATCCTACTTGTAATTTAAAACTGATTTTCAGCCTAATAGTACATTAATAAATATTATATATTAATGAAATAGTTATAATGAAGACCTAGATAAATAGAAATAAATTTATTTTTAGTTTATACATTTTTCTTTGAACTAATATTATTTTTGATCTTTTCAGTTTTCTGGTAAAATGGAACGTAATTGTACGGTGACAGACATGAGTGACTGATTTCTGTATGGAATACATAATGAACGATTTAACTGTAGTACTAAGTAGTCCTCTGTTAGATCTGGATTCGTAATAATGTTAGGTTTATTCCAAGTATTAACATTAGGAATGGTTTAAACCACGACCATTTAGACCACGTTTCGTCCGAGTTTTAACAGATTTTTTGTAATAAGACCGACAGTCATCACAGAAGAATGAGCGAGAGACTTGTGTGTTGCTCTTTTAAACAAATGTTGTTTTGAGTAGATTTACATTAACAAGGATTAGGCATGCGACAATCAACATAGAAACCGCTACGCACTCAATCTTTGTTCAATCAGATAACGTTGGATTGGGTATTTGATTCCTTAAAGCAATCTCGCAGACTCCCTGGAACCCATCCACTCGTCCATCCATCCATCCACCGTAAATGGATGACCCTTGTTGGTAAAATAAATGGTGTATTTATATCAACTGCTTATTGATATAAAATTGACTGATGTAAATGTCAAATCTATACATATAAATAAAATAGGAGTGTCTGTAAGAATGTATGTTGTAAGAAACGGTTATTTCCTCTATATTCATATGCATGTTATGCATATGAATATAAATACGGTACATACAGCAGAATAAGATTTTTTGCAATTTTTGTCTGTCTGTCTGTTTGTTCCGACTAATCTCCGAAATGGCTGGACCGATTTTGACGGGACTTTTTTGGCAGGTAGCTGATGTAACCTTATTACATCAGCTACCTGCCAAAAATGTAAGTTAGTAAGTTAAGCTACTTTTATTTTAGAAAAATAAAGTTGAATTCCACGCGGATGAAGTCGCGGCAGCAGGTAGTATTTAAATAGCGTTACCAGCTATAGCGGGGTAGTGCTGTACCTGCGATATCGATTTGTTTAATCGTAACTTTTTATATTACAATAGTAGTTTTAAAAATGTATATGTGTGCGTGTTACATGTGTGTGTTATTTATTTTACTCATTCACTGCCGTTGCGACGACGCCGACCCCAAATAAATGAGATAAGGATGAAGCAGATGATGATGATGACTGCCGTTGCTAGCTGTTCATATTTCATAAATCTTGAATTAATGTGTATATAAAGGGAGGGGACGCCCTAAGAAAAGATGGATGGATTGTGTGAAAGATGATATGAATAAAAGAAGAGTATGGAGAGCAGTGGAAGAGAATGACAGACTCCCGCCGACCACAAAATAATGGGATAAAGGCAAGGCAATGATCAATAAGCAATATCTATAAATAATATATTATTATTCTTTATTGTACACACACACACATAATAAAAAAAATTATACAGAATAAATGTAATGTACAAGGGCGAGCTTATCTTTAAAAAGAGATTTCTTCCAGCAAACCTAGAAAATGTTATAGGATCGTGTATTAAATAGAATAGTCATACATACGTGTACGAAAAGAGGAGATATTAAAATATTGTTTTAATGATATTAACTATAAGTATAAATAGACATACATAAATATATATATATATATATAGACATACTTAAATGGTACATAAATAAATTATAAGACATAAGTTAAAATGTAAATTATAATATATACCTAAATATATAAATATAAAAATACGTCAGCATTGTGAATGATAATACGCTTTTAATCGGCATTTGAATATTTCAATACTAGAACTGCACGTATTTCGTGAGGTAAAGAGTTCCACAATCGAATAGCCGTCACCACAAAAGAGCTGGAATATGCCTGCCCAGAGTGTACTGGAGTCCGCAAGAGTAATTTATTCTGAGATCGAGTGTTCATTTCTGTCGGATAGAGAAAATTAAAACGTTCGCGGAGATAGGAAGGTGCAGAAGGATTATGCAGGATGTTGTACAGAAGACTGAGAGTGTGAACATTCAGTCGAAAATGAAAGGGCAACCATTTTAACTGATTACGGTATTGAGTTATATGGTCAAACTTACGCAAACCAAACACAAACCGAATGCACATGTTTTGGAGATATATTTTGTTGAGCAGTTTTTGGCATCAAGAAAACAAACATCTGCATAATCTAGAGAGGTAAAAGGAGTGTATGAGATAAACCTTCGTTTTAAATGGAAGAAATCCCTGAAGACGCCGTAAGGAGTGAATGGTCCCATATATTTTCTTACTCACATGTTTAATGTGAGAAAACCAGGAGAGGTCACTATCAATGTAAAGACCCAAATCCTTTACTGTTTTAACGTAAGAAATTATATCCCCATTGTATATTATTGAAGGAATGTGCATTGAATCTAATAAATTAAGCATATATCTGCTGCCAATTATAATCGATTGTGATTTTTTGGTATTAACAAGCAGACCATATGCCTTAGCAAAGCCACAAATATATTAGTTCCGTATTGATCAAGGAGATAGCATTATCAACAGATGGTAGGTCAAAACTGCGGTACAGTTGTAGATCATCAGCATAGAGATGGAAGTTGCAAGAGATCACTTTCGTCAGTGAATTGATGAAGACAGAGAATAAGTAGAGAGAACACCACCTTGAGGGACGCCGGCAGTCAGTTCGCACCAATCTGAAGTATTCCCATCCAGGTACACGCACTGCCTGCGGCCCCTCAAGTATGAATCAAACCATTCTAAAACCAGTGGAGATATATAGAGTCAAGGATGCCAAGGAAAATATCGAAGTCAATAGAGTTGAAGGCGTTACTGAAGTCTAATAATATATTGTGATATTATCTTTAGCAAGGTGAATGTCATCTAGTACTTTAATTAAAGCCGAAACTGTGCTATGGGCAGGACGAAACCCAGATTGAAAAGGAGATAGTAGGTTATTACTATATAGATAAAGGGATAATTGTTCATGAACAATATTTTCTAAAATTTTGGATAATACAGGTAGAATAGAAATGGGACGAAATTCGTTAAAAGAGCTGATTATTGGTTTTAGGAAGAGGAATCACGCGAGCATTTTTCCAGGCAGCCGGAAAAGAACAAGTGACCAAAGAATGATTGATTATGTGAGTAATTATGGGCACAAGTTCGTCAATTATTAGTCGAATCATTTGTATACAAATATTGTCATCACCGACTGCCTTGGAGGAAATGGTAAGGATACTCTTTTTAACGTCACACTGGCTAATGATTTTGAAGGAAAAAGGCTCGCAATTGGGTTTAGACTGGCGGCGAAGACTATCAAGTGTTAACGCTTTGATACTGTCAGCAACGGTGACAGGAGGCGAGGAGAAATGCTTATTAAGCGCATTATAGTCCAAATTAGAGGGACAAGTTGAAGAAGAAGATTTGCCAATACCCAATGATTTAAGAAGTCTCCAAATCTGAGCTGAATTATAGCTATGAATGGATTCATGAATATGGCGTCTTTTGCATCTCTACACATCCGATTACACCGATTCCGCAGCTTTTTATAGTATAATAAATTATCTTCAGACGGAAAACGCTTATATTTCCGATACTTATCCCGCCTCACCATCATATTTCTTATATTTTGGGATAACCATGGAGCAGGTAAATGCTTGACTTTAACTTTTCTGATAGGAGCATGCTTGTTGTATATTTGAAGTATGATTGAGTTAAAGTTTGCAATCATATCCTCCACTGAGTTACAATTTAATACGCAGGACCACTCAATGCCCGCAACGTCCTTCCTTAGCATTTCCAAATCAATTCCCTTAAAATTACGAAGGTCAAGAAGTTTAGGTTTGATTTTGGGAGACTGTAATCTGTACGATAAAAATATAAGGTCATGGTAAGAGAAAGGAGCCGTAAGCTGGCCGAAATTACAGACTTTATCAGAGTTTGAGACTATAATTAGGTCTAACAGAGTTGGTGTGCTGTTAGGGGGATAGTGAGTGGGTTTGAGAGGAAGTAAGTTAAGGTTTAATGAGGAAACAATAGAGGAAAGTTTATGAGCACGTGAATCGTTCTTGAGAAGACAGGTATTGAAATCACCAAGAATTAAACTGTGTTCATAAACAGGACAAAAGGACTCAAGGATGGATTCAAACTGCTGAAAATAGTCCACCCGAACAGAGGGTGAGTAGAACACACCTATTAAGAGCTTAATAGTATTCACAACTACCTCAATAAATAAATACTCCGCGGAGTCAATAACGTGGCATCGGATTTTACTATTATGTTACTTGGTATGTTGTGACGCAAATAAATGGCTACCCCCCACCTCCCCTGCCCATTCTGTCATTTCGAAGAAGGCGGTAACCAGGTAGACAGCACATTGTTGAAGGTAGTGACGGTTTCAGCCAAGATTCTGATACGAGAATAATGTCTATACACTGGTTATCAAAACTGTCTAACAAATCGTTATAATGAGCCATTATACTTTGTGCATTGATATGTGCTACTTTTAGAAATTTGTTGTGACACTAAAAGACAGAGAGTTGATCTCGAGAGAGCTTTGGTGACTCTGTGTCGCTATTTGCACTAAAATATTCATCCGAGGATGTATTATAAAACGAATAATCACTACAAATATGTGACGTATCCATATATAAAAATAATAATATAAATAAAATATAATAAATGAATAAAAAAAAAAAAAATTATAACGTTTAAAAAGAAGACTACAGTTTAGTATGGGCCAACTCCGTACCCTATAACACCTCAAGCCAGCCGGGAAAAAACACATACCTAATATTACTACATTGCAATATATAATAAAATATACTACGAGTTACACTTTTCTTATTAAAATGCGAAATACAAAGAGACACTATCAGAATGATAACTTACAGTTTGTTGTTATACAGTGAAACAAGATAAAAAAAGGAACATGTTAATAATGTACTTGAATGATATTTTTCATTACAGGCAACATTACAAAATTATTAAATAAATACTACATAAAAGAATTAACATAGTGATTACCTACTCAGACGTGACAATAATGACAGCTGACATTTATATGTCAACAGCATAGGTGACAGAATAACTCTAATCTATTCCATTCAGGTAAATGACAAGCACAATTTAAAACATTTCATACAAAGTTTTAGTATATATAAATTTAAGGATTGGCAAATAGTTCTATAATAAATCAGTATACTACCTACATAATAATATAAGTAAAAATAAGACAACAACAAAAAAATGGCCTCACATAATCATAACGGCCGAAAATGAGAAAAAAATTACTAATAACTATAACTGAAATTTAACCTATAAAATTAAAGAATAAGATTTTTTCACAGCAATTCTTATTTGTTGCTCTGTCCCTTGTTCGCCTAGTGGTCATCATTGCTGCTTTTTTGGTGGTTTTATCGGTATTTGCTGCAGGTTTACTTTGCGTCGAGTCTTTAACTGGGAACTTGGTGGTTAATGGATGCAACTCTGACTTCAGTTCAATCTTACGCCGCGACTGATCCGGTAGCAATATAACCACTTTTCCTTCAGATGTCCAACATTTATTAATGCCAAAATGCTTTCTAGCCTCAACAAATAGATCATGTCTAGATTTAATAAGAAATTCGGATATTGATATGCTGGTGCCCTTCAATGCAGTTTTTTTACCCACACTTCATTACGAGCAGAATAATTATGAAAACGAACCAGTATTGGCCGAGCCTTTGCTTGTTTACTACCAAGACGATGGCTGACAGATATGTCTGCAGAACATTGATTCGTTACCTTTAACTGCTCATTTAGAATTTTAGCAATACATTCTATTAAATTCTAATTTGGAGACTCGGGACCACCATGTAACAATAGAACCTTCCTCCTGTGCTGTTTGTGTGTGATCTAAACCCAAGGAAAGGAGTTCAATCTGTGATTTTAGTAAGCTGACAGATTTCCAGATAAACTGTTTGAAGTCATGGTACATAAAAGCAGTGATATCCTGTTGTCTAAGGGAGCTAGACATCTGATGTAGGCTTTTCTCCATATCTCCCATCCGCGATTGAAAAGCTGGACAATATCTTCCATATGTGTGAAAGATAGAGGTCCATTTCAATATATAACTTGATTATGTGTTTGATGTGCAATATAGTGAAAGTGAGAATAGGCTCAGAGTAGAGATGGAGTCTGGCTAACTTTTAACAGTAATTAATACATATAATAGTGAATAAATTATAAATTTTAAATAAATAATTTGGAGGAGCAAAATTTTTGTGTGCTATATGTATGACTACCCACAAACTCTTCCTAATTTATAATTATCATTATGCACTAGATCGCTAGCCGTTTTGTTGTGGCAGCCGTTAAGTATTAAGTAAAATAACAAAACTGTATTCTCCATATATAATTTTATTTGATCATCACAGAAAGCACCTGTAAATAATTTTATTATTAACAATTTAACCGATAACAAATATGGCTAGCTCATATAACTAATAATAATAATAATAATCTCAGGACAATTCACACAGCGCCATGTAGACCCAAGTTAAGCTATCTAAAGCTTGTGTTATGGGTACTAGATAACTGATACAAATACATAGATTTTTTTTTTCGTAAATACATATTATACATAGAAAATACCCAGACTGATACAAACAATCATACTCGTGAATACAAATGTTTGTGCCGTGCGAGGAATCGAACCCGCGACCATTGGACATAAAGCGGTGTGCTGGACCGCTATACCACCAAGGTTGTCAACTACTTACATTACTTTGATTTAACAACTAAACTACTGTATCGTTAACTTTCTATAGGAGCTGGAAGAATTTTCATTACATAATAAAAAATAAAGTGACGAGTGAGTGAGTTCTGATAAACAAACAAACAACCATATTGAGAACTTATTATTTCCTTATCATTACATAGTATAAAACAAAGTCGCTGTCACTGTCTGTCCGTCCCTATGTATGCTTAAATCTTTAAAATTACGCAAAGGATTTTGAAGCGGTTTTTTTTTATAGATAGAGTGATTCAAGAGGAAGGTTTGTATATATAATACATGTACACCTGTATGAAGCCGGGGCGAGTAGCTAGTCTTATATATAAAATTCTCGTGTCACAGTGTTAGTTACCATACTCCTCCGAAACGGATTGACCGATTTTTATGAAACTTTATATACATATTCAGTAGGTCTGACAATCCGCTACTACCTATTTTCATAACCCTAAGTGATAAGAACCCCTAGAATTTATTTTACCCATTTTTTTTATATTCTTTTATAATGTGGCATTAAAATGCATACAAACCCAAATGTTTACCCTTATACCATCATACCCTATTTATTAATAGCGATTTTAATTTATATGGCAAAACAATGTTTGCCGGATGAGTTAGTCATGTATAAAACAAAAACTATGAACGATTATTATTAATAGCTTCCACTAGAGCCCTTAACCCTTCTCCCAGGGCTGTATGCGCCTGCGCAGTAATACGGTGTCCTTCTGAACTACGCTCCAACGCTTCTATAAGCCTTCGATCAAGTTCCAAGCGCTGTTCTGTCAATCTTATGAGCTTTTTCGTTATGGTCACGTATTGAGAACGGCGTGAAGTAGATGATGTTTGAAGTGATCTGGCCCGTGTTTTGTTTGGTGCTGAAAAATTATAGATTTTAAATAATAGTACAGAAAAAAATATATTAGGTAATTGTATTACGAATATTATGTACGTTATATTTTTTTTAATAGAATAGAATAGAAAATCTTTTATTGAAATAAACTTAATTTAAGCACTTTTGAACAGTCATAACAATTTTATTTTATTTTAAATAACCTTAGACAATTAACACAGCGCCATCTAGTCCCACGGTAAGCAGAGCTTGTGTTATGAATACTAAACTAATCAAAAAATCTAAGTATATATATACTTAGATACTTGTGTTATCAGTACCATTTTTGTAAACTAATTTGCCTAACTGATATATATACTTAGATTTTTTTTAAAATACATACATACTCATGACTGTAAATGTTTATACCGTGCGAGGAATCGAACCCGCAACCATCGGATAGCAAAGCGGTATGCTAAACCGAGATCGTCAATATTACATGTTCATTTATTAAACAGTCTCTTTCAAAACATATTTCTGTTAGCACCTTCGTCCTGTACCCTGATATGACCCAGCTAGTATTAAAATTAAAATGACTAAATTCGGAAGTATAATAATTATTTTCTTTCTTCAATTGTATGTAACAATTGAAGAAAGAAAATAATTATTACGTGCAAAATGGAATATGTTACAATCACCACAGATTCTTTGTTAAAGTAAGCGACGATTAACATTTACCACTTTATTACATGTTTCCAATTCAAATCACATAAAAAAAAATATTATCCAATCACTAACTTATGGTTTAATTAGACCTAGGGAATAGACCACCCTTAAATATAGACCCCCTCTCTGTAGGCGTGTGAGTAACATAGACAAGCGTGTAGTCCGTCCTGCGGTGCACGTAGTCCATCCTACGGTACGTGTAATCCGTCCTGCGGTGCGTGTAGTCCGTCCTATCACTTACTTATGGTACCTATAGACAAGCGTGTAGTCCGTCCTGCGGTGCACGTAGTCCATCCTACGGTACGTGTAATCCGTCCTGCGGTGCGTGTAGTCCGTCCTATCACTTACTTATGGTACCTATAGACAAGCGTGTAGTCCGTCCTGCGGTGCGTCTAGTGCGTCCTGCGGTGCGTCTAGTCCGTCCTATCATTTACTTATGGTACCTATAGACAAGCGTGTAGTCCGTCCTGCGGTGCGTCTAGTGCGTCCTGCGGTGCGTCTAGTCCGTCCTGCGGTGCGTCTAGTCCGTCCTGCGGTGCGTCTAGTCCGTCCTGCGGTGCGTCTAGTTCGTCTTGCGGTGCGAGTCGATGGTACCGACGAACTCGGGTTCGCTTCTCTATTAACGGTTATGGTCATGTCAACATCTTCATTCTTCTGAAAAAAAGAATATAATTATATTAATTTAAAATAATAAATCAGAACAGTGCACTATATACCTTTTTATATTTATATTCTACTAGTGACCCATCCCGGCTTTGCATGGGTCCAATGTAGATACTAGTATGGGGCAGTGTGGAGTGATTTATTGAGCGGAGCGCGAAGTGCGGAGCGATTTTAGAGATCAGATTTACATTCTTTGATCAGTACTCCTCTGAAAGGACTTGAACGATGGAGACCAAAATTTCATAGAAGGTCGACCTTCGGATCTCCATCGGAAACCACTCAAAAGTCCAATCGGTCAAGACCTAGATTTTAAGAATAGTAAGTAAGTAATGAGTTGTAAGATTATGAAGTATTAGGTTTTACCCGCGGCTTCGCTCGTGTTTATTTATCCCCTTAGGGGTGGAATTTATCAAAATCCTTTCTTAGGGGATGCCTATGTCATAGTAGCTTTATGCATGCAAAGTCTCAGCCCGATCGGTTTAAAATTGACAAAATTTCATACAAACTTTCATCCCCTATTTTATCCCCTTGGGGGTAGAATTAATCAAAATCATTTCTTAGCGGATGCCTACGTCATAACATCTACCTGCATGCCAAATTTCAGCCCGATCCGTCCAGTGGTTTGGGCTGTGCGTTGATAGATGACTATGTCAGTCACCTTTGAGTTATACATATATATTTAGACTATTATGAAATTCTATACTCACAATAGTTATAGCACGTGACTGAGTGGACTGGGGATCTTCGTTTTCTATTTTAATGCATTTACTCTCATCATGTGGTGTATTTGGCTGCAATAAAAAAAGCAATTGAATATAAAATAATATACAACTTAGCGATATATAATATAAGGTAGCGAACTCTGAAAAAGGATGAGCATGATAGAGATGTGTTAACAACTGGTAAATGAATGAATCAAGTGAAATAGCGAGAGCATGATTCTGTTATCGAACTGACAATGACTTGAAATTTTCCGATCTTTTCATATCACACAATTTTCACTCGTCACAAATATTTCAATATTGATTTGAGATTGTTATAATTCTTTTTTTCGCATTATCGTCCGATTATGTTATCAATAAAATGATTATGCATTCTATAAGTGCTTCCGCGGTTTTAAAGTGCCATTTCTACTCGCTCCCTAAAGTTCGGTGAAGCTTTCAAGGCTAGCTGCGCCCAAAAACATTAGAATTGTACGAAAAATTTTTTATTTTTTTATTCCAGGTAACTTGAGTCAAGTCGAGTTAACTCGAGTCATGTTTATTACGAGTTAGCACATATCTAGAGCATAATACATCTATGTAGGTCGCAGTGCTACAGGTCCAAGCACCTGATAATACCTGACAAGACTCGCCTCTTATGTATATGTATATTGTGTAGGTCCTTATGTATAAATATATAATAATATAATTCAATTTAATAATTTCATGGAATCAAATTTGACTGACTAATATTTTGGGAATAAATATTATAATTATAATAATAATAATTTGTAGGTGAGTATTACCTTCTTTTAAATCCATAAAAGAAGAGAGAAAAAAAGGAAAAAAAGAAAAAAAATAATAATCTCAGGACAATTCACACAGCGCCATCTAGACCCAAGTTAAGCTAGCTAAAGCTTGTGTTATGGGTACTAGACAACTGATACAAATACATAGATAATTTTTTTTTCGTAAATACATACATATTATACATAGAAAATACCCAGACCGATACAAACAATCATACTCATGAATGTGCCGTGCGAGGAATCGAACCCGCAACCATCGGACGTAAAGCGGTGTGCTAGACCGCTAGACCACCGAGGTCGTCTAATATATTGAGGACATGTTAATTTAAACTTGGAAATTTGAATTCTTTTATGTATAAACTGATAAATGGCACATGTTGTCTGTGGTATGTCAGAAATGACTGAAAATGGTTTAACATAACCATCACTGTAAAATCACATTTAAACAATAAATTTCATTTCATTTCGTTACGTATCCCAAACCCTCCAATAAAAAAAAATACTCCACTGGGGCCAACCAAGCGTAATCCGCAAGCGCAGGCGAGTGCACTATTACATTATAAGCCATGAAAAAGAAGTAATAAAAAAATATAATATACCAACCGGTGATAGATCAATGTCCGGTTGGCGTCGACTGCTTGCAGCGAAGCTATCATACCCAATTATAGCCAATATTCGCTTCTGTAACTGTGTTACATCCTGGACACCGTCAGTGTTAGATCCAGCTTCATTTAGAGCGGCAGCTTTTTTTTTAATAGCACTTCGTATTTTGATCCAATACTGTAAACAAAACATACATAGACAGTCAGTATTTGCACAGAGATTAATAGAAATGGTTCTTATTAAAATAAACTTAATTTTAAACACTTTTCAATCGACTTTAAAATAGATGGAGGTAGTCAAATGACCGATTGTTTTATGTATGTTACCTTAAAACATTTTAAAACGTAAACCGAATTCAATTTATTTTTCATTTCGAACCAGTAGTTCCTGAGATTAGCGGGTTCAAACAAACTAACTCCTTAGCTTTATAATATTAGTATAGATTATTATCACTTCCAGTTTTTCTAGAGTAATTAAAAAGGGCACAAGATGGCGGCATATGAACAGTACCTCGGACGAAAAAGATCGAGGCCGAGCAGCCCGCGAAGAAAGGACGAGTCATGCTCAAGATTTAATATCATTTACCAACAATTACCAACCTTCATCCATTTCTTGGGAGATTTAGTGGTGCCACCTAACTGATTCAGTCTCTTTGACAACTTCTCCCATTTCTTGAACCATCTAATTTTAGCGTTGACATTCCCGGACGGGCCCTTAGCCGCATCGGGGTTCATCTCCAGGAACTTTATCAGGCTGGCCAGCTGCTTCATTAGGGGCCGGGGAGATCGCGACTCCGTCGACCTAAAATTCAGAATAAACGAGGTAACACTGAAACTTGACAATTTTAATAATAATGTATACAAAATTCATAAACTTACTTCACTTTACTTTTACACACAAATCACTGTAGCCGATCTCCCCGCTGCGATATTGACTTTAAACTGTGAGTATACTGATGCTCGAGTATTCTAATATTCCTTGAATGTATATAAATACAAAATTTTCTATTGGCAAATAACTATCAAAGATTAGAACAGTGTTTCCTAACCTTTTTTGTGCGATCACCCACATTAGTCATTCTATAATTCGAATTCCCATTAAAAATCAAATTGCCTCCCTGTGGGGCGTGGACTACAATGTCTCGCAGCATCTTAAACGCTAGCCCAACTTCGTTTTCGATCGCTTTTTATTGTCTATTATTTAATAAATAGAAATCTCTTGTTTTTTTTGGTCTTTAGTCGATGTGCACAACGCACTTATATTTTGTAGTTTTTTGTTGTCTATTATTTTATATAGAAAAATTATACATTGTTATTCTTCTTTGATCTGCTTAATATATTAATTTCTTTCTAAAAACCGTATTTAACAACATAATTACATTTAGCAGTATAATAACAATACAGTCTCTTCGCTTACAGGCTATTTTTATCATCGAAAAATAATAGCTGATTTGGCACTAAAATCGTCCAATACGGCAACACTGCGTTTAAACATGCACCGAAGCCGCCAAAAACAACACGTTTTATGTAAGACTCGTAACAATTTATCGTACTTTGAAAATTTTATCTCTGTCCTGCTTGCGACTGTAATTGTGTGTATAAATAAAGAGCAGAACTATATTTCTTTGTTTTAGTTATGTTAGGAAACTATGGGTTTTTTTTAAATAGGAAACTATACTTTAGAATAATTTAAATTGTAAATATTGGATGCAAAATAAAAATTATTATTAATATTAATCTGGTCTTAAACAATGTGAAATTATAAACAGTTTTTAGATGTATTGGATGTAAAATAATTAGAAAAAAGAATAAAAAATTATACCAGTTGCATTTCTTGCCAGTTCTCAGCTGAAGTTGCTAGCCAAACTGAACGGTTAGGTTAGTGATAAAAAAAATATGACGTACACAAGAGTCGGAAATATCCAATGTGAATCATTTTGACTTTTAGTTCAATTTCCATAAGGTTCCAAATTCGTATTAGGTTCAATCCGCAAGGCCGTGCCGATGACGGCATTCAATTCACGCATTGCCAAAACATGATATGTAGCATATGTACCCCTGCGCCGAGGGGTAGCAATATGGTACATTGCTACCCCTCTGCGCAGGTTGACCTCCACGCGGTTCCACCGGAAACCATCTTGATAAATTCTTGGTGAATTTGTTACGATAGGCTAACTGACCTGACCTCATACTTCATCATCATACCCTCATTTTATCATCTTCCACTGGTGCCCCGCCAGCGTAAACCGTTAGCAGGTGGATGCACCATTCCATTATCATCCATAAAAATATAAATTTGTTGAATGAGCGAGCTTTAAAACTAAATTTAACCAAATGGCTATTGGCACATTGTTTTTATAGTGTCAAGGAATTTATGGAATATAGTAATTTAATGCATCATCTATAGTAATTATGTATGCCAATAATTCCAATGACATGTTCATTTTAATTTAATTATAGACTAATCAGAATGACATAAATATATTAATATAAAATATAAAAATTTGCACGCCTGTATGCAGGCTGAATACACTGGACATTATATTTAACATTGTATACACATAAAGTACTGTATTCTGCTAATAAATGATTTGATTTGAAAAAAACACTTGGACGGAGGGGGATAGTGGATTGTTGTACCATTACAGGTTCGCCTCCATGCGGTTCCACCGGAAACCATCATGACAAATTCTTGGAGAACTTATCATGATGAACTCACTTACCTGACTTCATATTATCATCCTCCACTGGTGCCCCGCCAGCATAAATCGTTAGCGCAGGATGGAACATCATTCAATTATCATACATAAAGAAAACTATGCGCCGCTCAGAATGCTACGTCGGCGCGGATTAACCGATTATTACCGGAAATGTATAAAAAAGTACCGTATATGCATATATACGGTACTTTTTTAAACATTTCCGGTATTAAGTAAAACGTTAAAATTAGAAACAGACATTTTTTTATTTATTTGAATATCATCCGATCAGACTTCACTTGTTACCAAAGCTAGTTGAATATTAAAATCAGATCGAGCAGAAACTCATATATATGATATCCGGGGATAATCAACAATTGTTGAAAGAATCCGTGATTTTTACTAATTATACGTATAAATAATGGCCGCGTCAAATGTAAAACAATATATAAACAAGCAAATTTATAAGACATAGGTATGCTCACTCGCCAACTTAATATCAGCAAAAACTGAGCCACTACGACGTCATACGCATGAGAACGTCTCGGACATAATCCAAGATTAATAACGTATTAGTTAATGCAGTTTAATAAATAATATATAATTACATAAACATTTTCAAGAATAGGACACTATTTCCTTCATAAAAAGAGTATCATCCTTGCAGATGGCAACTTTTAAATAGTTTTTTTTTAATGTATTCTATGACATATTGAAAATAAATTTCTAATCTTTTTTAATATTCTTCTGTTTTTGTGCAATACCATACTAATTAAAATGTCCTATATCAACCAGTTAATTTATCGTCTTACTACAGATAGTAATTTCATTATTAATAATAATCCTGGATAAGTGACACAGCGCCATCTAGTCCCAAACTTAGGAGAGCTTGTGTTGTGGGTACTAGATAACTGATAGAAACAGTTAAATACATTTTTTGTAAACATAATATACATCGAAAACACACAAATAATCATAGTAATAAATACAAATGTTTGCACCATGCGAAGAATCGAATCCGCGACCATCGGAAGTGAATTCCGAGGCCGTATGGGATTATGTACGTCATTAAAAAGCTACCAACACTAACCTCTCAGTAAATTCTTGAGGGCTCATCGGTTTAAGATCCCTGAACTCGTTCAATCGGTTTGCAATCGATGGATCTGAGCTGCTGCTACCGAGCTGGTTGCCAACGGAGACCGAGTCCATGTTCAACCATACGCGACCCTGCAACTTGTTCTTATAGTCTACGCTCTCAACTTCTCGATTATGTAAAGCATCAATTTTCCGCAACTTGTCAAGTTTCGCGGCCGGACTGAGAACTGGGGGCAACCCTGAAAATGAAATGGTAATAACATTGTTTTTAATAGAATAGATCGTTTGAGTTGACAATGTGGTGAGAGGATTGACCAGCCTAGACACTGCGTTAGCGTGTCTAGCTGTTTCCAGGAGCGCCGCGGAGAGGCTCCTATCTTGCACCCAGATCTTGATGAATAGAATAGAATAGAAAATCATTCATTCAAATGAAATGAAATGAAATGAAATGAAATGAATATTTATTGCTTAAAATGTGGTACATGTGTGGTTTTTAAGATCTTTAGAACTAGTTTCACACATTTTGTCATTTCTGACATGCAACAGACAAAACAGATGAAACAGACAAATAATCTTACTTTTTAGTCATCACATTTTTTTTCAATCTACCGCTTATTTGAAAAGTTGTGTCATCACAAGAAGAATGAGCAAGATATTGGATCTTTGTTAAATATATATCTCGCCGTTATTGATAGTTAGATAAATGATTTATTCAACAATTACAAACATATAGCATACATGAGATACATTTTACAATACATTTACAATACACTTACAATACATTTACAATACATTTACATTTATTGATAGACAACTTGAATTATATTTAGAAATGTCTTCTACTGTTCGCGAATTTTTCCTATTGACCGTTGATGTGAGACCTTTTATTTTTACCAAATATATACATACTAGCTTTTGCCCGCGGTTTCGCCCGCGTTAATTTATTCCCTTAGGGCTGGAATTTATCAAAATCTACCCTTAGGGGATGCTTACGTCATAGTAGCTTTATGCATGCAAAGTCTCAGCCCGATCGGTTTAAACTTGACAAAGTTTCATACAAATTTCATCCCCTATTTTATCCCCTTGGGGGTAGAATTAATCAAAATCTTTTCTTAGCGGATGCCTACGTCATAACATCTACCTACATGCCAAATTTCAGTCCGATTCGTTTAGTGGTTTGGGCTGTGCGTAGTTAGATCACTATGTCCAGTCACCTTTGAGTTATATATATTTAGATGGACAATCGGAAAGTATCCCGCGACTATCGGAAGTAAAGCGGTGTGCTAAACCACTAGACAACCGAGGCTGTTATCAATGTTAGACAGGACCCTACCTAAGGATATATTGAGAGCAGACTGTTCCTGCCGCTGCCGTTCCTCGTCTTGATGCCGCTGCAGCGCCTTGTAATACGGGAGGTCGCGCTTGGGGTCTGGAGGGGGAGGTTTCGGAGCCACTCGCTTCTTGATCGCGCCGCGGGAGATCTGTCTGTTTGTTACAATACACCAATGTCTATTATACATAGTTAAAAATACTAAATGACGAGCGCAACTTCCCTTTTGTGCATATCTTTTCATTGCAGCTCCGCTCCTATTGGTTGTAGCGTGATGTTATATAGCTTATAGTATTCCTAGACAAACAGGCTATACAACACATTTTTTTTCTATACTTTAATTATACTGTACTAGCCGACTTCATCTGGATCACAGTTGTTGGACATGTAAATTGTACATAATTCGCACAATTTACATATCTTTTTAAATTATAGCACTGCGCTGCGAAATTTTGTGAGTATGGACAAATGGATGGATCTTTATATTTTACGGTAATATAGCTTATGCATCAGAATAACACATAGGCTATGTCTTTTATTGAAAATTACCTGGAACGCTGGAAACCATCGTGATAAATTATTGGTGAATTTGTCACGATGAGCTAACTGACCTGACCTTATGCTGAAGATGAGCTCATCATCACCACTGGTGCCCCGCCAGCGTAAACCGTTATCGCAGGCGGGTCCACCATACCATTATGATCCATAAAAAAAAACATGCGGGTCCTACGGGCTCTCGCCAAAGAGTATCCTATAAAAACACCGACAGACTGGTTGTTTGTCCTAATAGAAAAAAAATTACATTAAACTTACAAGTCCTTATTAACTTTATCTGTGGCTGCCACAGCCGTGTTAATTTGTGGCTGATCATTAGTCCTCTTCAGCGGAACCTTCCTGATATCCAGACCACCTGATCCACCAGCGACAGCACTATCTCTAGAACTGCTTGGGACTTCGAACGGACTTGCACTGCTCCGAGATTGAACCTCGGCCCTCTCTCTATTTTGTCTGATATTTGTAACCTTCAATCCGTTTATGGAGTTATTATTTGTGATGTTACTGTTTGTTGACAGTGGGCGGACTGGTGTAGCATTTATGATATTGTTGTTTGCAAGTAAGGGGCGGCCTGGCATTAATATGTTGGTAGGTTTTGGCACGTCTTTCTTGGTCTGGGGGGCTGGATCTGCAAATAAATGAACAAGGACATAACAATCAGCACTATCTAGTTATATTTATTTACTACTAGCTTTTAACCGCGGCTTCGCTGGCATTGAATCAAGAATATTAGTTTTTTTTATAAAAAGTTATCCTATGGTCATTCTAATACCTCCAAGAACATGTGTACAAAATTCCGTGATGATCGGTTCAGTAGTTTTTGCGTGAAAGCGTAACAAACATACCCACTTTCACATTTATAATATAATTATTATCTACTAACTGTATTTTATAATGAATTTAATAGGAAACCTCATGAATGGGTTAATGAGAACAATCTTTATGATTTGAAAGAATTATTTGTTAAATAAAATAATATATAATGCTTTTAAATTATATATTGCAATTTCTATGTCAGATAAAACTGGCAAAACAAGTGTCCATACTGTACTATACTGTAACTATATTTACATACCATACCACATACATTTATAACAGGGAATAACCCTGTGAGAGTCTACAGCCTGAACTAGGTCGAAACATGTACTACAGATCTCCAAAATAATATTTAAACAACACAGCAACAATGCCAATATTTGCCTATTTGAATTTTTCTCTTTACGAGTCATAGGGGCCGTTCAAGTATTACGTAAGCAGATTTATTGCAATTATTTACCCCCCCCCCCCCAATCCCCTTATCAGCAAAAGTACGCAAAGCTCTTACGTAAGCAAGGGGGGAGGGGTCCCCCTTGCTTACGTAAACATTTTTCAATTAATGTATTGTTTTTTTAGCAAAAACAATGTGAGGGTTGCCATTCGTGTCAAAAAGTAAATAACTACCGATGACGTAATCCTCATCTAGACTCCCACGCCCCCCATGTCATCCAAAATAAGCAAAGCAAAGACTCCCCCCCCCTCATTCCGACTCCCATAGTACTTACGTAATACTAGAACGACCCCATATAGTAAATCGTTTTAATAAAGTACATACCGTCATCGAGACGCAAAAATCCGTGGTTCGAATCCAGATGCAGCTGCTTGTACTTGATCATGACCCACTCCCTGCACTCCGGACACTGTTCAGTGCGGACACCGCAGTAGTTCTCGTGGGGTGGCAGATCTCGACGAGGCAACTCCAACTCGCAAAATCTGAAAATGACCATTTCATGTTATTTAGAAAATACCTTCGCCTTATATTTTCCCCAGGACCATACACACAGCGCCATCTCGCCACTCCTAAGCTATTGTGTTATCTTACTAATGTTATAAACGCGAAAGTTTGGCAGTATGGATCGTTTGTTACTCTTTCACGCTAAAACTACTAAAAGAGAGGTGATTTTTAGTAATGTGGTCCAATAGCTCCATTGCCATCAATATTCCATGTCAGGTTGACCTCCTTTCACCATGACAGACTAACTGACCTGACCTCATGCTCATTTTATCATCCTCCACTGGGGCCCGGCAGCGTAAACCGGTAGCGCAAGCGAGTGCACTATCCTCCTCCGATCGACCCCCGTCCAATATAAACGGGGACCGATATTACGACGGCCTGAGCCGAGCTTCGAACCCCTAGCGGTGCCCTCAGACTAAAGTCGTATCCGTCGGTCGGGAGTTGGCCTTCAGCCGCTCCATAAGTCCTTCCGCGGGTTTTGAGCCCCATCTGCACTCGCCCGCTATCGTCCGGTGAAGCCGTAAAGGCCAGCTGCGGCCAACAGCATTAGAGTATTCCGAAAAAAAGGGTGCATTATTGAAATGGTAATTATCCATAAGATAAAAACTAATAAAAGGATTTTAAGAAAATAATGATGAAACTTTACAGTAATATAGCTTATATATCAGAATAACATACATATAGGCTATAATTTAAAAAGATATTATGTAAATTGGGTTAAATATAATGATAAATGTCAAGTATGTGATGCAGGCGAAGTTACGCGGGCTAAATGTCCAGACTTGTGGGCCGGGTCATTGGGCTCCCTAAAATATGGTCGAGCGCAGTGATGGCTGGCTCATCCGTCATACTCGTGAACGGGTGCTGCTTGTAGGGACTGGTCTGCTCTAATCACTGATGATCTACGACTGATTTCCTCTTATTAATTATTTAACCAGTTGGTTTTTCTATTTGAGTATTCAATTAAATTAGTGCTAATTGGTGGTTTGTATTCACACACTTAAACTTAAAAATGTAAAGTAATAATAAAATTATTTAAAAGAGCTCGTTCTTCTTGTGATGAGACAGCTTTCCGAATGAGCGGTAGATTAAAAAAATGTAATGACTATTCAAAAGTGCTTCAATATAAGTTTATTTGAATAAATGATTTTCTATTCTATTCTGAAATATACAAATTTATTACTGTTTTTAATACAATTCAGTTGTCATAAAAAAATATAGTTTTAGGTCAGACAAGCAGAGTCGATTGCCCACTTTTCATGATTTCATAACTATGAGGTCATGTATCTTATCCTGTAATCTGCCTTATCACTGCCACTATCTCAAACGTCAAGAGAAACACACGTACGAGTGTACAACGTAGCCATCAGGCGGGAGTTGGCCTTCAGCCGCTCCATGAGAACTTCTGCGGATTTAGAGTACTATCAGCACTGCCTTCCATCATCCGGTGAAGCTGTAAAGACCAGCTGCGGCCAACAGTTATAGAGTGGACAAAAAAAACGGGTGTACATGTATCATACATATATGCCTTCCACTTGAATCACTCTATCTATTGCTAAAACTGCATTAATATTTGCGTACTTTAAAAAATCTTATCGAAGAGACAGAAGCTTCATTTTATACTATGTAAAGATTCATCACCAGCCCACTGCAGTGCACTGGTGGACTCTTCCAAGGCACGCCACTGGACACGATCGTCAGCCCTTCTCATCCAGTTACTACCCGCAACCCTACCTATGTCGTCGCTCCACCTAGCTCCGGGGTGTCATACGCTACGTTTGCTAATTTGTAAAGATTATCAGCACCTATCTCTCTAGCCGCATCCTCCGCCTCGCTCTTTTATATGACGCGGTCATTATTTATACGTATAATTACGAAAAATCACAGGACCTTACCACGTTTTATTTAGTTCTCGATATTTCGGCAGTGTTTCAAGTGATCACGGGTAAACTGCAGAGCAGCGGATAGATATATAAAACGTGGTAAGATCTCGTGATTTTTTCAAATTATACGTAATGAAATGAAATTTGTCATAAAAGTGGTAATAGATAGTATGGTTATATGACAATCGTATATTTAAATCAGTTTCGTTATGTCCGCTGATGCAACTACCATAATTTACGGGTGAACGCAGACCTTTCGAAGTCGGCCCAAGTTTTGTACGCTTTGCTACCGAACTGTTGTCATTTATTTATTAGTACATAAGATAGATTACAAACAATACAAAAATTTGATTAGGAGCGTGTAGTTTGGTACAAAACTGGATTGTAATCCAACACTATGTATGCCTAAAAGCTTTTATTTCAATATACAAATTCAATATACGCTGGATAAGGCTATATAATAAAAAGTAAACTAAATAGAAAATAATATATTGATCTCCTTTCATTCTATGTTGATGTCACGGTAATAGAATTTGCTTATTTATCGAACCTAATCATAAATTACGATAACTACCTACTTAATTTGTAATAGTCTTTCTTTTGATAAAGTAACAGTCCTAATTAATTATCATTATAATGATATCATAATTTAATTTATTGATACTAATATTTGTGTACATGAAAGTAAAACGAAAGTACACGCTACAGTCAGCTGACTATTTGTTATCTTTAACTAGAGACACGTCCCGGCTTCGCACCGGTTTTATACTAGAACACGCATGAATTATACATATAAACCTTCCTCTTGAGGGAGAAGATTGTTAGTAACGACCCATTGCTAGCAATGTACTATGTTAGATCGACCTCCACGCAGTAGCCTCTGGAAACCATCGTGATAAATTCTTGATGAATTTGTCACGATGGGCTAACTGACCTGACCTCATACTCGTCTTATCATCGTCCACTGGTGCCCCGCCAGCGTAAACCGTAAGCGCGGGCTCACCATTCCATTATCATCCATGAAAATAAAACCTTCCTCTTGAATCACTCTATCTGTTGCTGAATACTGCATTAAAATCTGTTACGTAATTTAAAAGGTATAAGCGAACCGACACCGCCGGCGAACTTACGTAGCATCGAACTCGGAAGCAGATTCATAAATTACGTTACACCTTTTATTAAAGAATTTTTATTTCATTTAATTGATTGAATTTTTAAAATGGCTAAAAATCAACACGATTGTCTAGCCGTTATTGTTTTAATAATTATATTTGAAAAGTGAGGTCATGATATTTGGAATCCTTCCCACACCTTGTTACACTTTGTCTACTCCCTCTCTTAACGTGTGACATAACGGAGAAAAGGGAGTGGGATGATGATCCCCTAGTATTAATATATAGAGCTGAGAAGTTAGTTTCTTTGATTAAAAGCCCAAATCTCTAGATCTACTTACTACTTGCAATTGATAAAAATATATATCTACCTGCAGGACTTGACAGTGTGCCCACAGGAATCTCTGATGTGGTCCTCCAAGTCTGTACCGCAGACACTCTCCCCGCACTGCTTGCACGGCACTATAAGTATTATAAATTCTTCATTACATATTTATATTAACTATTACAAAACTTTCAATCGAAAATACAGTTCACAAAGCAAACTGCTTGGTAGTAAAATGTTAAATGTTCGAAGCCGTAATATTAAAAAAAAATGTGAATATTCAAAAGTCTTTAAAATTTAAGTTAATTTGATTAAAGATTTTTATATTTAATGGTGATTACACCAACGAGACTGTGACAGTAAAAATAAGTGTTAACTATTCAAAAGTACTTAAATTTACATTATTTAAATAAATATTTTTTCTATTTTATGGCCATTATACCGATTGAGCACCGAGACCGTAGAAAAAAAAAATATTCAAAAGTACTTAAATTGGTATTAGAAAAAGTGTGACTATTCAAAAGTATTTAAATGTAAGTTGGTTTCTATAAATAATTTTTCTATTTTACGGTGATTATGCCGACGACTTCCGAGGCCGTGGTATTAAAAAAAATAAGTTACACTTCTTTTTTCAAAAGTTTTTAAATATTGTTTTATTTAATGATTTTTTTATTATTTTATTTTCTTTGTCTGTTTTATTTTTAAATTCTATTACTTTCATTCAGTACTCACGGAGCTTGTGAAATTTCTCATGGTGGTCCTGCAGCTCGTGATTGGACACTGGCTCCTTGCAGACGGGGCACACGCGGATGTTGCGGGCGCAGTGCACCGAGTGGATAGTGAAGTTTTCAGCAGGGATCTCGCGTTTGCTATTGTAATACAACAACATCAAAACTCATGACACTATTTCATGTTGTTTTTTTACATATAATTAATAAACTAACATTTTTACGTACTGTTATTGTAACTCAATAAAAATAAAATGTGGTAAGATCCCATGATTTTCACTAAGTATAGGTTTAAACAACATCAATGTTATAATGGGACAACAATTTACAAGTGAACTAATTATTGGATATTGATAATAGTTGCAATTGACTATCAAGTGACCACTAGCCATGTTTGCCTTCCAGTTAAATAAATGCAATAATATAATATAACTAGCTGTTCCCACGACTTCGTCTGCGTGGAATTTAACTTAAATTTTCTAAAATAAAAGTAGCCTAAGTTATCCTTATTACATCAGGTATCTACCAAAAAAAATCCCATCAAAATCGGTCCAGCCATTTCAGAGAATAGACGGAACAAACAGACAGACAAAAATGGTAAAAATGTTATTTTAGTGTTTGTACCGTATGTATGTAATATTGAATATTACAAACAGACACTCCAATTTTATTTATATGTATAGATTTACAAAAAAATGTATTTAGTATTTATATTAGATGTCTAGTACCCAAATCCACTAGTCTGGCTCTGTTTATCTTAGGACTAGATGGCGCTGTGTGATTTGTCCAGGGTTTATTATGAAAATAAATTTCACTTTCAGGAAAGTGTAATCTTACATTTTCACAGAATTAGCTTATCAAAGTATTAAACTATAAAATATCAGTCTTGATTACCTCATATTTTGATAATAGTTAATTATCATTTTCTTTAACAAAGGCCAAACATAATATATAGAAGTCTTTGTTTACCATACAGCAGAAGAAAGAACAGAAACTTGTTACTCTTTAAATACTTAAACCAGGGGCGTAGCTACCGCCATATCTGCCGTATTAAATATAGGAGGGCCCCGGAGGGCCCCAACGTGCGTAAGCAAAAACTAACTTCCCAAATTTAAGGGGGGAAAGGGAATTGTTAGTAATGTGGACTGTTGATCTTATTGCTAGCAATGTACCATGTCAAGTTGACCTCCACGCGGTTCCCCCTGGAAACCATCGTGATAAATTCTTGGTGAATTTGTCAAGATGGGCTAACTGACCTGACCTCATGTTCACCTTATCATTCTCCACTGGTGCCCCGCCAGCGTAAACCGTTAGTGCAGGCGGGTGCACTATTCCATTAACATATAAAAAAAATTACCAAATTTTTTTTATTTCACAAATGACAAAAGGAAAACAAGTTTACTTTTTTTTCCGCATCAGCTATAAAAGATTGTTGATGATTGATTGATCAGTTTGCCGAAAAAAAAGGCAGGGAGAGTGTATATTTAATTTGAATTGTTTGTAAAAATTTTGGAAAAAATGACAGATAAATAATTACGATGAATAAATATTTCTTTTTATTTTATGCAATTTTTTTTTCTTTTGAGAGAAATTATTACCCTTCGTAAGGGCACTCAAACAAATTTTTATATGGGTCACGGCGAGGGCATGCTACGCTTCTGACTTAAACATTACATTTTTTTGTTGAAATATGCAAATATAATATACCAAATAGCACTAATTCATTAAAATCAAAATATTAAATACACGACTATAAATCCAGTAAATCCAGTCCCTATAAGTAACTTCAATAGGTGTTATAATGCAACGGGTGATAGATGGTAAAACATAAAGGAACATATTAAGGATGGGAATTATTAGTAACCAGCTACACGCCCCGGCTTCACACGGGTGCACATGTATTATATATATAAATCTTCCTCTTGAATCACTCTATCTATTAAAAATAAACACTTCAAAATCTGTTCCTTAGTTTTAAATATTTATTTAGTTTTAAATATTTACATAGGGACAGACAGACAGTGACATCGACTTTATTTAATACTATGTAATGATGTAGACTAATAACCACATGTACCATATCACCAAAATTTTTTTCCCATGGAAAATGATGTTTTCAAGAAAAAATTTCTGGTGAATTTGCCATGATAACTGATCGGACCTCATCATCCTCCACTGGTTGGGGAAAGGGGATTGCTCATAATGTGGACTAATGATCCCATTGCTAGCAATGTACCATGTTTCTCCTCGGAAACCATGGTCATAAATTCCCAGTGAATTTGTGAATGGTGGGCTAACCGGACCAAACTTTATGGTCATCCTATCATCCTCCACTGGTGCCCCGCCAGCGTGTACCATTATGCCCAATTTACACTCAGCCCGAGTGGGCAGGGAAGTGAGCAGGGCGAGAGTGGAAACACTTCCCACGCCATTGGCGCTGCCACTCGCGCTGCCCGGCGCTCCCTCGATTGTCGGTTTTTCGTGCGCGAGTCAAAGGACTGGCAGCGCGAGTGGCAGCGTGTGTTTACATTCAGCCCTCTCGCTCAGTTGTCCCCCGGCAATATTTCGGGCAGCGCGAGTGGCAGGGGAAGCGGCTGAATGTAAAAGTAGTATTAGGCGAGTGTACTATTCCATTATCATCCATTATAAAAAGATGTTAACACAGGGAATTATTTTGTCGACCGTAATAGGCGTACATAAACAACTAACAATTATAGCCCTTTGTAATTTAAAAATATAATTGTACACAATTATATTAAGCGGGTAGTTTTTTTTTTTATATTTTTTTCCATTTATCTACTGTATGCACAGTCCAACGACCCAAACAGCTGTTCTGTTTGCATGTTCTACATATCAAAATCTAAAAATAAATCTTGCTAACGTGCTTAGTTATAAATAGGATACAATATTGACACAACAGCGTTCGAAACAGAAAGTAATACTCACCAATTTTGACATATCTTCGCCTCTGATTCTTCCATGATAACACCCACAAACCCAGTATTATTTGTTTCTATCGAAAATTATATACTTTATTCAATTCTACGATGACTTTCACTTAAGAAATTACTTTTCTATCACTTCGTAATCTCCATTTAGGTTATATAATCATGTAAGAAGATTTTAAAACACTACAATATCAAAAAATACAATTTTTAAACAACAATAGACAGTTGGTAATCAACAAGTGAATTGGCGAATAAACAAAATAATAAATATTTTCGGTGAATCCCACAAATAATATTTTTTTCTCTATGAACACTAGTGTTGTTACTTAAAAATGGGAATAACAGTTTAATAACGTTATTGTATCGTTATACTTATAAGCAGTTTTTAGTTATTGGCAGCAACAACATAATTTTGATATTCTTAATTGTATGTATCCTGAATATTATTTATGTAATTATTGTTTTAAAAATAAATGAATAAATACTGATGGTCAATTTATTACTTTTTAGGGAGTTTTCACTATAGAATTTCTAAAAAATATATTTGTAGAGTATATTCTAGATATTGTATACCGTCTACCATTTTTCAAAAAACATACCCTATGTCCATACTTATATGTTCTCTTTTCAATGGATTTTCGCGGCAAATTTTATTAAGTTTGTTCCGTTTGTCTGTTTAGTAGTGGAAAAATAATAAACAGAAATCAGACAATGAGTGGATATGCCGAAACGTCAACTTAGTCTATAAAATATTTTGATAACCGATGGGTAAATTGTTCAATGTACATTGGGTAAAGGATTAAAATTCTTCGAAAACCTAATAATGTGACAAACGTGCATTCTCAGTGGAGGTCAGTTATTGCGTTGTAACGAAACTAGATGACACGTTCAAACGTATCCTAAGCCTCCAATATAGCGCCTGCTAAACAGAAATAATAGTCTAGAGAATCAAGCAGTTGAGCTTACGACTTTGATGCATAGGAAAGGGAAATTACTAACGCAATTCAATTGAAGTAAATTTATTTACAATAGCATTTATTATATGTAGTTGTTTCGTTTACAATAAAAAACGGTTTTATTTCTGTAACGAAATAACCGTTAATATTATTTAATTATGTGCCAATTTCTATACCTATATATCATATTGGCTTGATTTAATTAATATATCATAGTCATTAAATTCGCGTCCGGTGAAAAATAATTTTGAGTTAAAATAAATTACAAGGTAATTAAAAAATTTATCAGTTTACATACAGAACTAGTTTCAACCGGAAGCAACTTATTATATAAGCCAATAATAGAAAAGCGTACATGTTTTACAATTTTATTTAAATAACTAAATTATAAATAATAACAATCATTGCGAGGAACTAGTACATACTCGTATAGGAAACTATTAACAACTACAACTATAGGTTACATTAATAATGTGCTCGCCACAATTGCCATATTTATAAAATTATCACTAAAATAGTTATATCACACATAGCTTGGGTTTACACAAAGGCACCTATGCGTAAAACTCATACTTTAATTTACAATGTGTCGACAACTTTTGAGTAATAAAAAAATGTTTAAAACGGGCAGTTTCGTTTATAATAACTAAGCACTTTGGTTACGGTACTTAGTTATTTTACAAACCAACAATAACGTATAACAGTTATCAATAGACAATAAATCATGCCATCCTTTAATCAAAAAGTACATTATTAAAAATAGATTACCATATTTTTAAACGTAAGAGTATTTAAACAAAAGTAACGATATGTATAACATACATATAAGAGTTCATTTTATTTATTTTTATTTTTCGACTAGTTAATGAAGGTGCCATTGTGCAAACTTATAAAAAAAAAAGTAAAATAAATTCTAAATACACACATCACCGCCCTATGTACGGCGAATATTAAACGTATAGATAACTAATACTTGCGACTTGCAAATATTTAAATAGAATAACCGTTTTTTTAATTACAATTATATTTACAATAGTGACATTCACAACTGATAACTGATAAAGAACAATGAAATTAGTTATTTGTAACGACCACAAAGAATCTGTTTTACATTGTAGACTATTATATAAATAGGTATTTTTTTATCTCTTCTAGTCGTTACAGAGTAACGACTAGAAGAGATAAAACTCTCATAAAGCTCATTTACAGATATAATATAAATAGGATATAGATACCTACAAAACTTGAGATTTTGATACTAAAGACTGCGTAGACTGCGATAAACAATGATAAAACTCTTCTCTTACGCAAGTTTTATTGTACATTACATTTTTTTAGATGTTATTTCGAGCAAATTCAATTACTTAGTGGATTTAAAAAAACATCTATTAAAAAGAGCAGCACACAAGTTTCTTGCTCATTCTTCTTGTGATGAGTCTGCGTTCCGAATGAGTGGTAGAATCAAAATGTGACTATTCAAAAGTGCTTGTAATGAGTTTATTTGAATAAAGATTATTTCTATTCTATTCTATTTATGTTATTTTGTTTAATTCTGCTACCATTAGCTTGTGCAAGATCACAAATATTCAGTGCGGAAACTTGACCGCTACTGAAAGTGTTAGGACAAAATCTGCAGATTTTGCCGAACTAAAGAGGAAACGCCACTACACATTCTGTGTGGTTGTAGGCCACTCATGCATAAACGAAATATCTCCTTTGGAACGTATACACTCTATCCCGAGGAGATAAAAACCATCGCTTCTAAGAATATCCTTCAATTCTTTTTCCTGACGGGTCTAGGTAGCGAACTCTGATAAAAGGCGAGCACAATTGATCTATGTAGGTCGCAGTGCTACAGGTCTAAGCACCTGACAATAGCTCAAATCCCACAATAAGAAAAAAAAGTGTTACGACATTCTCTATTGGTGATCAAATTCAATCCGTTATTGAAAATATACCCGCATTGCGACTCGTGTTTCGTCTCTGTACGAGTCATTATTAGACAATGAATAGAGGTCGGATATAGCTAAACGTATTGTTGAAACTATGACACAAGTAGTGTATTGTTGTATTAAAAATAACAAATGGGCTTTGAGTACCGGATTTCGCCACTCTTCTCAATTATCGCTCATGACTCAATGTTATTGTTATATATATAATATATATAAATTAAATTGGAGTGTCTGTTTACTACATGCATATGAATATAAATACGGTACATACCCCAAAATAACATTTTTTTACAATTTTTGTCTGTCTGTCTGTCTGTTTGTACCGATTCCGTTGTCTAATCTCTGAAATGGGTGGACCGATTTTATTGGTAGGTATCTGATGTAATAAGGAATAACTTAGGCTACATTTATTTTAGAAAAATAAAGTTAAATTCCACGTAGACGAAGTCACGGGCACAGCTAGTTTCCTATATGTGGCATAGATACCCTTATTTTCTCAGAATGGTAATAAAGAATCATACATTATATTTAATTTGTATTTGGGCTTTTAGATCGTTATGTACACTACACTCACAAATCATACTAGGCTTCATTATGTAACATTCTCAGTAACAATTCTTCATCAATTTTAAAATTAATAAGAAAAAATGTACAATTTTGCAATTATGTTAAGATTATTTCAGAGTTGCTATTTCGCACAACTTAGAGCAACTCTTAAACTTTTAAACTAAAAAAAAATTGAGAATCCTTAGTAAAAGCTTTGCATAATTAAGAACTCATTGTTATGTTATCCTACACGAGATCCAGAAAGGAGTTGTTAGCAATGGTAACTGGTAACACCATTGTTCACATGGTCCTCACATAAATCCAGTTATCCGGTTGACATTTACATAGCCCCTCACAGAAAACCATTGTGGTAAATTCTCTATGAAATCGCCACAATGCACTAACAACGAAGTCAGGATATGTCTTCATTTTCATCATATCCGCCAGCGTATACAGTCAGCGCAGGTGGGTGTAACATTCCATACTCAACCATGCAATAAATAACCGTTACCACAAAGCCTTATAAGACCCATCCTTATATTACAATTACAGCACACGAATTTCTTATTCTTTTTGTCCTTACCAAATGTGACTAACTGTGACAAGGATCCCATCTTTGTCACATCTGGTCACATTTGGGAGACCTAAATTAAAGTCACATTTTGAATCTACTAGTAAACCAGTAGTAAATCTACTAGATTATTATTAACTTTTTCGTTAATAGTTAAACTATTCTTGTTCTAATACGTAGATTTAACAGATATAGTTAACAGATAACAGATTGTGAAATGTGTCGTCACTAAATTTAGGAATCCTTTTAGAATTCAGGACGCCTATTAATATATAGGACGACTATTTGAATTTAGGGCTCCTATTAGAATTTAGGACCCCTACTACAATTTAGGACTCTCCTAACCTTTATCACGCAATGTCACACTGTCAACCTCAATTTGTGACGTAATTTACGAATAGCCCCTGCCGGTGTGTTATATCTTAGGAGCACTAGGGCTCCCGTGGGTGCAGCTAGTACTGTCCGCGCTGGAAGCCGAGTCCGACGCCGCGCATGGTGTGCGTGGTGGCGCGGGCCACCTCGTACTGCGCCTGCATCGCTTGGAACAGCTCCTCCTGCTTTTTGATGGGGTCCGCCGATGGCTCCGGGTTCTCCGGCTTCACTGCTCCTGCGTATGCAATCACACAATGTTAGTTGTTAGTTAAAATTCTCGTGTCACAATGTTAGTTGCCATACTCCTACGAAACGGCTTGACGAATTTTTATGAAATTTCATATACATATTCAGTAGGTCTGAGAATCAACTACTATCAATTCTTCATACTACACCCTAAAGTGATAACGGTTCTCTACTCCTAACATTTATTTTGTGAATAACTTTTTAATTTTTTTATATAATGCTGCATTAAAAAATACATACAACCCTAAGTTTTCACCCTTGTATAACCATCCCCTATTATTTAATAGCTATTTTATATTTGTAGCACTAACCTGGCTCCTTGATGCCCATCAGCCTCATGAACTTGGAGACCTGCTTGCCGTCGTCTCCGGCGAACCTCGTGCCGCTCCACTTGGCCGCCTCTTCCGCCTCGCTCTTGTTCTTGTTCGACCACAACAGCTTCCGTTTTTGTACCTGTATTAGTATGATAACAATAATAGGTATATCTTATAGAGATAACCAAATAATAATAATCCCAGGACAATTCACACAGCGCCATCTAGACCCAAGTTAAGATAGCAAAAGCTTGTGTTATGGGTACTAGACAACTGATACAAACACATAGAAGTTTTTGTTCCAAAATACATACATATACACATATATAGAAAACACCCAGATCGATACAAACAATCATACTCATGAATACAAATGTGCCGTGCGAGAAATCGAACCCGCGATCATCGGAACCAAGGCGGTGTGCTAAACCGCTGGACCACCGAGGCCCTCAATAACATCAATAATTTTTCTTGTACACACAGCCGTTCTGAATACACTATACAAAATACCATCAATGAAAAACTGACGATGTATATAGAATTAGCAATAGAATTAAAAAAGCAATGGAAGGCACACACCATCCATATAGTACTAATAGTTCTGGCATCCACATGTAATACCAATATACAAAAACATTTTAGGTAACACCTAGATACGTTGCAAAATCCTACTCTACTAATTTCACTGTGCATCTCACAGGCAAATCCCATAAAACGGATTACTAACTTTCTTCAAATGGCACTTAGGTAAAACCAGTTCGTTCTAATTACGAAGCTTTTATTAGTGTAATCACTAACTTTTTTGAAACTGTCAATAATTTTATTGGCATATATCATATTTTCGTAAATGTATTGAGAATCCACTGTAAGGATGTTTGATTCTTTAAAACACTCACGCAAAGACTCTCTGGAGAAGCCATACCATAAGTGGAAAGGTATTTATATATATATATAGCTGCTTTACTGTATTTATAGTATGACATACAGACCAGAGGATGGGTGGGCCTGGCCGCCGCCCGTCGTAAGAACTGAAACCACTGACATACAGACCTGGTCGAGTATCTTGGTGGTGTTGACCGCGCTGGGGTTGTAGTAAGAAGGAAGCGAGTGATGCGAGTGGTGCGCTAGAGGATGGGTGGGCCCGGCCGCCGCCCGCAACTGTTGCGCCGTCGCCATCGACCCATCTGGCGTCTTGATCTGAAGACCTGAGGTACAAAAGGGTTACTCTTCTGATCAGGGGGAAGGGAATTGTCAGTAATGTGAACGAAAGATAAATGAACCCATCACTATCGATGTACCATTTTTGGGACATTGGTTAGTTAGTTTAGGATGATCTCCATGTGGATCTTCAGATAACTATTATGATAAATTCCTGCACATCTTATCATCCACCACTGGTGCCCCACCAGCGTAAACCGTTAGCGCAGGCGGATGAACCACCGATACATTATCATCGTTAAAAACTCTTCTAATCAAATTACAGATGACTCTACATCCTTTAGGATGGCGAACTGCAGATTGAATGGGTTATTGTTCTCATCAAATTACACTACAACAGACATGACTACATCCTCTGGCATGACAGACTTGTAGTTCAAATGGGTTACTCTTCTGTTCTAATTACAGAGTACGAGATAAGGAGTTCGTCCTCTGAATTGGGAGACCTGGAGTACACTCTACTGATACAATTACACTACAAGAGACATGATGCTACGTCCTTTGGAATGAAAACGCATGAGTAGTATCAAACTGATCTGTTGAAATTACAAAAACATGATATTTTAGTCATCTAAATACATTAAAAACACTACAGGCATCATGTTATCACGTGGTACATGTGATAGTCATTCATAACCATTTCAGATGTCTAAACTAATAACAATATATCAGGATGCAATTATCAAAAATTAAAGCGGCATGCTAAAATGCTAACTGCAAACTTCAAATAGTTACGCTCGAATGTTTAAATGGCTTGTAATGGCTTGTTTGTAATTTTTTTTATATATATAACACAGGGGACAGACGAGTAGGCGGCTCACCTGATGGTAAGTGATTACCGCCGCCCATAAGCACCCGCAACACCAGGGGAATTGCAAGTACGTTGTCGGCCTTTTAAAAAGGAATATGCTCTTTTCTTGAAGGTTTCAATATCGTATCGGTTCGGAAATACCATTGCTGGAAAGTGATTCCAGTTGGAATGTGGTTGTGCGTGATAAAAGTAAATAATAATTATTCTAATTATCTAATTTAAAATTATTCTTACCCATTTTCTCCATGACTTCTAATTTTTTGTTGACTTTATATGAGGAAGGTCTGTAGTCCCCTGAGGATGGAGAGCCTCGCCTTTCGCCAGAACTAAAAACAAACAAAATTTTCCAATTTAATTTCATATCAACAGTTTACTTTAAAAATCACAATAATCCGAGGAATACTTTACATTTCATATCATAAGAGTCTGTAATGATTTGATTTAGGACTTTCATCTTTGAAAGCTAGGTTTCAGTATGACGGTGAACCTGTTATATTCAGTGCCATTACTGGCTATATAAAAAAAAATGAATATTACCGTGACGATTGGAAGTGACCCGGCCTAGTTGCTTTTATCTACCTATCAACACTTCCTACATTAAAATAAAGATAAGGAATAGACCTAAAATATTGATTGACCTTGATTGTTGTCTATAAGTGTGAATAATATTTTTTTTTCGGTCTACTCTAATGCTGTTGGCCGCAGCTGGCCTTTACAGCTTCACCGGACGTTAGCGGGCGAGTGGAGATGGCACTCCAAACCCGCGGAAGGACTTATGGAATAGAATAGAATAGAATAGAATAGAAAATTATTTATTCAAATAAACTTAATTTAAGCACTTTTGAATAGTCAACATTTTTTTAAATCTACCGCTTATTCGGAAAGCTGTCTCATCACAAGAAGAATAAGCAAGAAACTTGTGTGTTGCTCTTTTAAACAATCCTTGTAAGTTCACATTTTACAAGTCGAAACGTGTGAATACAAACTACCAACCAGCACTAATTTATTTAGGCTCAAATATAAATATGGAGCGGCTGAAGGCCAACCCCGCCTGACGCATACGACTTTAGTCTGAGGGCACCGCTAGGGGTTCGAATCTCGGCTCAGGCCGTCGTAATATCGATCCCCGTTTGAATTGGATGGGGGATCGATTGGAGGGGATACTCACGTGGATGTGTGTGTGGGTGGTGGGAACGCCGCGCCGCGAGAACGAGATCTGGACCGCGACCGTGACCGCTCGCGGCGGCGAGATGTACTTCTGGAAACAACATAATGTATAAAAATCTCGTCTTACAGTATTTATTATGAAACTCCTTCAAAATGAACAACATCCTTATTGCCGTCGAAGGCAGGGCCGGCCACTAGTATCGAATAGTAATTGGTCAAAACAGAAATTACCGGGTCATATCATATAAACACATAAATAAAATTGGTCTGTTTGTAATATTGAAATAACAGTTTTTTACTACATGCATATGAATATAAATACGGTACATAAATCAAAATATCGTTTTTTACAATTTTTGTAAGCTAAGTAGCCTAAGTTACTACTTAGGCTACTTTTATTTTAGAAATATAAAGTTAAATTCCACGCGGACGAAGTCGCGGGTACAGCTAGTATAACATATTATTTAATTTAAATTACCATTCATTAAGTATAAAACCGACATAAAAGCTATAGAATCGCATGTTGTCAAAACAATAACGCAGTGATAAAAAATTATCATCATTCATAATTGCCTTGCCTTTATCCCATTATTTGGGGCAGTCAGTCGGCGCAGTATGTCATTCTCTTCCACTGCTCTCTATCGGTCGTCATATCTAAACTGGTGGTCTATCGGCGCTACCGTGGCAGATTGCCGTCGTCAGTGCCGTGACCATAGAGACAATTTTATTTTTCATATTTTATTATTATTTCTTATGTATGTTAGTCTATAAGGTATTTATAATATGGGCGATGTAGCCTGAATTAAATAAATAAATAAACATACTCTTCTTTTATACATATCATCTTTCACACAATCTATCCATCTTTTCTTAGGGCGTTCTTATATGAAAAAACATTACGAACTCACTTCCTTTCCTCAGAGCGACGACCGTGTCTATCGCGGTCACGTTCGCTGCGTTCTGGGCGGTCGTTTCTGTCGGTCCGTTCGGCCCGATCTCCCCTGTCGATCCTGTCGGCACGATCGGATCTCTCTCCCCCTGATCGCTCCCCCCTATCTCCCTTCTCGCGGCGATCACGATCCACGAACCTGTAAACACCACAATTACTATAAGTGAAATTAACACAATTACATAATTTAATTATTTTATTTACTTAAACCATCATCAGAGAACAGTTTGATGCAGTCCTGACTCCCAAATTAGCCTGAGCTAGTATAAGGAGTCAGTTCCTTCACCAAAACATTCAAATTCAAATTAAAAAATCATTTATTCATGTAGGACATTTTAGCCGCTTATGAATGTCAAGTTTTTACATTATATATATTTTTCCCTACCGTCCAGTTCGGTATATAGATCCAATTCACGACATTGTATTGTACACACATCCATTGTACAACATGTTTTATCTGTTGCACTCCAATCGTACCTTGGCGACACAGCATCTCTCGCGTCCTGTGATCTCCTCTGATCGTACCCCGGCGGAGGTTCCCCACCGAATGGTTTTAAATCCATAAGAGCTGGAGGCTGGAAATAACAAATAAATAAATTGTAGTAATGAATATGTTCTGAATTTATATTTATGCTTTTTTATAGTTTTATTTTATACGATTTTAATAGATACAATATTTTGTCTATGTAATTGGAATGGCCAATCTTCAAAAATGCGTCATAACCGTTTTATTGACAGCCTCGATGGTCTAGCGGTTTAGCACACGTTACTTCTGATGATCGCGGATTCGATTCCTTGCACGGTACAAACATAGAAATGTTTGAAAGTATGATTGTTAATGTATGTATTTTAAAAAAGTATCTATATATTTATATCAGTTGTTTAGTATTCACAACACAAGCTCTGCTAAGATTGGGACTAGATGCTTGCTGTGTGAATAGTCCAGAAATATTTATAATAATAAATTTTACGTACCTTTCCATCAGTAGGTTTGTCATCAGGCCTGTCTCCCAGCAGGCCGCGCCGTGAGTTGCCGTCGTGACGTGCGCGTTCCCCGCGCTCGGACCTAAACAATATTTAGATCGTATAATTTGGTTGCTAGGATTTCTTATTCTGGTAAATGATAGTTATGAGCTTACTTTCGCATACGCATCTTACATAATTAACGTTGATAATGTCTATGACTACCCCATCTGGGATAATAGTCGTACATTACATATTATTTTATAGGAAATATAGTCGCAGTGAGTCGCAGTTTAGTCGCCAAACAGTCAACACTAGTATAAAACTGAAAACCAGCGCTGGACGCCCATCAGTCCAGCAATAACTGAGTTTGTACCTATTGCGAATCATAATTAATATGTATAATTGTGTAACTATATTACTATACTAATATTGGCAATAAATTGGTTTATTATTATTATTTTAAAATTGTAATATAAAATATAAATTAATATAAATGTGTATGTTAGTCCTATCTTGCAGGTTGTCTGTAAGAAATTGCTTATAGCGATAAGACCGCCTTTTGTTCATAATTTTCCACTTATTGTTTTTTTTTCTTATTGTATTTCTTCTATGTGCACAATAAAGAGTTTATTATTATTTTTTTTTTTTCTCAGCATTTGCTGGTTTTCTCCACACTTACGGGCCGAAACCAAGTAAGTGCAGAGTGTGTGTGTACTTATTGTGTGCCTGGTGTGACTGGTGTTACTTTATTTTTTTATTATTTGGTGTTGTTACATTATTATTATTATTAATTAGTGTTTGGGAAATAAAATTTGAGTGATAATATACAGAAATTCAAAAGAAAATGATGATATAAAACACATCCGCGTGCAAAATAGTGAACACAACACTACGATAAAAAAAATATAAATTCATCAATTTCATTTGACTCACTTTTAAGCTTAATTCACACTACACATATTTAGACACGTGTTTACTTTGAAGTATATCGGACGTCAAATATTTTATAACTAATTTCCATTAGGACGTTACGGAGCTATATGTTATGTTACCTGTACTTGTCGTCCCTGCGGGGCTCGCGCCTGTCCGCGCGGTCTCGGTCGGGCCGCGCCCTCGGGGACGCGTCGCGTCGCCTGTCCCTGCGGTCGCGGCTGTCGTACTCGCGATCACGACTTTCATCTGAAACAAATTTAATTTATATGTACACTTCGTAACAACACAAACTTAGGGGGGAAAGGGGATTGTTAGTAATGTGGACTGATGATCTTATTGCTAGCAATGTACCATGTCAGGTCGACAGCCACGCGGTTCCCCCTGGAAACTGACCTGATCTCATGCTCATCTTATCATCCCCCGCCAGTGTAAACCGTTAGAGCAGGCGGACGTACCATTCCATTATCATTCATAAAAAAAAACACAAATAAATTATACAAACAGTTTATTTGTTTATCTGGACGTATGGGCTCCAGCTGGGGGGTTCAGAAAGTCCTTTAAAAAGTCCTATGGACGCACGATTGGACAACAGTAAAAAATACGCGTCCTAGCGCCACGCGCGGTCTCCCTGATTCTCTCCAATAGCTACCTTCTAGCTACTTTACACGAGACATTCTCTGACGCGCGATATTCTCTCGTTCTCTGTGTCTATATTTACAGAAACATTCTGAACATTCTTCAGTGCGTGAAAGCCTATTCTCACATGAAAGAAACTACGTGGAAAAGCAGCTTTTTTCTTATTTGAAAAGTGTGAAAGCTGAGCTTCTTGTCAGTTCTTCATTGCTCGAAAGCACTGCGAACTGACTATAAATATGACATATCATAATTCTGTAATAGACCTACATGAATAAATATATTTTGATTTTATTGAATTACTTGTGCCCGCGGTTTCACTTGCTATAAATTTCTATAAAAAAATGTAGCCATAACATCAGCCCACTGCAGTCCACTGCTACATAAGCCTCTCCCAAGGCACGCAACTGGGCACGATCTTCAGCCCTTTTCATCCAGTTACACATTAAAAAGAAACGATTTTTTGAACATAAAGAGCGAAGTTACTAAAATTTGCAATTATCTGCTCCCATAGTATGGATGAAGAACTTAGTATTTTTGAACCAGAATTCAAATACGAATCAGTTTCAGTTTGTAAATGTTTGATTGAAAGTCTTTCAAACGAACAAATTGTAATACCGGCACGTAAGCTACAGATTCTAAGTTCTGTATCAAGAACAGAAAACTATTTAAAAGAACGTCGCATACCTGAACTCATACGCTTTTTACTAACTAAAGTAATAACTGAAGCACCAAATGGTTTATTTGGTGCTTCAGTTATTACTTTAGTGGTAGTTTATGGATTATTTAGAAAAATTACTAGACGACTGCATGTTGTTTCGAGCTGGACATGGACCAGCACCAGTTTTATATGAAAGAAGACACCTAGAAGCTGTTGTTAAAAGTTTTGATCCAGGACAACGGGGCTGGCTTAGTGCTGGGCAAATACGTCGAGTTTATATTACTTTGGACCTTACTCCTCCTGAACTTTTTGATGAGAAGACTTTTTGTGAAACAATATTAAACGACTTAGAGAAGAAGAAGAAGAAGTTACTACCCGCAACCCTACGTATGTCGTCGCTGCACCCAGCTGCGGGGCCACTCTAGAACACGCCTACTTCATCGAGTATCAGTTCTGCGACAGGTATGACCAGCCCACTGCCACTTCAACTTACAGATGCGAAGAGCTATGTCGGAGACTTTAGTTCTCTGGCGAATTACTTCGTTTCGGATTTATCCCTATATGTTATTCTAGTATAGCTATATTACTGCAAAAAAAAATTGTAACTACATGAATTTCATTTGACTCACTTTTAAGCTTATATCACACTACACATATTTAGACACGTAAAGTTTCATCAAAATCCATTCAGTAGTTTGCGTGAAAGAGTAACAAACATCCATACTTGTAAACTTTCGCGTTTATAATATTATATAGGATATATATATATCTTTAATCTCAAACTGAATTAACCATTGTGTTTACCTGACTCCCTCCTGTCATCTCGTGAAGAGTGTCGCGGCGGGTTGTAGGCCTCCGCGGGCGGCAGCTCCGGCTCCGACTCGGCCTGGGAGTCCTGCGACAAAAGGAGCTTTTTGTTAACGTCCTTATAAGACGAGCATGACCTTCCATTGTCCATCCACCTTATTTTTAAATAATTGCCTTTATAAGATCTGACTATCAATGTTCCACCCACCTTTTGTCAATTTAATATTTTATAAATGTTACTTTTGTAATGTAACTGGAATGGTAGAATGGTAAACAAGCGTACGAACAATTTGACGGTAAGTGGTAAGCACGGATACCATATCTTCAAAGGATGCCAGTGACCACCACTCACTAGGACACTAATCATCCGAATCCCCCTAGGGGGGTGAATGTTGGGGCTTTCATCCCCTTAGGGGAGTGAAGGTTGAGGCCTTGGGGCGAACCCCTTTGCCAAGCAATCAACTCCGGGGGCATCGACCCCCGTGTATCTGGATTAAACGCCTCTTAGGGCAGGTTGCTTAAAAACTAACTTAATCTAGAGACATTACTTACAAACCTAAGAAATACAATTCATCTAAACTTAACCTTACTTAAGAAGTACCACCACTCATTGCCATTCCCAATAACTAATGTTATGTCATATCTGTCACAGCATATGCAGAGTCTTGACCTCATTAATATTGCCAATTAATAATGAGGCCCAGACTCTGCATATGCTGTGACATGTTTTAGTGTTATTTGATATTTATAATTTAATGTTGTTAATTGACAATAATTTCCTATTATATATTTTTTTCTTTCTTACTGTGATGGCGTCTTTAAACATGGCTTAGAACAATCTGCTTTGCGCAGCAGAAATAGTTAGAAGAATGATAAGATAACTAGAAACATACGATTTTGTAAGTATCATGAATCATTTATTTATTTGTCAACACTAAGCGCCTATGCTCAACCAAATTTAATGAAATCTCGCATACACCGAACATTCCATACGAAAATAGATAATGCAAGATTTTCTACCGTGAAATTATTTAAATCATATTTAAATTTGTATACACTATGTCTTTGTAAATGCCATAAGTTGACAAGTCACATGTATGACAGTCATCCGCACATTTTTCGGCGCTTCTAGTATGTCATAAGATGACATGTCACATGTATGACAGTTAGCCACACATTTTTAAACGCTTGTAGTATGTCATAAGTTGACATGTCACAGCATGACAGTCATCCAAACATTTCTAAGCGCTTGTAGTATGTCATAAGTTGACAAGTCACATGTATGACAGTCATCCACACATTTCTAAGCGCTTGTAGTATGTCATAAGTTGACAAGTCACATGTATGACAGTCATCCACACATTTTTTCAGCGCTTGGAGTGCAGACTAAAATTAGAACCAAGCATCTTCAATTCTTGGCTGAAACTACATTCCAAATAGTTGTACATTTAACTTATCAAAAGTGTCTGTAAAATTTACATGAATAATAAGATAATTTTAAATAATTATTAAACAGTATGTTCTAGAAAGTGTAAATAATAATTATAATATGAGCGAGAAAGTTTCAAAGCAATATCAATAATAATTTATTTAGATAACTACAACGTTAACTGCGAACTGTATGACCACCGGATGGTAAGTGTTAACCGTCGCCTATATACGTGAACAGCACTATGTTATCACGTGACGCCCCCCTCCGATCGATCCCCGCCCATTTCAAACGGGTATCCAAATTACGACGGCCAGAGCAAAGAAACCGCTAGGGCCCTCAGACTAAAGTCAGACTCAGACTCAAGTCGTATCCGCCAGGCAAATGTTAGCCTTCAGCCGCTCCATAATTCCGCGGGTTTGGAGTGCCATCTACACTCGCCCCCTATCGTCCGGTGAAACTGTAAAGGCCAGCTGCGGCCAACAGCATTAGAGTAGTCCGAAAAAAACGGTGATACATCTCATGTACTGCCCTTCCAGAGGCCTAACATGTCATCCCACCATACCGTATAATTTCATTGCCACATCTCAGCAACACAGCAAGCTACTTAGCGGCTGAAATGCATGTGACCGAGATACTACCATAATGTCTACCTCTCGTCCTAAATTATACAATAAAATTAAGAAAATCATGGGATTTTATTACGTTTTATTTATTCTTATCAGTCCCCTATATTTCGCCAGTGTTACAATCGCCATAACCACGGGTAAACGACCAATATAAATATGAATAGACGAATATGTCTACCCGATCGATCGCCCGTCCAATTCAAACGGGAATCGATATTACGACGGCCTGAGCCGAGGTTCACCCCTAGTGGTGCCCTCAGACTAAAGTCGTATCCGTCAGGCAGGAGTTGGCCTTCAGCCGCTCCATAAGTCCTTCCGCGGGTTTGGAGTGCCATCCGCACTCGTCCCTAACATCCAGTGAAGCTGTAAAGGCCAGCTGGGGCCCACAGCATTAGAGTAGTAAAAAAAAACGTAATTTTCTCTACCCGCTGCTATTCAGTTTACCCGTAATCATGGCGGTGGACATTGCTACTATTGAAACTCGATCGTTCATCTCTGCAAACTGACAGTATCTTCAAATTCAAATTAAAATTCAAAACTCATTTATTCATGTAGGACATTTCAGCCGCTTATGAACGTCAAGTTTTTACATTATAATAATATTAACATAGTAAAAGAACTTATATGAACTGACGGTACATTTTTCATATCATAAGAGTCTGTAATAGATCTACATGAATAAAGACTTTTGATTTAGACATTACACGCAATCCTTGTTTTTTTTTTATATTATATATATATGATTGTGGATGGATTAACAACTATTAAACATACAAGTGAAAAAATATTTTCATTGATAAAAAAATACCAAGTTCTTATTATCACGCCAAGTCCCTTAGAGTGTAGACAGAATGAACCAAGTCTTTATCACTGGTTCTTTCCGTATACTTAATGATTAAAAATGTTTTATGAAACAAAATATAACATGTAACATAATAAAAAAAACTTTATACGGCAACAAGGTAAGGGTCTCTACAATTAGAAAAGGATAAAGAACTATTGCTATCCCGCTGGCTGAAGTATAAAGTTTTATTTTGTTTTCCTTCTGTTCCACAGCTTAACCAGTTTTTAAGATATCTTAGAGTCGAAGTAGTATCATGTCAAACAATTAATAAGTATTAATTTAAAGTTTAGGAAAATCGATTATAACCTTATAAATTTAAAGATAAATTTCCAAAAATCATATCTTTACAAAATAAATTTCTCTTATGGTAATCAGTAGTAGAAAAGTTCAACTGCCAATGTGATATAAACATCAAAATTGGATACTATAGGCTAAATCAATCATATGTTAAAGATAATAAGACTGCAATTTGCTTAAATTGAGATGTAACAATAAAAATTTAATCTAAATTTATTTCCTTATCAAAAATATTGTAGGTGTCATGGCGTCGATCATGACCTCGTGTCTATATAAATATGCGGCAATGAGATCGCCAAAATTGATAAAAAAATTTGTTACAATTACATAGAATATATATAAAATTCTCGTGTCACAGTTTTCGTTCCCATACTCCTCCGTAACGGCTTGACAGATTCTCATGAAATTTTGTGAGCGTATTGAGTAGGTCTGAGAATCGGCCAACATCTATTTTCCATCCCCCTAAATGTTAGGGTAGTCCAACCCAATTTTTTTTTTATTTTAAGGCAAAACAACGTTTGCCGGGACAGCTAGTCCAATATAAAATATTACTGAATATGTTTGCATAGGCATGACTTTATTTGATTCGTATCTACTGTTCATCAGAATTAATAGTTTTATTTATATTATTAACCGGGTCTTAACACGAACTAATTTTATGGCAAATAAAAGTATTTACCTCTCTTGACGTTTCGACTAGGTTGCACTAGCCGTGGTCACGAGTTGACTGGAGTAACAGCGATGTCAATGTAAATAGGTGACAGCAGTTTTTTCATCTACCGTCACTAGATTGTTTAACGAAAGTTCGCGACACACAGCACTCACGGTATCCGTACACTTAATTGACTATTGATGGTACTGAACTTTGCTTGAATTTATTTATGTTGTGTTAAGACTAGGGATGTTATGGATATGAAATTTCGGATACGGATAGATTTCGGATATAGTTATGATTATTATACCGGATACGGATACGGATGCGGATATGAAACTATTTCGGATAATTTCGGTTACGGATATTAATTTTTTAAGGAATTTCAAAAGGAAAATACAAGTTCATATACAAATTCAAGTTCATATTTTTTTTTTATATTTAACTTAGGCTAAGGCCTATATATACTACAGGTTATAGATATCTTCTGTAGTAGCTCCTAACATCAACTGTATCATTTATAGAAACTCATTGACTTGTATGATCCACAAATACTAAATGTAACTGCAGAGAAATAAATATAAAATTGTAAAAACAATTTTATAGACAATTTTCGATTAGGACTTGCGGAGCTTCCAAAAATAAATTAAAACTATACTAACTATATTTACGTATAATTAGTAAAAAAACACGTGATCTTACCACGCTCTATTTTTATTCAATTCCCGACATTTCGGCAGTGTTTCAGCCGCCATGATCACGGGTAAACTAACTATACTAAATTCAATAACAAGGGAATATTATTTAAGAAATCAAGAGACATATCAAGTTATTTCAAATCACCACTTTGTAATAAATAAGTATTAACATTTAGGGTATAGACAATTCAAAAACTTTTATACATTTGTATCTATGGTCTTGTTGGTTTGGATACAAATCGCTTTGGTTTGCGAACGCCTTAAATATACGTACTTACGTGGACATGCTGTTACAGTAGGGCCATGGCAGTCGACGGTCATCGTGGGGCCTCAGCTTGTACTCGAGGGGGTATTTGACTTTTTTTGTGTCAATTTACAAATGGGTAACATATAAAATAATAAAAGTGTTAATATCATCGTTGAAAACAGCACAACATGTATGCTTACTTTGTAAGGACAGAGTTTCTAAAATATTGATCAATACTAGTTTATATATAGAATTTTTGGTTTGAACATACAGTCTGACTTTCAACCGCCAAGGTAGAGCGCGGCGTATGGTGACAAGTTTTATATATTTAAATGATAATATATCTAAAAATATATTGTCATTAACAGAAAGCTTTTAATTTTAATAACATAAATATATACTTCTTTACTTAATGTAAAAAGATACATATAATTTGAAATTACATATCAATATTAGTCTCCATTTAATTATATATTAATAATATTATGATACTTAAATATTTATAAGAGGACATACTTATACCTATTATTATATAAAATCAACTAAACTCTTAATCTACAATCGCTTTAGAATAGAAAATACTTTAATGAAATAAACTTACAGTTAAGCAGACATATTTTTAAGAAGACATATTTTTTATCCACCATTATTTGGAAAGCTCTCTCAATACAAGAAGAACAAGCAAGACACTTATGTGTTGCTCTTTTAAATAGTAATTGTAACTTGAAACATGTGAATACAAACTACCAACTAGCACAGATTCATTAGTCTAAATATTGAATAACTGCTTTCTGTCACCTGAGGCGCAATACAGCTATTTCAGTCAGACCATAGTAGAAATCAATATCTATATTCTACAGATTATATATGACATAAATGAATAGATATATTTGAGATAGATTTTGCCTACATGTGTGCGAGTGATTGATATGATGATAATCATTTGTAATTACCTCACTCATGTCCATGTTGACGTCATCATAGTTGGTGTCGTCATCACGGCGACGTGCCGGCGCTCCGGTGGCACCCACCTACAATATCAGTCTATTGTCAAGCAGAGAATGCAGATTAATAAACATTTCTCTATTATAATAATAATAATCTCAGGACAATTCACACAGCCATTTAGATCCAAGTTAAGCTAGTTAAATCTTGTGTTATGGGTACTAGATAACTGATACAAATACATAAGATATATTTTTTGTCATAAATATATACATATTAGCTAGGTCATTCAATATTATAATGATTTAATGTACAAATTCGAAAAACTATTTAAGATATTTTTAATAAAGTTTTACCTATACATTTATAGACTAATAACATCACATTATTTTTGAAAAATATATGAATACTACAATAAATAGACATTGAAGTGGGGTGAAGGGGTTTGTTGGTAATGTGGACTAATAACTTCATTACTAACAATATCCCATGTTGAACTGAACTCACTGTAGTTGCCTTGGAAACTATTATCATCCATAAGAGAGACAAAAATAGGTTGTAAATACCCTACATACATCCTATTTTATGTGGGAATGGGATAAATATTATAAGTGTACTTACAATTGTAATAAAATATTACTTTTATATCTTTTTAAAAATAAAAAAAGAAAATCAAATTGTCATATAGAAGAGAGTGCTTAAAGATGTCTAACATGGATTTCAACATAGTTCAAACTAAGAGAGAGAAGTCTGACAAGGATTTCCTTGTATACTTTAATAATAGATAACATTATAATGTTCATAAAAAGATTAGAATTATTCAGTCTGTGACTGAATTGGGATATTTGTAACAGCATACAGATATAAGGGGCTCAGAGATAATATTGTAGTAAATAACCCATTTATATAATGTGTTCAATTTAAACATTCTTTTTATGAAGATTATTTTAAAAATAATTATTATGTGATCACATTAATATGAGAATGTATTTTAAACTAAAGACCTGACCTGACCTGATCTAGTACAGTTGTACTAGATCTAGACCTACAGGTAAATAAAACCTATTATACTTAGGATTAATCCTACTGAATGGTAGGGAAAAACTTATAATATAAAAAAAATATGTTGATAAGTGGCTAAAATGTCCTACATTAATAAATTAATTTTGTTTTTGAACTATGTATATTCTGTAATAAGAATATTCTCTATGACAATATGTTGTATGTAATATCATTTAAGGGAAAAAAAAACATTGGAACACACATACAGGATAATTAAAAAGAAAAAAATAAATAGGCCAAACGGGTGTTGCCGCAAAGGTAGCGGCAGATATTAATATAAATAAAAAAAATCATCTAAGACAAAAACATCCATTGTCATGGAGATGTAGAAATAAAACATAAATGATTCAGCAACATCCAGTTCACTTTTCGGAACTAATTTATTCCATAATTAACTATTAGCGTAAAGAGACTATTAATGAAGGAATTATTTGTTTTATAATCTCGAAGACTAATAGACAGACATATATGTCAAATTTTCAAATAATGTTACCAGGTATAGCAGGGTAGTGCTGTACCTACCATACTGATTAGCTGAATCATAATCATTTTAGTGTATAAATTTTCAAGTTTTGTACAAAGTTTCCACATATTTTTAAAATGTAAGTATGTACATTGATGTTTCCATGACTGTATTTGTATTAAACAACACAAAAATACATTTTTATGGAAACAGTCTTCATTTTAGTACAATATATATCAACTAAAAAAATCTATTTTGATACAACAACCCTATATTTATGGATCCTTATAATTTATTAAATCTGTGTTCAACCTTTTAAATAATGCCACACATTATTTCTGAGTAATCTATAAAAATCGGTAGTTGATAGATTTCACGATAGTGCCATAATATAATTACAAAAAACTGGCAACATAGGTAATGTGAAATTTGTGTTTAGAAATAAAAAAAAAGATTACAGTGGCCAACCTAAGGGTCTGATTCCTTCCATACATATATTCACATACTTAACAATTGCAAAGGCATGTCAAGTATTGCATTCACTAAAACATTCAGTTAAAATATGATGTTTTTTTTAACATGCACAACTGTTACATTTTAATATATAGGATTTTTTTTATATTAAATATTTATAACCTTAATTTTACTAATAACATAAAATATTATTTCAATGTACAATCAAAATATTTCTAGTTATTTCTAGCTTGAATTCGTCTTGTTTAGGCACAAGTTACAAATATATTATTAGGTAATATTTTACTAGATATTGAAAATTAAATAATCTATTATCATTTCATCAGTCTTTCAAATTCATTAAGAAATTCCTACATTCCTAAAAGCCATTACTAAAAAAACACTAATTGACAATTCCAAGAAAATCTTAGAACCCTGTATTGGTATATTGTGTGTATTTAAAAATAAAAAAATAAATTAGTCATTGTGATTATAAATAAGAAATATGTTTACTTCTAAAATGAAGTTATTTGATTAGATTAAATTTATTTTCCTGTATTTTCAAGGACGCATAAACTCACCATGACGTTATGGCTTCCAAGTCGTTCAGAATCATTTTCATCGTCGCTTCCATAGCCAATAAGAGAATCCATATTGTAGTAGAATCAAAATGAGGAACTGAAGAACAAAATCTATTACTAAACCGTAAAATTATGTATTTCAAATCAAACAAATTGAAAATATTATAAAAAGAGACAATATGTCAATATGGCGAAATTACATTACAGTGTTACTATCACAATATACTATTGCAAAAAAAATATCAGAAGTAAACTTCAGCTTTTATTAAACAGGAAACGCAAGCCCGCCTATTTGTAAATGTAAATGTAGTTGTAATTTAGGAATGTAAATATTTCTCAATAGTTTTAGAAATTATTTGATTTTTTTATTATTTTAGAGCCAATTTTGAGAGGTGGCAATTTTATATTACGTTTCGTTTCTTTTTTTTTCAAAAGAATTTTAGAAGCATGCGCTTTCCGAGGTAACGGAACGCGTCAATATGTTCGGATACAATTCCAAGCTATACAATCAAATCAAAGACTTAATAGCAAAGCAGTCGCAGTATATTGTATAAATGTCGACCAGTTATACAATATACACATATCCCCATTCATATAATTTGATATATTAGCCATGTCAGTATCTTATTACGAAATATTTTTTTTCTAATCATGACATACTGTCTGTATTCTCATTATGTATCCGAACAAATTTCTTCACTCTTTGCGTATTTTTTAATATGGCGGAAGCATTGACCGCCGTTTGGACGTCTCTTTTTTTGTTATTACGAAACAAGAATTTCCTCGCTTTTAATTTGAAATTGTGAAAAACTGTACTTAATAAGTTGGCTTAAGACTTTAATTGTGACATATATTAGCAAACGAAAGTGATCCAGAAACGCTGAATCAGGTTGAAAAATGGTAATGATAGTTTTTTGTTTTGATACTTTTTTACAAACTTTACTTTGTCACAAAATGTGTTTTCCGCATTTTTCATTAAATATTAATACATTAAGTACGTATTTAATATGTTAAAATATATGAATTTTTAATTTATCGCGGAAAAAAACGATTTTTTCCTCATTTTTTTCTTTGTTTTCAAGTTTTCTAACCAAAAAAAAATCTGTCAAGGTGGTGTCCATATCACATGTGCTATTATTTGGCTGTTTTTCTTTAAAATTTCTTATTTCTTTGGGTTTATGATGAGTTAATTATGCAAGCTGGGTGTGGCTGTATTGATTTTCTCGGAAGGTTCTAGACATAGTGTTAGAATAGGTCTTGAATACCTGCACTTTGTCTGTGTGAGACACATTACTGTATTGCAGTGTTACAACGCAGTGATCGATGTCTGTACGTTATTTTATGTCTCTTAGTCTCCTATCATTAATAAGTTATGGTTTTAAGTATACGATATTCTGTATTTCTTAAAATCTTTGTGAAATTAAAGCTCTAACATGCATATTGGTTTATTGCACAATGTGCCTTCTTATCTTAGATATTTGTGTTTTGCCAATAAAATAGCACTGTAAAATTCTTTTATCGATGTAATTTCGAATGAACTTAAAATTGCTGTTTTATGTTTAAATATAAATGAACCATAAATGAGTTTGTATTAATTTAACATAACTCAAGACATTAGTTTTTTTAAATTCAATATTAAATTCAATATTGTGTTATAAATCATGACATAATTGAATTGTAAATTTTATTTTTAAATATTTAAGAAGTAATTTTTTATTTGATATAATATTTTAGGTTAGAATTTATTAATGTTTGGTCAGGTTAATGATATTAAATGTGTAAATGTATGTTCAATCTATTACGGTGACAAATTTAATTAAATAAGTAGGTATAGTGTAAACAACTTGTTTATTAAATTATGAAACATATATACTTGGTGATGTATATATAACAGCATTTTGCCTTTGCTTTTAGGTTTCAGTCCCATATGAGTCGCTTACCCAACTTTGTCTTGGTGCTCATATTCTTTTTAGTTAATTTTAAACTTTCATATTTAATATACATTATTTAAATTATTAACCAGGTCTTAACACGAATAATTTTATGCAAAATGAGATAGGTAAATACCTTTATTTACCATAAAATTATTCGTGTTAAGACCCGGTTAATAATTTAAATAACATATTCTTTTTAGTTTATACATTACTATTATTTTTTATTATTATAGCTATATTATTCCACTTATTTATTATATTTTTATTGTTACGTTTTTTTCACATGCAAAAGCTTCCTCCACCCTTTGCTAACCCTGTATTACCATGGCAGTTTATATATTAAAATAATATAAAGCATATATGACAGGACAGAATAATGAAAACATTTTAGAGTAATGAAATTAATGGAATTTATGTAGTATCAATGATTATTATTTAACAAACATAAATTTATTGATTATAGTAGTGTTGTGATTAATCTAATATTGTAACAATTTATGTATATTAAAACTTTTATATACATTTTTATTGCTTTTATATATTATTTAACAAATATTAGCACCTTGGAGCTTACTTACAAGTGAGTTTAGGAGAAGGCTAAATTAAATACTTAATTTGTTGATATTATGTATATTACTGACTTCTAATTAAGTATAATTCAAATATACTTCAATATTTTTATAATAATAAGTATGAATTAATAATGTTAATAGCATTTACATATTTACATAAAATGAAGTCGCTTCCACTGTTTGTTCACTTAGATATTTTAAACTATGCCATGGATTTTAATGCTGTTTTAGCAATAGATAGAGTAATTCAAGAGGAAAGTTGTGTGTAGCCAGGGCAGGTGCCTTCACATGTGTATGTACATGTATTATCATTACATAGTATAAAAGAAAGTCACTCTCACTGTCAGTCTCTATGTATGCTTAAATCTATTACTAACTACGCAATGGATTTTGAAGCGGTTTTTTCAATAGATAGACTGATTCTAGAGGAAGGTTTACATATATAATACATGTACATGCGTGCGAAGCCGGGGGGAGAAGCTAGTACATATCGTCGGTTAAATAGAAAAATGGTAGTATTCAACATGTACATTTTTGTCTTGTCTTGTAGATAAGCATTAAAAGTTTTTAAATTTATTTAAATTATTTTTCCCTTTAAAGTTTTAAATTTATATATTACATTTTAAAAGTATTTAGATAATGATTAAGACGGCGTGGTTAATTTACTTGACTTATATTAAAGCAGGCAACTCGAGCTTCTAATTTTGAAAAATGACATTTTTCTATTTAATTAACAATATATAAACTTTACTGATAAATAATGTGTTTCTTACACTTTGTGACATCCAACCATGCCATAAGTAAATAATATTATTGTAAATAGAATGAATGAATAACAATCCTGTTATCAAGTCCAGGATTCAACAGTATTTTGTCCCATTTATGGTTGTCCGGTAAAACCACTAAACGTCATCATCTGTAGGAATTCTAAATTATTTAATTGCTTATCAATTTTTTCTTATCAATTTTTTATTGTATTATAATATTTTTGTTACTTTAATGAGGATGAGCTTCCATGTGTAGATTTGCACTTCCTCTACACGAATTTACATGATTGATCTGTTGTTTAATATTTTTTATTGTATTGTCTTTTTTTAGTAGAATGAAAGATACCTGTTACATGTATATAATTTGCTTTGGCCCATGTTTTAGTTCATGTTAGTTACACCAATTTTCTGAACCTTGTTAGAGATTAATTTAGGTTTTTTTTGTTTAATTACATATGTAATTTTGTACCTTTCGTATTAAATATGTAAATTTGAATGCACAAGTTATGGAAAGGTTTCAATTTTCGATATTGCTTCTTTGGGGCAGTTGTTCATTTTAATAAAATTCATCCCTTATTGTTTACGACTTGTACAAACATGTAACAGAACAATATTTATATAATCATAAAATTATCCATACATTTAGCTTTGATTACCATTTTGTAGCGAATCTTCACAAAATTTGTATTGCATATAGAGTATAGTTCATTGAAAGATTTTTTTAGTTTCTCATCAAATTTTATCATGCATTAAAAGTATATTATTGTTAGCATTAGGTTATTAGTTGATAAATTTCCTTCTTCTTGTGTTTATTTTAGTTTTTTTTTATAGTCAAAACGTGATGATGAGGATAATCCGCCAACACCATCGGACGATGACTCCGATTTTGATGATGACGAGGATCCCGATAATTTGGAAGTGCCAGGTAACTTTTTTTTAATACCATTAATACATTGTGGAATCACCTTCCAGCAGCGGTATTTCCGAACCAATACGATTATTAACACCTTCAAGAAATAATAATAAACTCTTTATTGTGTATCCAGAAAAAATAATAACAAAATACAGTAAATAGTAAAGTAATTACAAATGGCGATCTTCTCGCTGTAAGCAATTTCTTACAGAAAGAGAAAAGAGCAGAACTTATTCTTTTTAAAAGGCCGACAACGCAATTGTCCTGGCGTTGCGGTTGCTCATGGGCGGCGGTAATCGCTTACTGCGGTGAGCCGCATGACGTTTGTCCCCTGTGCTATAAAAAAAAAATCACCGAATATTAGATTTAGCCAAAAAGAACGGCCCCTATACTAAGCTGTTGCTCTTCTCAAACAAATGTACGATTTTACATGTGTAAAATTTTGTTACTATAATAGACCTTATGTTAAACGCTATAAAGGTTGTGTTTTACATTGTTGCTTCGGTACCCATAAGAGATAAGAGTTTAATTCATTCTAATAGCATTTCCGTAAAGATAAAGAAAGATACGTGAGATAACATTCATCAGGTTATGGTGAGGGTCAACGAACGTAGATGGAAGCTAAAACTCAGTTTCAAAGAAGTCTAATACACGAACATATACTTTTTTATTTATTTACTAACTGTTACCGCGATTTCGTCTGCGTCGTATTTAAATTTTAATTAAAAAAAAATACAGTAATGTAAAATACACCTTCTAACATTCAGCTATCTCCAGGTGAAAGTCCCTTCAAAATCGGTCCATTGTTTTCGAGATTAACGAACAAACTGCCACACAGACACAAAGAAAAATATATAGAGGGAAAAAAAATAATTTAATCAACATTGGTTTTATATTATTTGATTAATTGTTGCTTTTGTATACAATATTTATTTTCTTTCATTCTTCTTTTCTTTATTGTCTCTAAAGAAAAAACTTTGGAGAATGAAATTTGACTAGAACAGTTAGATGTATTGCCAACTGTTGGCCTTATGGTGACCGCAATAATTCCTACTTAACCCAGGGTTATATCGGAACCGAACTAGGCGAGGATTTGTCCACATGATTTATTATCGATGTTACCATTACTGGAAAGTTTGAAGTAGAAATTAACACTGGATATTTATTTCTTTCGTCCAGATTTGAAGGAAGAAGTAGTCTTTATTCAAATAAACTTAATATAAGCAATATATATTTTTTGTTCTACCATTCATTTAAGAAACGAAGAAGTACTGCACAGGGTAAAAGAAAAAAGGCAGATATTGAACACAATACAAAATAGACGAGGAAAAATGTTAGGATACTTGATACGGCACGATGATTTCATGAAAATTATTATTGAGGGGAAAATAGAAGGAAAGAGGGGGAGGGGAAGACCAAGGAATAGCTACATCAAACAAATTGAGGACAAAATGGGAGTCGTGTCGTATCAAGAATTAAAGAGCATGATGGAAGATCAAGACAATGGAGACAGGAGTGTAGCTCTTAAATTATGAATGAATGAACCACTCATTTGGTACACGGCCTCATCTCAAGAAGATTAAGCAAGAAACTTGCGTGTTGCTCTAACCCAATAGTCACTACGCTTAATTGAAGTAAGACTTTTAACATAACAACCGTTTTTTCAGGTGGAGGGAAGACTCTCGCAGCAGCAGCGCGCCTGGCGGACAAGAAACCAAACCCCACACCAATGCCGGTCACAATCCGACCGACTACTTACCCCTTAGCTGGTAAATTTTATTTATTTAATATGATAATTTTCAGAGAGTATTAGGAGGGCTTTTTTTTTTGTTTTTCTGACTCTTGGTGTTTTGGGACAACCTTCTAATCGAAGTGTATGTACGATATATATATGTTTTTTCACCATTTTATAGATTTACTAAACTTATAATAATGGATTCACATATTTGATAACTATCTGTGCCCGCGATTTTATCCGCGTGAAATTTATAGCCTATATGGTATTCTGGTGTATAGCTTATATTACTGTAAAGTTTTATCAAAATCCGTTCAGTGGTTTTTGCTGGAAAGAGGAACAAACATACATCCATACTCATAAACTTTCTCGTTTATAATATTAATAATAAGATATGTATTTGATTTACTTTTTTTAATGTTCGTAATAGAGATTGAATTTTTTTTCAGCGGCATCAGGCTTAGCTTTCGGACAGGTCGCTAACATGAAACCTATAAAGATACAGGCCAGTCAGTTAGGCAAACCATTATCTCTAGGAGTTGGACGAGGAAGTGAGTATATTTTTACTTATTAAAAAAAAAGAATATGTCTATAATATTTAATAGTTTTAACATCCACTTCCCAAATTCCTCCAATAATCCTATTTCAGCTATTGAACTCTTTGTACTGTCATTAATAGTACTAGATAGGCCTCGAATTGTTAATTTGCAGAGTATTTCTTTGACGACCTCGGTGGTCTTGCGGTTTAGCACAGCGCTTTACGTCCGATGGTCGCGGGTTCGATTCCTCGCATGGCACAAACATTTGTATTCATGATTATGATTGTTTATATGTATTACGAAAAAAAATCTATGTTATTTGTAGCAGTAATCTAGTACCCATAACATAAGCTTTAGCTAGCTTAACTTGGGTCTAGATGGCGCTGTGAATTGTCATGAGATTATTATTATTATTTCTATATTTTTTACTGTTTGGAATAAACAAGTGCGTGTAGATTATTTGTGTGTGCTGGCGTGATGTATTTGCCTATACGCATGTGATGTTTGACTCTGTAATTTGGGAAGATTAAATTCAATTCAAATTCAAAATATCTTTATTCATGTAAGTCTATTACAAACTCTTATGATATGTCAAATCTACCGTCAGTTCGGAATGATATCGAGATGAGAAGAACTGACAAGAAACTCAGCTCGTATTTTTTTCAAATAATAGTGGAACATGTTTATAATAATACACAGTCATTAAAATTCAAATTTGGGAGAGTAGGGTGACCACCAGCATATGATATCGCAAAGAACAAAAAATTTAATCAGTGTTCATTATTATTATTTATTACATAATATAAACTCTTTACAATGCCAGATCTTTAATGGAAATAAGCAAAGACTTATGATTTTAATATTGAAACGCAGTAATTATAATAGAATTTTAGTTTAACTCTTAAGCAAGTAAGTACTAATTACAACAACCGTACAGATCAGAGAGAGAGTGAATGATGAACGAACATGTATCACTTAGTGAATGTAGAAAGTTGCCAACATAATGACAAGAACACAAGCTAATCAACCACACAATGATTTTTTTTATTAATATGTTATACGGCTTCGGATACAAGTCCTTTTCAGCCAAACTTAAAGTTCAATGCGTAACATCATATCTAACAACTTAATTATATTAAGAAGAAATATATAACTACTAGCTTACCTGTGCCACTTTTTGCGTTTATAATATTAGTAAGATCAGTAAGATGTAGCACCAGGATGTAGTAGATATAGCACCAGGCTGAATGATATAGCAGATTTTTTTTTAATTATTGAATGTAGAATTGTGTACCCATCTGTGCTAATAGTAAGGCAGGTTAGTTAACTAATTCTCGCAAATTCAACAGGACCAAAATATCAAGTACAGGCAATAAAAAAAAGTCCTATCCTAGTCCTATATTATATTGCGTACGATTTTGTTAAAAATTTATTAAATTTAATTTAAATCCATAGCAATAGTCGCCTTTAGGTGTCCCCTAACCCCCTACCACACGTCCCTCTCCAGCACCTTCCTCTTCAATCAGGCGTAGATGACAGTTAAGCAGGTAATACATATAGTGACATATATAACAATTTGAATCGCCCGTGACGAGTGTGGTTGCGTAGTGGTAGCGGCTGGTGCGGCACCGTCACCGTCGCCGTTCGCGGCCGGCTCCTCTATGGCCTTCAATGCCGCCTCCCTGCTCGCGCAGAGTGAGTACGCACTGTACATGGTACATGGTAGAGTACGCCGCTCGCAGCACCTCTAGTTGATAGTCTATGCGGTCCACTTAGGGTTGCCACTTCATTTTGAAAATTTAGATGTTAAAAATTTTGCACTTTGCACAAACTTGTGATGTATCTAAGAAAATTTATACTACTGGCTGTTACCCGCACGTTTGTTTGCTTTTTTGTATTTATCTATTTTCATGTCAATCATTAGGATTCAGTTAACCAGTTAGAGGGCACAAAAACGCAGGTCGTACTTGTTTTATGTGAATATGAAAATAGATATCGAGATATAGTAGCGATAGATTTGCAGACGAGGGATTTTTATCCATGCAAGGCTAATAACCTTTTTAAACGAGTTAAACTATAAAAAATTAATTTCTTCTAATTTGAAGAACATAAAATATCGTCACATTTTATGATCAAATTTCAGATTTAGAAATAAGGTATCACAAATTAGAATTTGTAGAAGAACACACTGTGGCAACCCTAGGTGTACTTGTGCATAATATACGCAGTGTCATGTAGTGAGCTTCTGTAGTTATAACGATGGCGTTTCTATTTAGTTTAACATTTATATATTCTAATAAAATCGTTTGTACCAACTGACTAGCACATCCAAAAGTAAATCTGGAAAGAAAGTTGAAATTTGCAACATAGGTTTTTTTTATAAAGTAAGCATCTACCAATAGAGGTAGACAAAAAATGATATTTCAAAAACTAGACGTTCATAAGCGACTAAAATGTCCTACATGAATAAATTAATAATAATAATAATTATTATTTTATTTTTCATGAAAGGAATTTTAAAAAATCATTTTATCGACAGTACCCATGCAAATAGGGTACATGCTAGTATTTTTTTACTTAATCATATTGTATTCAATTCATTATTATAGTGACACGATGTTGCCCGCTACAAAAATGTAATCATAAAGCCATTTCGTTCCAGTATCTAATGATTTAGAGGAGTAATAATTAGATAACGTTCATAAGTGGCTGACTGTCGTTTACAAAAACAAATATTTCTCACTACCAATATCTTGCAGATTTATACCATAACATTGCCGTGTCAATTCAAACACATTCATCCTACAAATTTTCGCATAATAGAATACAGTACAAAATTATTTATTCAAATAAACTTACATTGTAGCACTTTTGAATACTCATCACATTTTTTTTTCAATCTACCGCTCATGAGGAAACCTGTCTCATAACAAGAAGAGTGAGCAAAAACTTTGTTTTGCTCTTTTAAATAAATTTGTTGTTATTTTACATTTTTAACTTGCAGTGTGTGAATACAAACTACCAACTACCAACCAAGCACTAATTAAATTAAATACTCAAATAGAGAAAATATTAATTATGCAACCAACTGGTTGTGTAACTAAATAAGAGCATTATTTTAGTCGGATTCAGTTAACAAAAAGTAGACAATAATAGTTTACAATTTTGCCTAATAATTGGAATTATGTAGTAAAACTCTGTTAATAAATAAATGGGCAATGAATTTTTAGCACTTATTAATATTTTAACTTTTTTTTCTTTCTATTCATCCGTTCTCGGTTTCGGAGTGCAGATTCAGCTAAGATTGAGTAGGAGGGCACTTGCCTGTTGCTTGTTTCTTTATTTGCAACAATTTTCTTTTAAATCTTTTATACATAACGATGTCTATCTTATTACATATTTCCTAGTTGTTTTAACAAAAATATTGTCTATTTGCATTTTTTTTTCTGCATTCATTTTTTTATTCTGTTTGTTATGTATCTCTTAGATCTTGTAGTCGGAAATCAGAATGTTTGCTCTCATTCTAGTGTGTAATATAATCTGTATTGTTCTATACATATTCCTAAGACTTGTATGCCTAACAATTTAATAAAACCATGCTAGAGTTTGTAAAAACTTTTGAATCTTAATAAATTAATAATGCTCTTAGTAATTGCACTTTTTTTTGGTCTGATTTTGAACTAATAACCTTTTCTTATTTGCATTTATTACTTGTATTATTAAGAAATGTTTTTTAGTAGTTTATTTTTGTCTTTTTGTACTATTGTAGTATTTAACATAATGGTAAATTCTTTGTTTTAATTCCACTTGTCCCAATAATGAAAATATGGCAAAAAAAATATTTTTTAAAATAATACATGTCTTTACGACTGTTATTCCTGACGCGGTAGTCAGAGGCATTGTCAACTGTGTACCTAATGGAGAATCTCCTTTCCACTGTTAGCTGTCAAAATTACATTAACACTCCATCCTCTGAAACCGCTCTGTCCGAGACGTCTTAAGTTCCAGCGTGTGAGGATGAATTCCCTGTCGATGGCGAGTAAATTAATTTTGGTTTACTGTCAATGATTTCGTCATCGCAGAATGGGTCAAAAATTAGAAACACATTTTTTCTTGCATTCGTTTAGATTTGAATTTTGATCTACTTCATAGTTCTAGTTTCTAATGGAAATAAACCACTTAGCTACGACGTTATTATCTAATTTACAAAAATAACGTATCTTAATTGATTCCCCGAAACAATATGACTGATTTTATAAAATTATTGATGTGTATTTGGTAGGTCTGAGAATATTTATTTTAATGGATGATAAGGGTACTCCTGCCTGCGCTAGCGGTTTACGCTGGCAGGGCACCAGTGTAGGATAAAAAGATGAGGTCACGTCAGTTAGTGCATTGTGGCAAATTCACCAGGAATTTATCATGATGATTTCTAGGGAGTTCTGAGTTATTCTGATATGCTACATGGCTAACTAGGAGATCATTAGTCCACATTACTAACAATCTCCCTCTGAGAGTAGGTTGTTGGTATTTTTATATACCTTTAGGTAATAAGGGTGGCTCTATCCAGAAATATATATGGCAAAACAATGTTGTCCAGGTAGTTTATTATATAAAATTAAAAATATATATATTTGTGTCCACAGTGGAAACGGTCGGTATCTCGGGTATGAACCCGTACCTCCTGCAGAATTTGAACCAGATATTGGCGTCCGGTGTGGGCGGACCCCTCGCTGGCATGCTGGGCCAGTTCGCGCAGTTGTCGTCGTGGCCGCAGCCCAACGGCACCATGTGGCAGCCGGATAGGGTTGGTAACCTCCTATTTATATATAGATACTAGCTATGCCCGTGGTTCCACCCGCGTTAAATTGCAGTATATAAATTTCAATAAAATTATAGCCTATACGTTATTCTGATGCATAAGCTATATTACTGTAAAGTTTCATCAAAATCTGTTCAGTAGTTTTTGCGGGAAAAATATTAATGAGTTTGTAATATTAGGATAAATGTGTTGTGATGGTATAATAAAGGAGGCCGAATTTCAGTAATAGAGCCAAGTGTGTTACATACGCACGTATATCGTACGACGTTTCTCAACACGACCGTTTTTTACCTAAAATGGGTGCGGGTTTGGTTTTCGCACGGTACAAATTTTTGGATTCATGATTATGATTTTTTGGGAGTTTTTAATATGTATATTATGTATGCATTTGCAAAATAGTAATATATGTATCTAAGTATTTATATTTTGTATAGTACCATAATCTCTATACCGAACTGGATGGTAGGGAAAAAAAATATAATGTAAAAACTTGACGTTCATAAGCGGCTAAAATGTCTTACATGAATAAATTATTTTTGAATTTGAATTTAATACAAGTTCTGTTTATTTCGGTGCTAGATGACACTGTGTGAGTTATACAGGACTATTATTGTTATTATAACGTGAAAGTAAATTGCAGATGGTCGTTGTATTACTGTTAGCTATATTTCACTCATAATGGAGGTCTTACATGCACAATATCATGATACATTTTAGCGGTGTATGTAGTTATTATATATAGTATTCTTTAAATATGTATGTTATATATATTCTCAGATGCCCGGAGAAGAAGAAGAAGTAGACGATGAAGACATGGGTGTGGCCGAGACATATGCAGATTATATGCCACTTAAACGTGAGTGGTGTTTAATGATGTATACATAATAATATACTGGATGATGAACACCAACCATAGTGGTTGTTGTCTGTAAAAAAAACAGTTTTTTATTGGATGTGAGAGTATTTTATTATTTAAGTTTTTTTTTAAACCTTTTTAAACTTTTTTTTTATGTTAATTTAACATTTTTATAAAATAATGTACTAAAGATTATTATGTTCCTAGATATGCCTTTACATAATATTAGCTTTACTCATTTTGACAAAAGTAGTAATAATAATTACAGGTTGACTACATATAGTTTTTTTTTTCTGACTACTCTAATGCTACTTTTAAACTTTCGTGTTTAATATACATTATTTAAATTATTAACCGGGTCTTAACACGAATATTTTATGGTAAATAAAGGTATTTACCTCTCTCGACGTTTCGACTAGGTTGCACTAGCCGTGGTCACGAGCTGACAGTCAGCTAGCTTAGGTTAGCAGCAGCTAGGTAAATACCTTTATTTGCCATAAAATATTCGTGTTAAGACCCGGTTAATAATTTAAATACTCTAATGCTATTGGCCGCAGTTGGCCTTTACAGCTGCACCGGACGATAGGGGGCGAGTGCAGATGGCACTCCAAACCAAGGAAGGACTTATGGAGCGGCTGAAGGCCAACTCCCGCCTGACGGATGCGACTTTAGTCTGAGTGCACCGTTAGGGATTCGAACCTCGACTCAGGCCGTTGTAATTTCTATCTCCGTTTTATAACCCCATTGTTAGTAATGTACTATGTCTGGTTGACCGTCACGGTTGACGCGGTTCTCCACCGTGGTAAATTCCTGGTGAGTTTGCCACCGTGGGCTATCTAACCTGACTTCATGATCATGTTATCACTCTCCACTGGTACCCAGCGTAAACCGTTAGCACAGGCGGGTGAACCATTCCATTATCCATAAAAATGTGTGTGTGTGTGTGTGTGTGGGGTCACAGTGAAGCTGGGTCGCAAGCACCCGGACCCGGTGGTGGAGACGGCGTCGCTGTCGTCGGTGGAGCCGGTGGACGTGACGTACGCGCTGGGCCTGCCGGACTCAACGGTCCGCGGCGGACTTCTGTCCGCGCTGCAGCTGGAGGCGGTGGTGTACGCCGCGCAGGCGCACGAACACATGCTGCCGGACGGCACGCGCGCCGGATTCCTCATAGGTACCGGTTTTTTTATGCTTTTTTGTGCGACATTTAGTAGTATCTTTGGACATCGTTCGCTCGGGCGGCTAGAGTCCGCGAACAATGCTGCGGGATCCCTGGAATAGCACCGAACCGGTCCCCACTTCGCATCTCGTTACCGAGAACGATTAGCGCGCCAATTATTGTATCTATTTTATGATCCTTCGAGCCGGATTTGTACCAACGACCTATGGATAAACTATAGGATTGAAATAAAATTAATAAAATATTAAGTATATTTTATTATTTTATGGTTAAAAATATAATGATATATTTCTGAATAGGCGATGGCGCCGGCGTGGGTAAAGGTCGTACGATCGCGGGGATCATTTTCGAGAACTATCTAAAGGGACGCAAGCGCGCCATCTGGGTGTCCGTATCGAACGACCTCAAGTATGATGCCGAACGAGATTTACGCGATATCGGCGCTGGCAACATAGAAGTGTATCCGCTCAACAAGGTAACCTAAATTTTTAACCTCATGTATGATACAATGGTATTTAACTAATAGGTAAATAAAACAAGTTATGTTAAAGTTATCATATGAGCTGCCTATACACGTACGTTCTTTCACGCTGGAAGGAATGTGCCTGCAAATGTAAAGACAACGAGAAAGACCGCGCACCCCGCCAGCTCACGCAATTTCTGCGTCTTTCAATCATATAATCTTTATCGCCTTTTTTAAATAATTAATCATTGCAATCTGGGGAATGTTTGACTATGGAGCAACATAATTGTAGTTACTGATGATTGATAAATATTAAACGAGTCTCTGGATAATGAAATATGTCAATTAAAAAAATTAAATTAAACCATAGTTATTAATAATTACATCTTAAATGTTTCTCTTCAAAATAAAATGTGTAATAATTAAAATTAGTAAGAAGCTATCAAAGTCGTGAAAAAGCCTTTTGTAACCATATATCATTTTATATGTCATTGCTTTGGTATTATTCTAGAACAAACTAACCTAATAAGTTTATCTGCACCGCATTCAGTTCAAGTACGCAAAGATCTCGTCAGCGGTAAACGGTAACGTCAAAAAGGGCGTGGTGTTCGCAACGTACTCGTCGCTGATTGGCGAGACGCAGTCCTCCGCCACCAAGTACCGCTCTCGTCTCAAGCAGCTGTTGCAGTGGTGCGGGGAAGATTTCGACGGACTTGTATCCTTTCATAACTATATACACAACTAGCTGACACACGCAGCTTTGTCTGCGTTTAATTTCCCCACTTTTTCCAATATTTTTCATTACAGCTCCGCTCCTAGTGGTCGTAGCGTAATGTTATATAGCTTAAAGCCTTCCTCGACAAATGGACTATCCAATACAAAAAGAATTTTTCCATTCGAACTAGTAGTTTCTGAGATTAGCCCGTAATAAGCAAAAGCTTTATAATATTAGTATAGATTATTGTACTATCTATGCCACTGTGTTGGGTTGACTGGAAGAGATCGCTTTTAGGGATAAGTCCACCTTTTCTCACATTGTCTCTCTCTAAATTATTTTATTACTGCATTTTTCTGAGTGGAATAAAGACTATAAGTAGATTATGTGTCCAAAGTTAAGCGGATCTTATGTTATGGGAACTAGATAACTTCTGAAATATATTCCTGATTTAAATACATACAAAACTCACACATACAACAGAGCAATATAAAAAATAATACTCATGAATGCAAATTTTTTTGTGACTGACCTGTTAGCGATGGAATAATTAGTTCACAAGACTATCCCTACCCCTCTATTAGTTTGAAATTAGAATATGCTTGATTCTAATTTCAAACTATTAGAGTAGTGTCGTGTAGTAGTCTGATTAGTGATATTTCGGTGACTGATAATGTCAGACAATTATGATAGTGACTTTCTGATGACTGACGATGACCGAGATTGTAACAGTAATAATTCGATAACCAAGGACCTTCGACAATTATAGATACTCCGATAACCGTCGCCGTCCGACCATTACAACAGTAATCATTAGTAAAAATCACGGGATCTTACCACGTTTTATATTTTTTCCTCTCTAATGCCTGGAATCCAGTGATTGGTTTAATTAAACAAAAACAAAAAACGCGATCGAAAAGTGTATTAAATGTACGTAAAGATAGTGTGAGTACAGTTTGCCGAGATGAATATCGAGCGAGTTCCAGTAGTAGCAACAAACGAAGACGTGTGAAGGTAGACGCATATGTCTACCCTTAAAAAGATTTCATTTTCCATCTACCTGCTGCTCTTCAGTTTACCCGTGATCATGGTGGTTGAAACACTACCGAAATATCGGGAACTCAGCAAATATAAAACGTGGTAAGATCCCGTGATTTTTACTAATTATACGTATAAATAATGACCGCGTCAAGTTTAAAACAGTATATACAACAGTAATATTCCGATAACCGATCAGATCGTGTTCGACGAGTGCCACAAGGCGAAGAACCTGTGCCCAGTAGGGTCGGGCAAGGCCACCAAGACTGGCCTGACGGCGCTGGAGCTGCAGACTCGGCTGCCGCGCGCGCGCGTGGTGTACGCGTCTGCTACGGGGGCGTCCGAGCCTCGCAACATGGCCTACATGGTGCGGCTCGGCATCTGGGGCGAGGGCACGCCCTTCCCCACCTTCATGGACTTCATCAACGCCGTCGAGAAGAGGTACCGACGCCATTGCTGTCACTATACTGTCCCAGCTCAATTTTAGACGCTTTACGGTTTTATTAACTGTCTGAATAGTTTTTGATATCTGCTTCTGCATCTTTCGGGCAGAAAGAATATTATTTAATTATCTTGATGGTATTACGAATGAAAATAAAGCCGTTTTATAATTAAAAGGTTTTTAATAATAGTACGTCTTTATTTTTAATAATCGACAAAAGTATAACAATGACAAATAAATTTCCAAGCACCGAAACTGAAGTTGTAGCCAGTGCTATTTATATCCATATTTTTTGGTAATTAATAGAAATATTTTCTAATATATAATAATATAGCAATAATGCCCTTTCTTTTATAATTCAATATTAAAAAATACATATATAACTTTAAATTTTTACCCTTCTACCATGAATTTTTCTTCTTACAAAGCAAAAAAGCAACATCGTCTTGTGATGAGAATTGTGTGAAAACATGTTATGACAAAAGTGCTTAAAATAAATTTATTTTATATGTAAAGGATTTTTTATTCTATTCTAAATAAATAATAAACAACCTTAGCGGATTGTAATAAATGTTCTTTTGCAGGGGTGTGGGCGCTATGGAAATAGTGGCGATGGACATGAAGCTGCGAGGCATGTACATCGCGCGACAGCTCTCGTTCCACGGAGTGTCGTTCAAGATCGAGGAGGTGCCACTCTCAGATGCCTTCAAGGAGACCTACGATAAAGCCGTGGCACTGGTATGATTTTTTAAGTAACAGAATGTTATACAGAGGCGTTATTAACTGTTACAAATTTCAGCTTCTTTTTATGTATTCGGAATGACAAATTACCTGGTGTACCTCCACCTGATAGTAAGCAGTAACGATCGCCTATATACATGAACAGCACTATAGACATCATGTTATCATGTTCAATTGATACCACTTATATCATGCCTCTTATCATATAATCTAAACCTTAGCTTACAAAGTAAACTGTTTTGCTGCTGCTGAAACATGCGATACTGCACTTCAGTCAGTCAGTCTAACGCAGACGACTTTACACTACTGTCAATTTGTAAATCATATTGCATTGTAATTATTTATATCGCCTCTTGTCATATAGAAATCATACAGATCCCTGATATAGTATAATATAATATAGCTGGTGTTTTTTTTTATACTATGATGGGGGCAAACAAGTATACGGCCCATCTGATGGTAAATGGTTACTGTACTGTACTGTATGAACGCTTAAGATTTTAATATACCCTTCTTGAAAAACCTCATGCTGTAGTCTCTAGAAAGCCTTGGCAGGTAGTTTCATTCCACGATCTAAATGTATGCGGAAAGAAGCTCCTCAGAAACCACACTATTTGTATAGTATGTTTGCGGTAAATTTGTGGTCTCATACACATTTAATTGGTTGTTTGTGGACAGTGGGTGGAAGCCATGCAACGGTTCACGGAGGCGGCCGAGCTGATCGACGCGGAGCCGCGCATGAAGAAGACCATGTGGGGACAGTTCTGGTCGGCACACCAGAGGTTCTTCAAGTACCTCTGCATCGCGGCCAAGGTACACTTTATATATATTTTATTTTACTACCTTTTGCCCGCAGCTTCGCTCGCATTAATTTATACCCCTTAGGGGTGGAATTTATCAAAATCCTTTCTATGGGGATGCCTACGTCATAATAGCTTTATGCATGCAAAATCTCAGCCCGATTAGTTTAAAATTGACAAAGTTTCATATCAACTTTCATCCCCTATTTTATGCCCTTGAGGGTAGAATTAATCAAAATCTTTTCTTAGCGGATGCCTACGTCATAACATCTACCTGCATGTCAAATTTCAGCCCGATCCGTCCATTGGTTTGGGCTGTGCGTTGATAGATCACTATGTCAGTCACCTTTGAGTTATATATATTTAGATTTATTTATTTTAGGCTACTAATGTGCCTATATTATAAACACTCTTTTGAGTGATAAGGCCGCCTTTTGTTAGCATATTTTTATATTAATTTAGTTTTGTATTTTTTTTTTATGCACAATAAAGAGTATTATTATTATTATTAGTTTATAGACTAACATACATATGTAATTTATATAAGAATAATCGTCTCTGTGGTCACGACATCCCTTCGGCCAGTAGTCCTTCATGAAAGTGATCAGCATGGTATATACGTGGGCGCGTGTAGGACATTTTAGCCGTTTATGAACGTCAAGTTTATCGTTTTATATTTTCCCTACAGTATACAATGTTACTTATATTTAATATTTTTAAATAGACAGGGGTAGTTTTAATAAAACAGAAATCTCATCTTATCTATCAGGTAAATCATGCAGTGGTGACCGCCCGCGAAGCAGTGAAATGCGGCAAGTGCGTCGTGATCGGCCTGCAGTCCACAGGAGAGGCGCGCACTTTGGACCAGCTCGAGAGAGATGATGGGGAACTCACAGACTTTGTCTCCACTGCCAAGTAAGTCTAACATCTCATTTTCGTGACTGAGGAGATTAACAATGATCTAGGATTATTCTCACTGCGGCATCTAGTTCTAAGGGCAGAGGAAGGCCGAAAAAGAGATGGATGGACTGTGTGAAAGATGATATGGTAAGAAAGGAAGTAAATAACACGATGACTGCGAACAGGGATGAATGGAAGCGAAAAACTTATTACGCCGACCCCAATAAATGGGATAAGGAAGAAGCAGATGATGATGGCATCTAGTTCTAAGCAAAGCCGAGTTTGTGTTGGATGTACTAAACAAGTAATAGAAATACTTAAATATTTTTTAAATACTATATAAGCAATATGTACATCATATTCATAAATACAAATGTTTGTATTGTTGGAGGTAGAATATTTATTGTCTACCTCGTGTGCTTAACCAGGAGTGTGGTTTGGAGGCAATCTATACATATAAATAAAATTGAAGTGTCTGTTTGTAACATTGAAATAACCGTTTTTTACTACTTATGCATATAAATATATATACGGTACATACACCAAAAAAAACATTTTTTATAATTTTTGTCAGTCTGTCTGTCGGTCTCTTTGTTCCGGCTAATCTCTGAAATGGCTGGACCGATTTTAACGGGACTTTTTTTGGGTGGTAGCTGATGTAATAAGGTAACTTAGGCTACTTAATAATAATAATGAATCGGCACGAGTGCATTTGGAGGCACTAAATCTAGCCGACGTTCGGCAAGCACTAGCGAAACTCAAGCCGAAACGATCCTCAGGGCCTGATGGTATCCCTGCTTACATTTTTAGGGACTGTAGATTTGTATTAGCCGACCCTTTACTACACATCTACAATCTGTGTTTAAAAACAGCGGTTTTTCCTGCGATATGGAAAATGTCTCGTGTAATTCCAGTTCCTAAGGGTCCGGGTAGTGGAATATATAACCAGTAGCAGTTCTTTCTACTCCCGCTAAATTTTGAGTCAGCAATACAGAATGCAATGTTCAACATTGACAGCTCTCAATGGGTTTCGACTAGTACATATATATATATATACCAGCTGTGGATGGGGGTAGGCAAGATGCTGTCTATTTTGATTTCAAAGCTTTTGATGTCGTTGATAACGACATATTACTTGGGAAGCTAGCGAGTATAGGTTGTACGCCACATTTATTAAGGTTTTTTACTAGCTACATGAGAGATCGATATCAATACGTCGAATATACTGGTTTACGTCAGATCCCTATTTGGTCAGGTCAGGAGTGAGTCAAGGGAGTACGTTGGGTCTCTTCACTATTATGATCAATGATCTGCCGAAGGTTGTTCATCATTCCGGATGTCTGTTCGCTGATGATTTAAAGCTCTTTCTCACAGTTGGATCTGCTTGATTGTGAAATGTTGCAAAGAGACATAGACAGAGTAGATGGAGCAATAAAAATAAATTGCAATTTAATACTTCTAAATGTATGAGTATTAGTTTTACTAAGTCGCATAATCCGATCCATTGTAACTATACAATAGAAGCTAAATCGATGAAGAGAGTCACAGAGATGAAAGATTTGGGAGTGACTTTTACAGTTGATTTGTCTTTTAAGAAACATATAATAGATACGTGTAAAAAAGCTTATAAGATGTTAGGATTCATACTTCGTACTGTTAAGAATTTTTCAAGTATTACTGTAATAATCGCATTGTACAACACATTAGTAAGGAGCCATCTTGAGTGCAACGCTGTAATATGGGATCCATATGAAATAAAATATAGACTAATGTTGGAAAAAATTCAAAATAAGTTTATTAGGTATATATATATGAGGCAATATGGAGTATATCCCTTGTATCCTTTGATGTATCCCACTCTGTTCGTATTGGGCATGGTGGGATATAATGAATACGTACGCAGGGAATTGGCTATTGTCTCATACATATTTAAAGTGTTTCGGGGTCAAATCACCAATTCTCTGGTTCTTGGTTTGATAAGTTTTAGGATAATTACCTGGGGCGGCGACGAAGGCCCCAGTTATTAGCGGTACCTCGCGGCAGAACTAATTTACTAAACAAGGCGCCCATGACACTCGCACTGGCCACTCTCAATAAAATAGCAGAAACAACGGATTTGTTTGTGTGTAGTCTGTGTGAATTCACAAAAACAACATTGTATGTTATATGTTATGTTAACGAATATGTATAATATAGAATTAGATACACTATTGTATTGGGCTTAGGCCTGTAATAATAGTTGTGTAAGTAAATAAATAAATAAATAAATAAATACTTTTATTTTAGAAAAATAAAGTTAAATTCCACGCGGACGAAGTCGCGGGGAGCAACTAGTATATAATATTTTTTGTCTGCTCACTCTAGTCTACTACAGGACTACTAGTATCTCCAAAGGCACGCCATTGGCACAATCTTATACCGTTCATTTTCAGCCTTTAATATGTCAAAATAATGAAACAATCTTTACGAATAAAATCAAGTATAATCACATATATATGTATATAATATGTCTTAACATATACCATAATCAGTTACTCATCGCCACTTATTGTTTCTTTCGCGTCTGAGTTTAATTCTATAGTCATATTAGCAAAGCTCACCCTTTCTACCGGCCTTATCTTGTTCAATTCTCTCACCATACGTTCCATTGTATTAAAATTTGATAAATTAGGATTATCTTTGAATAAATTGTTCAACCTTCGAAACTCATCATTCATTGATTTTAAAACCTTCCCGTAATTCGCACGAAATTCTGTTTGTCCTTCATTTGAAGCTCCAGAGTCGTTACTGTTTTGTTCGTCACCCTGTGTATCATTCAAGGGATCATATTTCTCAAATTGTTCCATTTTTACATCTTCATAATAATAACCATCATTATCTTTTGAAGACTTCATCGAAACCACTGACTGATTGTCCAATTCGTCATCTATCATTACTTCGTTGGAAAATTCTACATGCTCCGCAATTATGTCACAATCTTCACTCTCCACTTTTAACATTTTATCTTCGTTGTCATCACCAGCAATTTTAAGAATAAATGCTTTATCGTCTTCATTTAAATCGGGTAATTTTAGCTTTAATTCCGTATTGATAATACTTATTAAGTGTTCACAAAAGTTACCCCTTTTCCCATAATCACAATCACAACACCATGTATCTGTTCTGAATTTTATATACTTGGTCTTAGCTGCTGATTCTAGCTGTACTTTGTACTCATTAGGACCAATTCGTTTTACATCGAGTTCTAACACAGTCTTACATTTGTTAAGAAATTTAGTATATTTCTCAAAAATACCTTGCTCTTTCACATACGCAAGCAATAATTGGCTGAAATATTTCTCCAATATATAAACTACAACATCAACCATTGCGCAAATGTTGAATGATTTACATTTGCTCGCAATGAATTCTTTACATACGCGTATAGATAAATCAATTAGCTTATTCCTCACCTCTTCTTGATCTACCAACCAATATTTATTTTGGTCCCATATTTCATTAACATAATCAGATAATATTGGCGTAGTTTTAATATATTCGTCTTCATGTAATATATTAAAACACTTTTCGGCAGCTTCCATAGAATCCGCATGTAACATCGAGTCAAACTTTGTCATTAAGGCATGTCGTTTTTTTCGATCAATTTTATTGCTGCCTCTACACAACCATTCCCAAACTGTGTAGCATTTTGACCAAGTTGATAACAGTAGTCTTGAGTTCGGATAAATAGCTTCCAAGGCATTCCTTTCGATATGTAAATCATTTGTGAATAGAGTGTTTGGCTCAAAACTCCTGCCACATTGATCTTCTAATAGCAATTTTACAGCGAAGAAAGCTTGGCTATAACTTGCCTCAGTATGTTCTGCATGTAGTATGCAAGCCATAGGTAACACTCCTACTTTGCTAGGCACGTACATAAACGTTATATGTATATTTGCTTCTACAGAATCTACGATTACAATATCTAAATTGCATTCAGCTATTACCCGTTTCATTAGAGGAGTTATAACTACAACAACTTGTGGATTGTCATAACACATTAGGCCGCCCAGTTTGGTAATGTTATCCTTTTTCGAAGCAATGATTTCTTCTACCGTTCGACTGGTATTGTCTGTGGTTTTTCTTTTTTTATGAATGTAATGGATGTGATGCATAGATGGATTTCTGTTCGCTGCCATTAAAACTTCAGAGTTTTGGCCGTATTTGTCTATTAATGTCAACTCGTGGTATAGTTTCGCCATAGTGGGAGTGTAACCACTATCGAAAAGTTCATAGAACACCTGATCAGTCTCAGATGTGCTCTTTAACAAGTTGAAGGACTCGCGGCCCCTCACCTTATGGGAATGGACGAAGTTTATAAGGATGCACATGTTCAAATTATCCTTCAAGTAAGCATCATTTCGTATTGTGTTTCTGTTGATGAACTTCATTTTGAAGTCGATTTTAGCCCGGCATTCGACGTTGAGTGTTGTCTCGGCGTTTTTGGACTTGTTGTAACCGGAACGGTGACATGTGAACACCTTGCGGTACAGCATCCGCTTCACCTTCGGAAATGAATTCCTGACGATCCAGTTGGTTGTGGTGTAGTTCGAGAACTTTCGAATCCATTTGCTGACGTACTCGTTGTAGTATTCCTGTGTTTGGTCGGTCGCCACCGAGCTCCGCAGTTGAATGGTGAAGTTCTCTGCGGAAACGAAATCGTACTTGACGAATTTTGCGTTCTCAGATATTTGTCCTAGGAATTTCTTTAGTTCTTGCGAAGAAAACATCATATTTAGTATTCCTAACTTTTCCGGATCACTTGGAAATGAAACTTTATTAAAAAAAAGTAGGTTATCTGAAACAAAGTAATATTTCAATTAAAATAAATAACATATCTATACATATATGTAAATAAAATTGGAGTGTCTGTTTGTAATATTGAAATAACCGTTTTTACTACATGCATATGAATATAAATACGGCACCTACACTAAAACAACATTTTTTACAATTTTAATCTGTGTGTCTGTTTGTTACGGCCAATCTCTGAAATGGCTGGACCGATTTTGACGGGACTTTTATTGGCAGGTGATGTAATAAGGAGTAACTTAGGCTACTTTCTTTTTAGAAAAATAAAGTTTAATCCCACGCGTAGTCGCGGGTACAGCTAGTATAAAATAAAAATCATATTAACATGTACATCGTTATATAGTTTCAAATTAAACTGGTCTTGCACCCAGAGAAACTAGTAATAATCATAAATACATAAAGGTCATATCTGGCTCATTTATATATGGAATATGAACTTAACCTTAAAAGAATATTAATAAATGATTCGTGTTAAATATTTAGCCACTTGCCCGACAATTTTTACAATATAGTAAGTAACAATACATATAGGGTATTTGAGCCTCTCAGATCGTGTCCTATTCAAACTGGGGTCGAAATTATGACGGCCTGTGTCGAGGTTCGAAATCCTAGCGGTGCCCTCAAACTAAAGTCCTACCCGCCAGGCAGGTGATGGCCTTCACCTGCACTATTAGTCCTTCCGCGGGTTTGGAGTGCCATCTGCATTCACCACCTATCGTCCGGTGAACCTGTAAAGTTCAGCTGCGGCCAACAGTAGTTGTTCGAAAAAAAAAGGGTTGTAAAAATCATGTAACCAAACTTACCTATTATTAACCTACAATAATCACCACATCAAAATATTTAATGAAACTTATGTGTAATAAATATAGGCACATTGAAAACATACTCGGTATCAGACAATCGCAATCAATCAATGATCTCAAACACGCGCATGTGTAGTTCTGCGTCGAGTCGAGTGCTGTTTCCTACGGGTTTTACTGCGCTACGACGCAGTTCGTACTCAGCCGGGGTTAATGACCTCGCCCTGTGGCTTTGAGGAAGTAGATTTTACAATTGTGGAATGGAGTTGTGCGCTAAAACGCGGGAGATTTGAAATGTACTGTGTTATTTTTCGACGGCCTCGGTGGTCTAGCGGTCTAGCATACCGCTTTACGTCCGATGGTCGCGGGTTCGATTCCTCGCACGGTACAAATATTTGTATTCATGAGTACGATTGTTGTCGGTCTGGGTGTTTTCTATGTATAATATGTATTTATTTACGAAAAAAAATGTATGTACCTATTTATATCAGTTGTCTAGTACCCATAACACGAGCTTTAGCTAGCTCAACTTGGGTCTAGATGGCGCTGTGTAAATTGTCCTGAGATGATTATTATTATTGTAATGTTCGTTTTATTATTGCATTGATTATTGTGAATACATATGAATATAAGAATGATGTATGTTTGTAATTTAATCTTAGTATAGATAAGGTTTGTTTATATGTAGGTAGGTACATTAAATATAGAATATTATATAATCTATATTCTATACATATAAATAAAATTGGAGTGTCTGTTTGTAATATTGAAACAACCCTTTTTTACTACATGCATATAATACATTACATACATAAATACGATACATACACCAAAATAACATTTTTTATAATTTTTGTATGTCTGTCTGTTTGCTAATATCTGAAATGGCTGGACCTATTTTGACGGGACATTTTTTGGCAGGTAGCTGATGTAATAAGGAGTAACTTAGGCTACTTTTATTTTAGAAAAATAAAGTTTAGTTTCACGCGGACGAAGTCCTCGATGGTCTAGCGGTTTAAGATCTCGCTACTTCAGACGGACGCGAGTCCAATTCCTCTCATGTCTCAAACATTAATATGTATTAGTGAATATGATTGTTTGTATCGGTCTGGGTTCTTTATATGTATATTATTAATCATTACATAGCATAAAACAAAGTCGCTATCGCTGTCTGTCCGTCTCTATGTATGCTTTATCTTTAAAACTATGCACGGATTTTGAAGCGTTTTTTTTAATAGATAGTGATTCCACAGGAAGGTTTACATATAATAATAATAATAATAATCTCAGGACAATTCACACAGCACCATCTAGACCCAAGTTAAGCTAGCTAAAGCTTGTGTTATGGGTACTAGATAACTGATACAAGTACATAGATATTTTTTTTTTTTGTAAATACATACTTAATATACATAGAAAACACCCAGACCGACACAAACAATCATACTCATGAATACAAATGTTTGTGCCGTGCGAGGAATCGAACCCGCGACCATCGGACGTAAAGCGGTGTGTTAGACCGCTAGACCACCGAGGTAACATATATAATACGTGTACACCCCGCGCAAAGCTGGGGCGAGTAGCTAGTAAAAATATATATTTAAGTTTTTTTATTAGTTGTTTAGTACTCATGTCATAAGCTTTGCTTAATAATATTATACAATAACAACAGCAATGAGTTTAACAAAAATCTTCTTAAAAATCGATAGATACATACAACCCTAAATTTTCGCCCTTCTATTACCAACCCCTATTTTTTAATAGCAATCATTACACAGTATAAAACAATGTCGCTGTCTGTCCCTATGTATGCTTAAATCTTTAAAACTACGCAACGGATTTTAACTACGCGCCGGTTTTTTTAAAAGATTGAGTGATTCAAGAGGAAGTTTTATATATATAATACATGTACACCTGTGCGAAACCGGGGCGAGTACCTAGTTTCTATATATATGGCAAAACGACAATTGCGGGGTCAGCTACTAAATATATTACAATGTCTGCAGGGGTGTGTTCCAAACACTGGTGGAGAAACACTTCCCCGCGCCGGACCGGAACCGCATCAACCGGCTGCTGGGTCTGGAGCCGAACAAGCCGAAGCCGAAGCAGTTGCCGCCTCCGGTGACCCACAACGGCCGGAACGGACTGGACGACGAGGCCAACACGTCCAAGAGGAAACGTGAGTTTTTTTTTATCTTATTGTATGACTAGCTTTTGCCCGCATTATTTAGGTACTATTATTAATTAGGTATAGTTTTTGCGGCTCTACAGTACTTTCATACAAACTTCCATCCCCTATTTTATCCCCTTAGGGGTGGAATTTATCAAAATCCTTTCTTAGGGGATGCCTACGTCATAGTAGCTTTATGTATGCAAAGTCTCAGCCCGATCGGTTTAAAGTTAAAAAAGTTTCATACAAACTTTCATCCCCTATTTTATCTATACTAGCTTTTGCCCTCGGCTTCGCTCGCGTTAATTTATCCCCTTAGGTGTGGAATTGATCAAAGTCCTTTCTCAGAGGATGCTTACGTCATAGTAGCTTTATGCATGCAAAGTCTCAGCCCGATCGGTTTAAAATTGACAAAGTTTCATACAAACAACTTTCATTCCCTATTTTATCCCCTTAGGGGTAGAATTAATCAAATTCCTTTCTTAGCGGATGCCTACGTCATAACATCTACCCGCATGCCAAATTTCAGCCCGATCCGTCCAGTTGTTTGGGCTGTGCGTTGATAGATCACTATGTCAGTCACCTTTGAGTTATGTATATTTAGATAATGGAATGGTGCACTCGCCTACGCTAACTGTTTTCCCTCGGAGTTCAAGGTTGAAATGGTAAAAAATATGAAGAATATGTTTTAGATTGCAAAACATAAATTTATCAATGTGAAATTATGTCACTAGCTAAATAATGGTAAATCCAAATATAATTAACTAGCTGTACCCGTGACTTCGTCCGCATGAACATTGAGAAAATATTTAATGGACTAACTCAATATAAGTCAAATTAAAAAATTTCATCGTTTTATCTTCAAAAATGATGAATTTATATAATAACTTTCATCCCCTATTTGATTTTACCCACTTAAGTGTAAATTTTTTACAAACTTTGAATGTCATATTTATTTATATTTAATCAACAGCCTCAAAAATAAGTTTCAAGCTTCTAGCTTAAAAAATGACGATTCTTCCATACAATGTTGCATCATTCCCTTTTCAACCCATTACAACCCTTTTTCGCATTAAAAGTAATCTATGTCCCTTCTTAGGACTAGATTATCTGTGTACGACATTTCATTTAAATCGTTTTAGTTTTGACGTGAAAGCGAGACAGACAGTTACTTTCGCATTTATAATACTAGTAAGGAGTAAGGATTGCAAATATATTTAAAACAAAAATTTACGGTTTAGCACACCGCTTTACTTACGATGGCTGTCTGTCCGTCCCTATGTATTAAGCATACAATTTTTAAAACTACGCAACGGATTTTGAAGCGGTTTATTGTAAAGAGAGAGTGATTCAAGAGCAAGTTTTATATGTATAATACATGTACACCTGGGCGAAGCCGAGGCGAGTGGCTAGTTATTATATAATTTAATTTTTATTTGTATGGTGGTGTCAGTGACGGCCCGTCAGCAAGCGAACCAGGCGGCGAAGAGAGCGCGAGGACGCTCGTCGTCGGACGAGTTCGTGCGCGGCTCCGACGACGACCTCGACGCGGAGCCCGACCACGACCGGGACCCCGACAGGGACTCCGACGACGCGCGCCGCTCCGACTCGGACCTCAGCGACTTCAACCCCTTCCGCGGCGGCAGCGACAGCGACGACGGTATCTAACACATTCGCCTTCCGACAGTTGTTATGCTCCAATTATATATTCAATGATTATTGCATATCGTCGAACAGATCCGTGGATCGGTCGCTTGTTGTATCTTCGATGACTATTGTTAATCTGTAATTTCATCCGACTAATCCGTGGATCGGTCGCAAAAATAAACTTATACAGTGGACCCCCGGTAGTCCGACAATCATTTTGCAGGGCAGTGTCGGACTATCGAATTTGTCGGATTATAGAGTACTGCCTAAGACCCCTTATAGTCTGATTTTTTTACAAAAGAGTACCTTGTAATCCGACAAATTACAGATCCAGTGATAAGATTCTATGTTATATATGTATGTATGTATATGCACTCTGAAGTATATTGTCAAAGTAATATTCAATAACAAATAATAGACAATGTCGGATTACAAGGGGGGCCGGATTAGACAGGGGCCGGATTACCGCGGGTCCACTGTATTATCTTCTATTGCTTCTATTTAATTTATATTATCGTCGGACAGATCCGTGGATCGGTCGCAAAAAGAAGATAGCCAAGAAGAAGAAGACATCATTGCCAAAGAAGAAGCCGGCCAGCACGCAGGACAAGATCGAGACGATGTTCGAGAGGAAGAACAACGCGCCGTCCACCGTCACCGTGACCACCGCCGGCCGCACCATCTCGGGCACGCCCGTCGGGACCAACGGACTCTACCTCGGTAAGTGTCACGGTCCCCGTGAATCTCCCGATCCGTGGTAGATAAAAAACAAATTGTTATGACTATTCAAAAGTGCTTAAATTAAGTTTATTTGAATAAATGATTTTCTATTCTATTCTATACGATACATCTCCCGAACCTCTCATTCGGTGGTTTAGCACAAGTGAGGTGTTACTTCTACTACTTGTGATGGTTGCGGGTTCGATTCCACGTATGGTACAAATGTTTGTAATCATGAGTATGATTTTTTTTATCGGACTGGGTGTTTTGTATGTATAGAAAGTATCTATTGTGTATATTTATTTGTTTATAATATATGTATATAGAAATTATATATTGTATGTATAGTAGGTACATATTTATATACTCAAGCAATTCAAGAGGATTACGGGGACTTTGTTAAATCGAGGATATAGTCGGTCATATGCGTCGTTATATTATGGTTGGACTGTATTATTTACTTTATTTATTTATACTGTATATATAACAATATTGGCCCATATATGTACCTTAAGGACTATGGCAATCTGCCACGATAGCGCCACTATCAGTAGTCAGTACAGGTCCCTTCGGCCAGTAGTCTTCATGAAGGTGGATGTAATCGTGCAGGAGCGGCGCGCAGCCAGCCTCCACCGCGGTCGGCCATCGAGCGAGCGTGCAGCATGAAGGAACAGCTGCTGGCCGCCATCGAGCGGCTCGGCCGCCGCCTGCCGCCCAACACGCTCGACCAGCTCGTGGACGAGCTCGGCGGCACCGACAACGTCGCTGAGGTACCACCCTGTATAAGGCGCAGCTGCTGGCCGCCATCGAGCGGCTCGGCCGCCGCCTGCCGCCCAACACGCTCGACCAGCTCGTGGACGAGCTCGGCGGCACCGACAACGTCGCTGAGGTACCACCCTGTATAAGGCGCAGCTGCTGGCCGCCATCGAGCGGCTCGGCCGCCGCCTGCCGCCCAACACGCTCGACCAGCTCGTGGACGAGCTCGGCGGCACCGACAACGTCGCTGAGGTACCACCCTGTATAAGGCGCAGCTGCTGGCCGCCATCGAGCGGCTCGGCCGCCGCCTGCCGCCCAACACGCTCGACCAGCTCGTGGACGAGCTCGGCGGCACCGACAACGTCGCTGAGGTACCACCCTGTATAAGGCGCAGCTGCTGGCCGCCATCGAGCGGCTCGGCCGCCGCCTGCCGCCCAACACGCTCGACCAGCTCGTGGACGAGCTCGGCGGCACCGACAACGTCGCTGAGGTACCACCCTGTATAAGGCGCAGCTGCTGGCCGGCGCCTGCCCCCCGACACCAGCCTGTATAAACATATGAAGTGTTGATTGACTGGAATAATGTATTGTATAGTAGAATGACTGAATGGTCAGTTCTTCCTTCCTTCTGCCATTCCGTTGAAGGATAAACAAAACCAAAAAGAAAATTATAGTTGATGAAGGCTCATAACGGTATAATGCGAGGAATCGAACCCGCGACCATTGGAAGTAAGGTAGTTGCTATACCGCTAGACCACCGAGGCCGTCAGTACAATAACAATAGTCTTGTTACTTTTCGGAGTACAAACATTGCTGTTTATTTTGGTTAATATTATATGATACTAAATGTAGCTCATGAATTCATGAATTCATTTAATAAAAACATGGACTATAGATAAATTCTAAACCTTTTTACAGATGACTGGTCGCAAGGGCCGTGTGGTGCAGACAGAGGATGGTCAGATACTGTACGAAAGCCGGTCTGAAGCGGATGTACCCCTCGAGACCCTCAACCTCACAGAGAAGCAGCGGTTTATGGATGGAGAGAAGGACGTGGCCATCATATCTGAGGCGGCCTCCAGCGGTATATCACTTCAGAGCGATAGAAGGTTCGTAAGGAACGCTTTATATGTTTATCCAAATAATACATTTCGTGAATAATATAACAATAATCTATACTAACACATTACAAGTGGGGCAAGTATTTGTAGCCGTTCCGAGGATTGCCACTTATAAGCGGGGCAGGTACTAGAACTCGTTCCGCACATTGCCGTTTAAAAGCGGGTAAGGTATTAGTACCCGTTTAAAATAAGTAATTTTAAGTGATATAAGGGAATAATAATAATTTATCAAATATATGTCGCAAAGAACGTAAAGTGAGATAGAAAAAATATCCTCAACTAGTTGGTCATAATGTGCTAATATTATAAAGTTTGTTTGAACGAGCTCATTTCAGAAACTACTGGTTCTAATAGAAAAATACTTTTTGTGTTGGGTAGTCCATTTGTCGAGGAAGGCTTTAAGTTATATAACACTACTCTACAATAGCAGCGACTCTGCAATGAAAAATATTGCAAAAGTTGGGAAATTGAAACGCAGATGAAATTGCGCGGGTCGGCTAGTCAATAATAATTCTTTAAAGAAAACTTGCTGTTTCTAAGTCGATAGTTAGAATAAGGCACTGGATATGATTAATCCTATGGGAATGGGTATAAAAATTTACAATAAGATACCAAAGGATATACTGGAATTGCCTTTAAATAAATTTAAAACATCAGTAAAATCATATTGACCTAAACCCATTACTCACTAAACAATTACTTACATGACAAATGCATTTCAAGCACGGGATTTTCATTTAATATTAGACATAGTACATCATGTTTTAAAAAGTGTTTCTTGCCAGTTCTTCTCTATGGAATCTTTATACTGAATAACAATTCTCACAGCGCCATCTCTAGTCCCAAGCTAAACAGAGGTTCTGTTATGTGTACTATATAACATAATAAATAGGAAACACCCAAATCAATACAAATAAAACAAATTCAAATTCAAATTCAAAAATCATTTATTCATGTAGGACATTTTAGCCGCTCATGAACGTCAAATTTTTACATTATAATTTTACTTTTTCCCTACCGTCCTAATATAATATAATAAATATTTATACCGTGCGAGGAATCGTGCCTGCGACGATTGGAAGTAAGACGATGTACTAACCGCTAGATCAGCCAGGCCGCTGACAATGCGAGGAATTACTTGATTTTTATTATTAGGAATAATTATCTGTTAGTAGATATAATATTATTAAGTATTTAGTTTGTTTCCAGAGCTAGAAACCAAAGGCGACGAGTGCACATTACGTTGGAGCTGCCGTGGTCGGCTGACAGAGCTATACAGCAGTTCGGTGAGTTATATTTTATATAAAAAAAATATGGTTGAGCGCAGTGATAACTGGCACGTCCGCCATACTCATGAACGAGTTCTGCTTGTTGGAATTGGTCCATTCTAATCACACTACGACTGATTATACTTGAATTCATATTTTGACTCAAATGAATTTGTGCTGTCATATTTACAATTTGTGTTTTTGGTCCTTCGAGCCGGTGGCATATAAATTGGTTTGTAGGTTGGTCGTAGCCAATTGCTTAGTAAATGTAGGCAAGAGAGAAATATCCACATTTACATATGCACATTTTAAATATGCGTTTTTTTGTCTTTCGAGCCGATGGCATATAACATTGTTTGTCGATGGGCTGAAGCCGAGCTTAAATGTCACTCTATTCTCCCAAATACGAATTTTAATGACTGTATAATTATAAACATGTACAACATTTATTTGAAAAGAATACGATCTGAGTTTCGCGTCAGATCTCCTCATCTCGAATTCCGGATTGACGGTAGATTTGACATATCATAAGAATCTGTAATAGACCTACATGAATAAAGATATTTTGAATTTGTGATGTGTGTGTGGCAGGTCGCACGCACCGGTCGAACCAGGTGAACGCCCCGGAGTATATGTTCCTGATCTCGGACTTGGCCGGGGAGCGGCGCTTCGCCTCCACCGTCGCCAAGCGGTTGGAATCACTCGGGGCCCTCACACACGGAGACCGCCGCGCCACAGAGACCAGGGACCTCTCCCAGTTCAACATCGACAACAAGTACGGTCAGTACCGACATATTTACTCACATTCAGGGGTGTCGCCTCACTAGATGGTAAAGTATTATTACTACTACAATTATTCAGGATATCTTTTATCTTAATAAAAAGGCAGACAACGTCGTAGGTCAAAGCTAGATGTCATAGTCGCGTGTTCATTCTTGAGGTACACGTCAAATTTATTTAAGACGGACTATATCCATGAAAAGGTAATAAACACAGGTACGCTTTTTCGCATTCATAAGATTTGTGAAGCGAAAGTATCTAATGTCTGATGAGTGAGAGGTATCGAGGGTTTTATGAGAAAAAATACGTAGATAAAAAAATTGCGCCTAATATGAGAGCGATATATAATAGAAAAAAACAAAAAGAGTATGTCAAAAAAATATGATTATAAAATTAAAAAATAATTTAAAAACTTATCAAGGATTTCGCTACAATTAGTATAGATTCAGAAAAATATTCTACAAATGAATGAGTAGCATGTAGTAAACGGCATGAAGTTAAAAATGTACGGTGTGCGCGGTCAGGTCGCACGGCGCTGGAGGCGGTGATGAAGGCGATCATGAAGTACGAGTCTCCGCTGGTGGCGGCGCCGCGCGACTACGCCGGGGACTTCTTCCAGGACGTCGCCAGCGCCCTCGTCGGCGTCGGGCTCATCGTCAACTCCGAGGCGGCCCCGGGCGTGCTCTCCCTCGACAAGGTACCGCTGGTCACACCTGGCCCGCTACTCACCTCCTTCAATATTAACAAACTGTCAATACGCACGAAGACACTGACTAAGACTAAAGGAAATCATGATGTCACATAATTTTCTCTATGATAGGCTGATTCATGTTTAAACATTAGCTTTTTCATTACGAGCGAGATTATATTTATTTTTCTTAAGGACGATTTTTTCATTTTTAAGAATATGGTATTAAATAATACAGATAAACCGAAATTTTCACCGTTCTATCGCCAGCTATTGATGATTAATGCTGAAGCTATAATTTAAAAATTTTATTAGAAATTTGGTTATATTGTAGAAATTGAAATGTCAAACAAAAGATAGTACATATCATTAATGTTTGAATTTTGTCCACAGGATTACAATAATATGTCAAAATTCCTGAACAGAATACTGGGCATGCCAGTGGATCTACAAAATAGGCTTTTCAAATATTTCACAGACACACTCACCGCTGTTATGGAGCAAGGTGAGTAATAATTATAACTATGTATAACTTGGGTCCTCTCCACTGTTTGCAGCATATCTTGTATTTTTATATATTTATATACAAGCTTACTCGTAAAAGAGATATATATCGAGCCGAAACCGAGGTAGTATAGCAAGATCTACAACAATTTAACTAAGGAACAAAGTAGAAAAGTAATTCTTTTTTTAATTAATCTTAATAAGAGATATATATCGAGCCGAAATCGAGGTAGTATAGCAAGATCTACAACAATTTAACTAAGGAACAAAGTAGAAAAGTAATTCTTTTTTTAATTAGTCTTAATAAGAGATATATATCGAGCCGAAACCGAGGTAGTATAGCAAGATCTACAACAATTTAACTAAGGAACAAAGTAGAAAAGTAATTCTTTTTATAATTAATCTTAATATGAACTGTGCACTCATGTGATTATTTTAGGTATGGGAAATAAGTAATAGTATGTCGAAGAAATGTCTCTTGGGATAAGTCCGCCATTGTACGCATTTATTTTTTAAGTGAATTATGTCCGTTTATATATAATGTCATTGTACAATAAAGTATTACAAAGTATGTAGAATATATGTCGCTTTGATTTTTATATACGAGTTTAATTCAATTCAATTCAAAATATATTTATTCACATAGGTCCAAAGCAGACACTTATGACAAGTCCAATTATAACCAATTTACAGTGTATATATATAAGATAGTGTAATAATTACACTATTACTTAGAGGATATTTTAACATAATAGCTTATATGTCGAGGAACAAATCTTACATAACAAAGACAACAAACAAAACAATTAAAATAAACATAAACAATAAATTTAACGCCACAATGTAATATCTACTCGGTTTGTAGATATTGGTTTCTGGACTGGTACATATACATTATGTAACTATTCGAATTTATATTTTTATCACTCATAACGGTTCGTTTATGTATTCTTTTAGGGAGATCAATGATATAATATTATTTACTATTCATATGGTAATTACCTATAGCTTATTGGTAATTTAGATCTGTAAAGTACAAATAAATAATAGTCTCAGTGCCATAAAAGGCAAACAAAAATATTCACGGTCTTCTCCACCCTCCGAAGGAATACGCCTTATATGTAGGGGCCTCGGGGTCCCTCAGCTGCGGCATTGTCTCCGCAAGCGACTACCTACAGATCAATGGAGTTGTGCTACTATTTTTGGTTGTGTTTTGTTAAAATTTGCGTGTTTGTGATGCAGCGAAGCGGAGTGGTCGATTCGACCTCGGTATCCTGGATCTCGGCAGTGCTGGTGAATGCGTGCGGCGCGTGCGCTGCGTTCGATTCCTACGGCGGCATGCTACCGGACGCGCACCGGTAGAACTACACACAGTGCATTCCGAGGTATGTGTTCTAACTTACACTGGGCACGAAAAAGATCGAGAATAGAAGAAAGAAATTTTATGTAAAAGCGTGAATCGAAAAGGAAAGTAAACACCTAAGAATTATTTCGATCACGTCAGCCCTAAACACAGACCCCGTAGCCCCTGTACGAAATGTGTATATCCATAGACGTGTGTATCTGTGGTATTAAGATAGCAAGTCAAAGTTATATAACAACCGTCTTTTTGGTAGGATGACTAAAAATATTTATTTAGTGCAGTTTATACAAATTTTCTTGCCTCTTATTTTTTATCAACCAAAATTATACCGTGAATAGTATTCACAGCGTACTTTTAACTGCAAGTGTGTGTTCCAGCGCGGCATGGAGTGGATGGAAGCGCTGGAGAAGTGTTCGGGCGGCGCCAACGCGCGAGACGGGTTCTACTTGTCGCAAGCCGCGCGCAACAACAAGTACACCGCCGTACTGTGCCTCGCTGCGCACTCGCACCTCGCCGCGCACAAGAAGGACAAACTCTCCAAGAAGGAGCAAATGTTCCAGCTGTACAGGTTTCCGAATACTTGCTTAATATACTTAGTATGTAAGGAGTTGAGCTGTGTAGTAATGCGACAACTTTTGGCGTTAAAATCCAAGTGGCCATCCTCATACCCAAGATACTAAATCTTGGGTATGAGGATGGACACGGATTTTTAGTAAAATAATAAAGGCGGACCACTATAATTGTAATTTCTTTATTTGAGCACCGGAAACGGACGACAACATTAAGGATACAAGCATGGAGTACAGAAATTATATTACTTCTTCTAAATCTTAGGTATCTGGATACTCAACATTTGGGACAGGTATATCGTGTTCAATAATCTTCTATTTAATGTGTTTTACTTTACCTTCCCAAATGTCATTAAAATTGTTCACATTTAGCATACAACTGTATTAAAAATAAAAAAAATATTAATGTAGGATGTTTTTAGCCGCTTATGAACGTCAAGTTTTTTGTATTAATATTTTTTTTCTACTGTCATTTGAAGTTACAGTGGGTCAGTGTAGGTAGTAATAAAAACATTATCTTAATCGTATTTGTAGACATTTTCTCGCACCGAGGTTATAAATATAAGCGAAACGCTCGCATTGCACTAACAGTTGGTTCGCAATTATATTGAGCAAATTATGTGTGCTACAAAGTTAATCAAACCAAGTCCATTTTAGCATCGTCGTGTATAGTCACTGCTATGATAATAATTTAACTTATTGTGGTGGTGTTATCAGGCCGAACACGGGGCTGCAGCTGCGGCTGGAGTCGCTGGCGGAGATTGAGAAGAAGTACAAGAAGGTGGAGAGCGGCGAAGCAGAGTCGTGGTGGCGCGCGCAGTACTCGGCCTCAGTGCGGGTCTGCAGCCACGCCTACTGGCGCGGGGCCTGCCGGGGGGCCAACGACTGCGAGGTACGCGCCCCTACGGGCTAGTGGCCTCCTCCATGTCAGCACTAAAAAAATGACACTGTAACAAAAAAAAACATAAAAAATTGTCCCAAGCATAGTAAGTTAGTTCCCGCACTAAGAGGCTTACAAACCAGCTATCATGGGGCCGGGCCCGGAGTTGATGCCGGGACTAGGGGCTTCGCCCCGACAGCGGTTCAGCCCACCGCTTTACTTCCGTGACAGTTCATTAACGATGAAATAGAGTTGGAGGTTATGACGGATGGTGACGGTGATGATGACGATGCGTGATGCGTGGTGTGGTGCAGGTGGGCCTGCGGCGGCGCACGTACCACGTGCTGTCGGGCTCGGTGCTGGCCGTGTGGGCGCGCGTGGAGGCCGTGCTGGCGGCTCGCAGCGCGCTCAACAAGATGCAGGTCGTGCGCATCAAGACCGACCTCGGCCTCAAGATCGTCGGTGAGTACGCGCGCTCATATTATACTTACACATACTCGGTTAAATACAAAAGTTACACTATTCAAAATGTACATTTCTTACAACACATCCTATTAAAGTTTTTTTTTTAAAGTTTAAACAAAAATTTACACAGAAGTATTGTATATCGTTTTAAAAGTATTTAGATAATGATTAAGACGGCGTGGTTAATTTAATTGACTTATATAAAAGGAGGCGATTCTAGCTTCTAATTTTGAAAAATGACATATTTCTATTTAATTAACGACATATACTCATACATCTGTAGGAAATAAGTCAGTTATTAAGTACACACACACACACACAGTTACTGGGACACAGTTACCTGGATACAACAAAATAATAATTGCGTTTAATAATGCCTAGTAAGACAAATTCAATATTGTCTACTAAACACTGCCGTGTCTAAACTGTGTCACCCCACCTTACATTTTCCTATTGTCATCTAGTATATAAGATCAATATTTTATGTACATATTGTCAGTCCATTATCATCTGTAATATACATCGTCTCAACCAACAACATCGTATCCTTCACCCGCAACATCAAGAATCATTACATAGTATAAAACAAAGTCGCTGTATAAATGCTAAATATAAAACTGAGTATGCTTAAACCTTTAAAACTACGCAACGTATTTTGAAGCTGTTTTTTTAATAGATAGAGTGATTCAAGAGGAAAGTTTATATGTATAAACATGTACATCCGTGCGAAGCCGTGGTGGGTAGCTAGTTCCTAAAAACACCGTTTACAAAAATGAATAGCATTCAATATATGATAATTTATTTCAGGCTACTAGGCCCATAGACCCATATTATAAATACGTTATATACTAACACTAGCATTTGCCCGCGGCTTTGCTCGCGTTTTTTTATCCCCTTGGGCGTGGAATTTATCAAAATCCTTTCTTAGGGGATGCCTACGTCATAGTAGCTTTATGCATGCAAAGTCTCAGCCCGATCGGTTTAAAATTGACAAAGTTTCATACAAACTTTCAACCCCTATTTTATCCCCTTGGGGGTAGAATTAAAATCCTTTCTTAGCGGATGCCTACGTCATAACATCTACCTGCATGCCAAATTTTAGCCCGATCCGTCCAGTGGTTTGGGCTGTGCGTTGATAGATCACTACGTCAGTCACCTTTGAGTTGTATATATTTAGATAGATACATATAAACTAATATTTAAAAACTTATTTTACTTTATATATCAAATTTGTCTGTGTGGTAATAATGAAGTATACACATAGACACGCCTGCGCTAACGGAATACGCTAGCGTGACCAATCGAGATCGATACTCTTAGCTCTGTATAAAGCTATTTTTGTGACAAATATAAACTTCAGGGAATATGTTAGTTGCATTTTTTAATGTATTTAACTTTATGCTTTCGTTATTGTTGGTCATAGGTTGCAACAGTCTAAATACATGCATAAATTACAACTAAGGTTGTTTCAAAGACAGATTGATCAAGTCCTTAAAACATTGGGCATAGCTATGCTCAAAAATAATTGGATTGTGAATCCAATTACTGTTTAGTGTCCACATATTAGTTTTAAGCATAAAGTGTATATAACATTTTCGTATGATGAGATATAATGATTGGCATATTATAATTACTTACCTTTATTTTCATTCCCATCTATCTATCTATATATCTTGGTTGGATATCGGTCTTTTCTTCATAAGTCAGAAATTAAATTGTCATTTTTTTTTGTGACGGCCAAATTCGTCGATTTTTAGGCTTTTATCAGCTACAGTAACCATTAATCGAATCTTTTAACACATTCTCTGCCAACAAGTTGTTTCATATAATATCAAAAAAATAAATATATATATTTAATAAATTATATAGTGATATGATTATTTAATTTACTTTCATGCATTTTTGTAGAAAATTATGAGGATATTTATGTGTCTGAATGGAAAGTTAAACTAGGTACACCGTGTCAGTCATCTGTGACTGACAAGGCGGTTGTTAAGAAAGAATTATTGATTGTATTTTCTTTTTCCTTAATCATTCAATCACTTATTATATTATATATTACAGACTATAAACAGATTCTTTAATAATAAATTGTCATTACATCCGCAGGTACAATGATTCCAAAGAATTGCGTAGAACCACTGAAGGAGGCGCTGTCGTCCGACGCAGTGTCCGTCAACGAGCAGAACTTCGACCAGGCGGACGCGCCGAAATGAGCGCTACATTCGTAACTATTAAGTCTAGATTAGCGCGGACCCCACTCACAGTTCCTCTATCTCTTTATTTGCGTGTGGCCGGGACCTGCGGGCCCCGGGGAGGCGAGGAGGCGAGGAATGGCCTTAGAACGGCGGCTCGTGCGTAGTCAATTACGGGCGAAGCGACGCGGTACGACTGATTTTTCTATAGCTGGCTGTTGGACGTCTACGACTGTTGTGATATTACCAATCATCTCATGTAGAGAAATAAAAACACGTAGAAATGTAAAATGGACGAGGTCCAGCAAGAAAAGGAAGTAGAAAATTAAAATGAATTGAATTTGTCTATGGTCTTTTTATTTCTCTAGCTGGACCGCGACCGTCGACGTGTTCAGATGCGACGTCGGTTGTGTGACGTGTATATTGATTTAAGTGTACTCAATGTGAGCTTTATGCATATGTGCATAAGTTGTTTTTTTAATTACCTTCACACTCGGTAGTATATAAAATTGTGACAGTTTTTATTTTTTAATTTGTTTCAATGGCAAAGGCTCGTAGGTATTCGGCTTCGGGCACGTTGTATACGAATCGAATTTTAATTTTTGTACAAATATCTAGTTATTTAATATCAAATTATACAAGAATTGTTTTTTTTTTAATTATTATAATTAACTTGATTCCAACTGTATATCTGTATGACATAATTTATAACTTAGTAATATGGCATATGTAACGATTAAGCGATGTATTGTATGATATACGCGTTAGAGAAAAGTGCAATAGAATCGCGGGCTGCGGGCTCGATTGTGGCGTATGTACCACAGTACCAATCTAAAACACTAAATGGAATCATTCCTTTATAGTCAATATTTGATTTTTTATACATATATCGCACTATGTCAAATGCAATAACTCCAAAATTGCAAATTTAAAGGAAAACGACTCTAATAGTGAAGCTTTAAAGTATGTTATTACAAAATCTTATATTTTAGTTAATGTAGTTTATTAAGCACCCTTATAAGTATAATTACGATTAAAGGGTGCATTTCAATAACTATATATAATAATTTCTTTAAGGAATTTAAAATGCTAGCCATATCGAAGTCCATATTCAATTATAGTTGTATTAATTTATAGGTTGCTAGGAACGTGGCAGATTTTCTGTACTCGTAGCATATATCACACCTACATTCTTGAAACCTATATACGTATATAATTAAACAAATCAAAATATTAAAAAATATTCATGTAGGACATTTTAGCCGCTTATGAACGTCAGGTTTTTGTATTATGAAGCCCATACACGATAACATAGTTGTATTCATTCATAGGTTGTTATCAACGTGGCAGATTTTTATTCTTCATAGCATACCACACCTTCAGTAAACAAATGAAATAAAAATTTATTTAGTCATGTAGGACATTTTAGCCGCTTATGAACGTCAAGTTTTTGTATTATAAAGTCCACACACCATAATACATTTGTATTAATTCATAGGTTGCTAGCAACCTGGCTGATTTTATCTTCATGACATGTCATAAGACATTAACTACCGTCGCCTATAAAAATGAATTAACGACAATAGAAACTGGTGATCGTTTGCCTACACTATCTACGGTTGATTTATTTACAGTTCAGTTCGCGGCGAACAACTTTAATGAGTTTTAAATAAGAAGAGAGAAGCGTAGAGAGTTATGTATGTAAAATTGTTTCTGCGAAGGTCACGTGGTATCGAAATGGTAGGTTATTCGCTGGTTACTGTAATGTTTACAAATAATTATTTATAGGCAAATTATCACTTCAGTGTAAAACGACGCTTGTAAAAACGACGACATGACGACGACTCAGTCCTTCACTTGTGGCCTGCTAGCATATACCACTAGTCAGACGGATGCACCATTTCATGTTCAATAATTTAAAAATATTTAAGAATCCTTAATATTAAGAGTGAATGTACTGCATAATAATATACAGACATTTATAATAACTACTAGCTGTACTCGCGACTTCATCCGCGGGGAATTCAACTTTATTTTTCTAAAATAAAAGTAGCCTAAGTTACTCCTTATTACATCAGCTACCCGCCAAAAAAGTCCCGTCAAAATCGGTCCAGCCATTTCAGAGACAGACAGTCAAAAATTGTAAAAATGTTATTTTGGTGAATGTACCGTATTCATATTCATATGCATGTTAAAAACTGTTATTTCAATATTACAAACAGACACTCCAATTTTATTTATATGTATAAATTTATATTGTGTGTATACTTCACAATAAATTTATTAGCATAGTAGAAAATATTTCAATACATGACTAACTCTTACCGTATGTTTGGAGTCGACTTTACTAGCACGTAATGCTTGCGCAAGGCACGTCTACACGAACATACATATATACTACTATATAATGTTATGTACGCATATATGTATATATTTATCCAAATACTAACCACCTCCAATACTGCGAATTAAGACGTAACACGTAGCTTATCATCCACAAGCCACACGAGTTCCTAGCCTATTAAATTATAGTTTTTAGGAAAACTCCATATTTTTAATCTAAGGATATCAAAATACCAAAAACATCTGAAAGGATTGCTTAAGTGGTGTTAGAAGGTATAATGAAGTACTGTTAGCAACAGTAAAAGGCGGAATTGGTACATAATACAAATCTGTTATGATTACACTTTGGGTCGTTATTACGACGTTGTATAAAGAATTTTATATTTATATATATTTTTTGCGTCTTTACTATGACAGTGTATCAAACATCTTAAAAAATATATGATTCCTGGTATTTTAGATTGGTACAGCCGGTCGTGCCAATTCTGTTGCGAGCATTACATAAAAATAAACTATTTCAAGTCACGCCCTTTATCTACATTTGTGTAGATAGACTAATATTGAAATGTCGTAATATAAACTATATTTTTCATTAACTTTCTTATTGATAAAAACCAAAGCTTATTATTGTAAAGAATGTTGTTATGTTTCTTTCTTTCGAATGAAAAAAAATAACGCGAAAGAAAAGGATAACTATGTTTTTATGATTAATTAGAATATAGTGCGATGGCTTGAATTTTGTGAACGCACCAGAATTGTCACAACTGATTATGTTAGGCGTTAGTCCTTAAATTGACACCTTATTTTACTGAAAAAAAAATAGTTTTTCTAATTTTAATTATAATATAAAACAAGTTTATGTAGAATATACAAAGTATAAAATCTCTGTAAATGTTATGCGATAGTCCAAATTAATACTGTTGAAATGTTCATACTAAATGCAGGTATAGTGTTATGGGATGCTAATGCCCATCACACGCGTCTCATGTTGTTCTTGTCTCAATGTCTTTAATTTTAGTGTATAAAGACAGAAAATAAATGTATATAATTATAAAATAAGGATAGTTTTATTTGTTTCGTGAATGATACAATAATATAGTACGACCCTTGCCTGACGGATAGTTCGTTCAGAAAAGTTTAAACCTGGGTTTGTCGTTATTTCGCTCCCGTTGGAATTTAATGGAATTAGAATGAAAGGGAATTGATTAAACTGAATTATATAATTAGTTTTTTTTTTTAATAATAACAAACAGAATTTATATTATTTGGAAAATATTAACTAGATATCTTGTGCGAATTAAATAACTATATGACCACGAAACGTCTTATAATACTCAGTTATTATGGGATACAGTTACCTATATACAACAATATAATAATGGCTAGTTAGACAAATTCAATATTGTCTACTAAGCACTGCCGTGTCTAAACTGTGTCACCCCATCTTACATTTTCCTATTTATATATTAAGATCAATATTTTTATGTACAATTTGTCAGGTTATTATCATGTGTAATGTACATCGTCTAAACCGACAACATCGTGTTATTACCCCGCAACAGTTATTATTATAGCTGTTTTGCAAAAGCAATGATCAGATAATCATTCATATAGGTAATAGCTTCATCAGCATCAATGTGTTCAACTGCCCTAGTTCATAATTATGTAATGATGTAAATAAGAAATCACTTGGGAAATTAAAATAAATTACCATGTATAACGCAACTAAAATAATGTGAATTTTCAAATTTTTGGCGCTAAATCAGCGTTTTATTATTAATAAAACTTCTTAGTTGTTCAGTTTAGTTATTATTCTTAAAAAGCCGCAGAGTATCCTTTATTTGTCTCTCAAATGGTTCATATTAAAAAGTTATTAATATTATTATAAAAGTAAATTTATTTAACAGTACATTAGGATGAAGAGGACAGAATCTTTAAACCTAAACAATTCTTTATGGTAAGTATACAAAAACACGAAGAATCAAAACGCATTTGACATTGACAATTGCATCTGACAACGGTTGACACCTGACATTCATGAATTATGAATGAAACATTTGTAATTTATTTCAGGAAGGAAGGAAATGTCAGAGGCTATAATTCCTTCAGTGTAAACATTTATATTATATTTTATAACACAAAATCATTAGTGAATACAAAAGATGACTGATAAAGAGATCACATTAGAGGATTTAGAGGAGACGGTATGTGTATTACTTATTATGGAGACAATATAGTTAAATAGTGAATCTGGAAATTGGGTCAGTACGCCGCGCCGCTACCATAAATAATAAACTATTTTAATACCTACAGCTATATAGAGTTTGAATAGTAAATGTATCAGGCCCTGACCCTGCCATTCAACCCTTGATAAATGTCATTCGAAGCATTTTATAAAACTATCAAAGAAATTATTAGTATAAGATCCAACAGTATTTCCTTGAAAATGGGCGTACATACTAATATATTAGAAGTTAATAAAACCTTTCAATTATATTACACTGATGTCTGTATGAAGTTGAATTGCCGGATATAAATTGTTTATGTGATCAAATTAAATATAAACAATTAATATATTAATTATATACTTTGTATAAAGTAATATACCTTACTTTCGAACATAATCCAATGAAAATACATACCAAAATCTCTCGATCGAACTAGTTGCCGAATTGTAAAAAAACAATAATTAATATTACATTGTTTAATTCTAATGATATTGTAAACTTAATTAATGAAGTAAATTCTGGAAAATAACACCTAAGTCTATGAAATATGTATAAAAGTATAGTGTAAGTAAGTAATAAGTGAAGTAAATATTACAAAAAACATGTACAAACAACATTATGCCTCATAATAATATAAAATTATATATAAAAAAATATAAAATTATAAATATAAAATTATATTACAGGAGAATTTTAGATATTACATATATCTAAAATTCTCCTGTCCAGTGTTTGTAACGAACCTCCTCTGAAATGGTTTGATCAACTCTTATGAAATGTTGTATGTATATTCAATAGGACTGAAAGTGTACATTCAATAGGGCTGAAAGTAGAATATAAAAAAAATGTATACCTCTAAGTGATAAAGAGTGATTTACACCAAAATATTTTGTATTCAAACCAGAGCAGAGAGCCAGAGCTTTGCCTTATGGGTACTAGACATTCCTAAATATATTTTTTGCACATATATTCATAATATATACAATAAACACCAAGACCAATACAAATAATCATACTTATTAATGCCAATATTTGTATTGTTTGAGCATCAAACCCACAACTGTCAAAATTAAGGTTAATTGCACTGAACTGCTAGTTCATAATATTATAACTAAACTAGCTACCCAGGACATGTTTTATACATATAAACCATCCTCTTGAATCATTACTAAAAATCTATTTCTAAAAACTGCATTAAAATCTGTTGCATAGTTCAAAAGATCTAAGCAAACAGACAGCCAAAGCTACTTTGTTTTCTACTATGTAAATATTAACTCATTAAATAATCAATATGATCCATAAACAGGTGAAGCAAACAGATGAACAACTGGACATGATGGAGTGGAAAATGGATGGTGTGGAGGGGGAACTAGTGGAGCCCATAAGCACACAGGACATGTGTGTCATCAACCTGCTCAAATCGGTCTCAGAGGTGATACCACACTTTCTATTGTTCTTACACTCTGCTGGACAAATAATGTTACTAAAATAAATAATAATTAAAAAAAAATTGGATTGTCACCATACCATGAAATTATTTTATTCTTCTATTAACATACATAATACATTAATACAAACAATTACAAAAAACAATCATTGTAATCCAATGCAACACATTGAGGCAGCGTACCCAAAATACTGGCAGCGTTGCCTCTTTGAATGGCCATGCTTAGCCTGTGAGCAAAGTAGCTACCATCTCTCAGGTCACAAGCAACCTCGATGAGCTGCGCTGAAATATATGTCAAAATTTTATTCTTGAGGTTTGATGTAATCAAATCTGCTAATAGTCTGGAAGACTGATTTCATGATTAAGTAAAATAGAAAAAAAGTTCTTGAGGTAGACTTTGGAAGAAGTCATTTGCTTGAGTAATTTAGTCTCCCTTATTTCAACAATCAAGCAGTTTGCATCATAAGCTCTATTTTGGCTGAAGAGTGAGTTAATGTAGTGAAATTACAGGATAAGGGGTGTAACATCTGAGTGCTTAGGAATATGTCAAGCTGTGGCAAGAACGACGCAGTTTCAAAAGACATCTAGTTTGTGCCATATAATTAAGTGTTGCAACTTTTTATATGCAATCATTGACTTTGTACTTCATTTTGAATATAAATTAAATTTAAATAATAAATTAAAGACAATTTTTTTTTCAAGATTTCATAGCACGGTGACAATGTCAACAGAAAGTTATATTCCAGTATCAGGTAGTAAGTAAGTAAGCCTTACAAAACCTCAAATTTGAGTTTGATTTATAATAGCAATAATAAATTTGATAATTTCTACTTACAATTTTATGGTGATGTAAAAATGTGATAATAAATTGAAGAAGCACTAGTAGGTTATTATAATCAATTGCTTACCTAAATAGAAAAGAAAGAATGTAAATAAGTTTATTTGGTACACATAACAATAAAAAACACAGATGAATGTGTTATGTTTAGATATTATTTTCAATTAAATATTTATTAGTAGATATAATTAATTACATGGTAAATATACAATAAAAAAAAACATAAAAGTTAATTGCTAAGATTGTCCCGTAAAGTACCTGGCTTAAAGGAAATCCTTTGCGCCAGATACAATCGGTATGTGTTATGTTAATTACAATAATAACAACAGAACAATGCATCTGATTGTTTAATTCTCTTATTTAGCATTATAAAAATAATAGTCGAAGATACGGTCATAAAATATATACTGTGGGGTATATATATTTCGACATTTCTCTGATACACTTTACTTGCGTGTAATACTTAATATCTGAGGTCTTGGCAAACATATCTATACCTCACTTTTCACTAGTCACGTTATGTTTAAATATAAAAACAATTAAAAGTATTGTAGGTGTGCTATGCACACACACCTACAGTAATAATACAAGTAGATTAAATTACATCGCGTTGCATAGCGCACCTACTACACGTCCCTCCCCGTTCAGATATACGATGTAGTACCATATTGTCGTAATACAATCGTGATAAAATATCCTGTGTAAAGGATATTTAAGGTTATTGTATTTTGTAAAGTTCACGACAATTATGACAAGTGTGTACATAGAATCTACAGTATATTATATGCACTTAAAGAAAGCTAGACAATATCTACCTATTAGACTTATGCTTTTTAATGCTTTCCAATCCTGGAAGATAGTTAACACAATTAAGTAAAGTGTATATTATTTACCACTATATGCTTTGGATTGCTTGCTTAAGCAAGCTACCCATTTACGATTTATAAATTTACATATTATATATTACGTTAATAATATACTAACATAAAATAACAGATGTAGTTATGTATTTCTTATTCCGTATCTTAGACCATAAGTTTTAATTGTATTATTATTAATAGATCAATATTGCTTACGCTTATTTATTCTAATAACGCTATTAAAAAGTACAAGGCATTAACATAGCAAAAAATATGTGTAAAATTAATAATAATATCACCTATATAAGTTTGAGGACCTATAAAAATTATTAATGTTTATTTTTCAGCCCCTTGCGTAATTGTGTTGAAAAAAAGGTCAGAAACATACTAGTGTACCCATGGTCATGTTGCTTACAGCTGGTGATTTCTCGTTTACTTGTATATAAAACATTGCTTTTTTCAAAGTTCTATTAAAAATATTTATTTTGTTTATTTCAACAATATTAGAATTAATTAGAAATTATTTATTATTAATTTCTGTTTTACACTAAGCTTCAATTCTTAGTTATATATGCATTGATATAATTTTGTTTAATTCCGCTGCTATTAATATGTGTGATGGTAGTGTAATTAAACAAAAAATAATATTAATGCATTATTTAAAGGAATGGACATTCATAAAATAACATCTAACTCAACAAAATAAAGACATAATATATTTTATTCCTACTGTTTATCTTTCTATGGAACAGTTTGTAATAAATCTCATTTAAAACAAATTGAAACATACAGTATTACGATTAAGGACTATTTCACTGTAGCGATTGCGAACCGTATAACTTAGTATACATATGCAACTCTCAAACCATTAATAAAAAAAAACTTATTGATAATTGAGAGTGATTAGCAAAGTTCCAGGTTTTATGACAGCATTTGAATAGTTCGAAATAGAAAAACATGTACTTCGCGTATTATAAGATTACTAGCTACTCGCCCCGGCTTCGCACGTACATGTATTATATATATAAACCTTCCTCTTGAATCACTCTATCTATTAAACAAAACCGCTTCAAAATCTGTTGCGTAGTTGTAAAGATTTAAGCATACATAGGGACGGACAGACAGCGACACCGACTTTTTTTTATACTATGTAATGGTTTATAAGCTTAGTCTTTCAGTGGTTTACTATTTCGACATAGTTCCTAAAAGGCTAGGTTCGAATTCTGACCGACACCAAATATAAAACCGATAGCCAACCAAATTGATCCAAGGACGGTAGTAAAGCTCGACCTCTGCCACTTTAGATTCAAATTTATTACGTATTGGGGCATATCAGATGATACCTTGATATCTATATTTGCAGCCGTAAAGGTGTATATTATATTTTTTTTTATTTAATTAATATAAAAGATTAATATGGGATAGTGAAAAATGAAAAATTACCAGCTGTAACTGTCATGCTTATTGATATTAGCTAAAATCCAAGGCTTAAATGTGCTACAAATTTAAGCCTTATAAACCCCTCTGAACCGGGCCGGTGTCGCTTCATCAGTAAAGCTTCAGTATATGCGTTGCGAGAGCGCCAATGGCCACACACTGTCGACTAGTCGCCGAGTATGACGTTCATCATACTAATTGCAAACAAAGTATTCATAAAAATAATGTATGACCGCGGTAGACTGTACAAAGCCATCTGCTACATGCTCACTAATTTCTAGCGACAAGTAGCTTGATTTGTAAGATGTGTCATGGTTGAAGGAATGCACCGTGTATCATGAACTATATCATCACTTCACGAGTTGATGTCAATGATGATGTTCTGGCATGCGGGTGGCGGTTCCACCATACCATCAGATGGGGCGTTAGCTTCTTTCCCATCACATAAATAAAAGGTTACAGGCTCTAAGTCTTTCACACCACATTGTTAACACATCACGAGTACCAAGTACGTCACATGTGTACGTGAACGCTGACGCAGTTCACCATATGTACCTATATTGCGTTTCACACATACCATCAGGTGGGTCGACAGTTTTCCATGCCATACTTGTTTTCCAATCCAGTAACATTAATAAACAGTTTTTTTGTTATTGCGCACTAAATAATGTCCCCTCCGATCGATCCCCGTGCAATTCAAACGGGGGAAATTACGACGGCCTAAGCCGGAGTTCGAACCCCTAGCGGGGCCTTCAGCCACTCCTTATATCCTTCTGCGAGTTTGAAGTGCCATCTGCACTCGTTCCCTATAGTTCGGTGAAGCTGTAAAAGCTAGCCTCGGCCGACAGTATTAGAGTAGTCCGAAAAAAAACTAAATAATTAGAAATAAAAATAACAATTTTTAATGTACTTGACGTAAAAGCTTTATTGTCCAACATTTGCATAGAGTAAATAAAAAAATACCATAAAAGGATAAGAATAATAGTAATATGAAAAGGCTTTGTACAACGTCCTACGGTGTGATTCCCGGCGATTAGTGGACAGTCATAGATGGCTATCGTTTTGTAACATATTTATGTATTTTTTAACATACAAGCTTTTATTTAAGTTTCTCTTATATTCCTCTCTTTAGACATATTTATTAATATTCATATGATACTTCAGATATGGTATGATCATATCACATTGTGCACAAATTATTCTCGACATTAGCATGCTGAAGGACAAAGTATTTTAATGTTGTACTGTTTATTAATACGACATGTCCATTGATTTTAATGGATCTCAATATAGAAATCTAGTCCATTTCTTCTCATTTGCATTATGCATACACATGTTGACAAGGCGTTATACGAGCAGTTCGCAAACAGAACGGACTTGTATCATCATCAAATACAACAAAAATCCAAAATTATCGCAATTTAGTCCAACCTCTTAAAAGGTAAATATTACAGAGTAATAACTAAAAAAATTTCAAACGTATTTGAAAGGATTTTGTTATGCTGAGAATAAAGTCACATAATCCGTGCAATCAAATTCAGTAAGGGTAAATCAAAAAGGTTTTAAAAATTATATGTTTTTATTGAAATTGCGAGTTGTATGAAAAGTTTTGTTGTAGTTATGGATTTTGTATAAATATACATAGGTATGGATATGTCTAGTAAGACTATAAATTAAATACAAACTTCGCGTTCGGCTATTTATGTAACAAAACGCCAAAGTTTAGTGTTGCCAGAGAGAACCAAGCATTACGTGTCTTACTTACTTAAGCAAATTTTTATACATTTGCTTAAGTAAGTAATGTGAATTTCTCTCTATAAAACATAATATCTTTGGTAAGAATTCTATGTTCAAGTAATTACTTCATTAAGAAGTGATCAAGCAACAAGTAATTACTCGTTTATAAATACGAGTGTTAATGTTAGATTACTCGCCATTAGAATAGAATAGAATAGAATAGAAAATCATTTATTCAAATAAACTTAATTTAAGCACTTTTGAATAGTCATAACAATTTGTTTTTGTAACCGTCCGCTCCTCTCCTAATATTTGAGAAATAAAAAATATTGACACATGTTTAGCGCTTCGGACATTACACAAACCTTCAGTCGAGTAAAATAAATAAACATTTTAGTCGACAGCTTACATGTATGTCAGGGGCGGATTGTGAATTTGTAGGCCTCTAGGCTAAATCTACTTAAGGGCCTACCTAATTATATTACTCAACTAAAAAATACATTGACCAAAAACAGGCGACTAGAAATTTCGTTCCTTTCGATAGACGTGCCCTTGCATGTGCTGATTGATCTCAGGGTTGCCAACCTTATGATAGGTTTTTTAATATTCTAGATATTTTTATATTCTAAATATCGTTGCAGTGGGGGACTGGCCCTTTGTATCCCCGGGGTCCTGAGCTGCAGCCCAAAAAGCCCTTAGGTAGTTCCGCCCCTGATGTATGTCGTACTTTGTATACTGATTAGGTTCAAACGCACCCTCTTTAGAGAGCTCAGGCTGGATCTTCGGGGCGAGCCCCTTTGCCCCGGCATCAACACCAGGGATTACATTAAAATATTTAATTACTTAAGATCCAGTGATATATTTAGGGATTTTTAAAAATTACTCCTTGATTTTTTTAAAGTTTTTCTTCCAAATATGTCAGTACTTTGTGTTGCAGCGAACGCTAAAGTCGATATCAAAGGACGCCATCTTCAAAACATTAGTAGTTGTAGTAAAATACAGTAAAATTCACACAAGTAGATGTCACAGTTTCAAGTTATTAATTTTAATAACAGTAGTCCATAAGGTGTGCTAATGTCGAGTTAGTGTATGTAGGTTTTTGTTTTTACACGGAGCATTTCTCAGGTATGTTAATTTCTTATGCATTGCTGTATTGTGACTGCAAGAAATGCAAGCTAATTCATAAAACCTAATATCTAACATTATTATAACCATATAATAGGAATTAAGTAACTTTAAATTGATTTATTACATCCGGAAATCCGGATGTTTTGTCTAGGCTTTGTAAGACCGTCTCGCCTCGCAATGAGACCTGTATTAACATATTTATAGTTTGAAAGAACATAGATTTTAAACATAATATAGCTAAAACCTATTTGAACTAGTTCTTTTTTAATTTTCGCTTTTAGTCCACATTACAAATATTTAATATATATGTAATTATATGGTAAATAAATTTACCTCTCTGCCTATTTAAATTAACCACTGCTAGTACAACCTAGTCGAAACATCGAGAGATGTAAAGACCTTTATTTACCACTACCAATAAAGGTTTAGAATTTACTTTATGAATAATCTATCTTTATTTACCAATATAGGTATTTATTTACCTACTTAATAATCTTTTTCATTATAATATTTTGTTACTTTTTCCTAATTAAGAAATTGCATCGAAAGCAAAATGACAAAACAGTTTTATGTAATATGTAAAGATAGCTGTGTATTTATAAAACATTTTTAGCATCAATGTTTTTGTTCAAGAAATTTTCAATCTTAGAAATGCTCCGTCATTATTTCAAATCATCTCATGTTCTTCTTAATTTACATATCATAACCTGTTTGCATCAATAACCGGTTTCTCCAGGTACGTTCGGACTACCAACAGTTACGCCGCGAGCTGGTTGAGGTGCAAGCACTGCAGAGGGAGCTCTCCTCGAGGCTCCGCGCGCAGTTACGTCTCGTTCACGGCAAGTTCGCGCGTCTGAGGCAGAGACTAGCGGCAGCGTCCCCGCCCCGTTGAACATCCTCAACCACTTCCCATGCCTGCCTGAAATCCTGGTCATGGCAGCTCATGCTTTTGAAACAATTTGCCTTTGGAAAGCTCAAATTAAACGTCATGAGTTTGTATTTACCAGATTGAAATTGTTTTGATATAACAGCGTTGGTCGAAATGGCATGGGAAGATAATGTAAGTATGAGAAATGTTATCCTCCATTCATAAAAAAAAAATTACAAGATGCGTACTTAATTACAAAATGTTATAACTCAGAAAAAATATTTTTGGAAATCAACTCTAAAGCTTTAGTTTTAAAGTAGATTTCCTCCTGATTCTGACTTAATTACTTATTATTTTATTATTCAGCGTGGGAAATTAATTTCAATTGTTAGTGTGTTTTGTCACTGTCTATAAAACGAACAAAATAATGGGAGAAAAGGACAAAACATTTTAATAGTTAACCTTTATGGTACATTTGTTTTTTATGAATAGAGGTCTTAGTATATATTTAAAAATAGCTCAACATAGTGCCCCAACCCGTAGACGGAACGTGTACCTAATAATATAAAGAAACTACGAACATAATGTGCCAATGTATAGAAATTAATACATCTAATTTCTAATATTTAATTAGCTAATATAACACAAGGTTAGAGAAATTCTATTGTACCTCAATGTTTGAGTGAGATATATATAATTTGTTAATATTTCAAGTTGTTTTTAAACTGTCGTGTTTAATAGACATAGAGCGGAGCGAAGTGATCTTAGAGATGAGATTTGCACTCTTTGTAAAGATACCTCGGAAAGGTTTGATCGATCGAGACCAATATTTTATAGAAGGTCGACCGTCGGGCGTCCATTGTTTACCACTCAAAAAAATTCCCATCGGTCAAGGTCGACTTTTTAAGAATAAACGCGCTCCGCTCAACATGTGACCTGGTGTGTAAACAACACACAGGTAATAAACCTAATTTATATGGTTATTGTCTTAACACGAATAATTTTATGGTAAATAAAAGTATTTACCTTTCGACATTTCGAATAGGTTGCACCAGCTGTGGTCAGGTAAATACTCTTATTTATTGAACCGCTGCAATAAATCAGGGTATTTACCTGAGCTGTGTACGATAAACTGATGTACCTGATGAGTGAGAGGTATTGAAGGTTTCTTGAGAAAAAATAATGATAATTAGAAAATGAGGCTAATCCGACAACGATATTGACTAGATTGTTACAAAAGATTCTGTCAAAAAAAAATGTTTATAAAATATAAAAAAATATTTTTATTTTATAAACATTTTTTTTTTAATATTTTTTAATATTTATAATTTCTTTTAATAAAATTCATCAGAGTTCATTCTCCATTTACCATAAAATGATTCATGATAAGTCTCGGTTAACAATATAAAAAGTATTTTAATAGTATGAGATGAGAAATTTGGAAATTTAATAAAGAGGAGGGCATGAAAAGGAGTGACTGAAACTTCGACTTTACCAAAATTTAAATTCACGAAATTATGTTTGTCTTTATTGTTTTATTAAAATTTGTAATAATAAAACTATTGTAAACTAAATGATTATCTTAAGGATGTTATATCAGGTTATAATGGAGTCACATCATATATGCAGAGTGGAATCTTTTCAGCCAGTGCTCATTATGAAATAATGTATTATTGAAGTCGGTTTTAGAACGATGTACGAACTTATAGAAATAATATTATTTAAATTTTGTAATCCCATAAATATTTGTACAATGTAAGTTCTAGAGAAGTGTAATGTTGCTGAATACTATAGCAATAACGGATGTGTATGTATAATGAATGGTGAGATAAACATTATCCCAATCGTTGAATTCAATAGTGAAGTTTACAGTAAGTCTATAACGAACTCGCCCATAGACAATTTAACAAGCTTATGCTTTTTTTAGTTAAACGTTAATATTTAGCTATAAATTAAAGCAACATCAGAGTATCACTGAAGATAATGGCTGTGTGGGCTGTACCTTTTGCCTTTCACAGCGTAGGGTAACTATAAAAAATAAGTAACGAACTGCTTATAACACCTGCTACATAATTTATAGCTGAATATTTAGTGTATTTTTAGCGCTGGTCTATTAATGGCCAGACACATCCAGTGGGCTTTTTTTTAATAATTTATAAAAAAGTATATATAAAACAATTACTGTTTTGACTTATTTTTTTATAATGTAATTGGTTAAGAACCAAGCAAATTAAGTTTTTTTTTAATTTGCTTCTAGTCGTGAAACATGACTGTTTAGTTTATAGTAAATTTTTTTTTAATTCTTCATTTCACTAAATTGTAAGTCGGTGCTAAACGAAAGGTTGTTCTAAATGAAATGCAGTCTTGAAAAAGTATTATATTTGATATATATTAGTCATTTTGATTGGTTCAATTTTATTTGCCGTCATATCGTAATTTCTTACGTATTCAATAATTCTATTACATTCGATGAACAAATCTACGACACAGAAGATAGAGCTGTTTTTTGCACGAATACAGGCAGGAATTTGACGTGCCGTAAACTTTCCGAATGGCCAATAAAGTGACGTCAATTGGAGAATAATACAAGCGTCTGAATCGAATTTACGTGTGTGCTAAATTATTGATAATAATCGAAAGTAGAGAGTATAGTGATGTTGGTAGGGCTCTATTCTTTCGCATAGTCTGTGGTCGGAACACTATATTGCTTGTAGCCATATTATTTGCATTTATTAGCCTATAATTTAGTATTTGAAATGTGGTCATAATTTATATACGGTCGACGTTTTAAAAAATAAACGTACATTTTTTATAGTTTTGGAACTGGAACTTTATGGAACGCGTTTGAAATTCGAATTAGAACAAAAAACGCATTTACCAACCAATACCAATAATACCAATTTATACGGAATCTATGGACCATTTCTGTTGGTCGATAGAAATGGTATTGATACAAAAATACTGACTTCTAAATGATTTGCAAGATCTATGTCTAAAAAATATCAAAGAAATTTATAGAATAACATACAGAGGTATCATATTTCGTTTGAAAAGGCGCCGAGCTACTCTATGCTGATTTTGACGTTTTATCGTGCTTGATTGTAAATCCAACATGTTTTGACTAAATATCAACCAATCAATTGCGTCTATGGGAAATTACAATAAAATACAAGATAAAAACAATAATGTGCCAATTTATAATGGGTTCCAAAAAATATGGTATGAATTTTCAAAATAGAAATTTTAATAGAAGAAAATTAAATTGTGACCATGTTTTAAAAAAACATTAGTTTGTGTAAGGCTCGTTTGGAGCTGTATATCATAGCGTAGTGAGGTAGTGAGTGCACATATCACTTGCATGTCGCTTACTTGACGTTTTAATGAGGGCAGTAGCGGTAGTTGGCGCGAAAAAGAAAGAAATGGCGCGAAAAGATCATACCGGAAGTGTATATTTTGCTGGAAATTTAAAAGTTTTAAAGTTATGTGCTTAATTATGGTATACCATAAAGTACTTATCTCTTTCTGTATGATCTGTATATTGGTGATTGAACAGCGTTCAGTGCCTCTGAAGTTATATCCCTTATATAATAACAAATTTCCCGGAAAGCCATTTTAAATATTGATGTTTTGGTCTTTTTCTTACATATGAATATTATTACTGGTAAGAACAGGACAAAACAAGAAGGGATCGATTTTCTCTTGTATTGTTATTATATTATACTAAAGGTTGAAACAGAACTTTCAAAAGATATTTGTGTAATGGAAGATACAGTATTAGTAATGGTGTTTAATTAGTAATTAGAAACACTATTACTATTTTGCAAATAAAGTAAATATAGTTGTCTATGATACATACTAGGAAAAAAACGTTTTGGCGCGAAACATAACGGCCAATCACCAATATACAATATAACCTCTATCGAAATCAATTTTGCCTCGTTAATTAGTCAAAAACTTAGTGTTTAAGGGAAATACATGTCTGAAACTATGTCTAAGTCTAAATTAACAAGTATACCTGATTTTTAGACTATATAGGTAGTTATAGTCCCCTGTATGTTTTTTGATATGTTTTATAGCGGACCTGTTTTACGGTGATGACTTGATATTTATGGGAGTTTCGAGAGAAAATGGAAACGAAAGTCAAATAGTTATTTTAGGTCTTATATAATGATAGTTTTAAGGTGTTAAATCGCACACGTTTATTATCTAGTTATTATATTTACTGTTTCCTTGCAGAGACGTTAATTTGGAAAACGTAATAAATATATTTTAAATAAATATATTATAGAATGCGTTGTTGTTTTTAAATTGTCTACAATATTGCTCAGTTTTCGTGTCAAAGTATTAAACAAATGTGTTAAAAGTATTTTGAGTTTAAGATCGTTTGTCATTGCCAAATTTTGTATTATCCAGTGCCATTCAAACATGAACCGTATAGGTTATACTTTTGTTTTTTAACTGCACAGATAATACACATGTTGGCAATGTCACAGATACTGAACGTTGTGGAATGTATATTATATTTAAATTAATTTGATATTTAATATTTTGTGATTTATATTCTAAATTAAATTTATAAAAAACGATGTATGCACCGTGTATTATCGCAACGTCATATATAGCCACCGAAACGGTCTACACACGACCCTACTATCGGGCGAATAGGCAAATCGGAACCCGATGTAACGCCAGTGTGCCCGCAGCCCGATTTTATCCCCACCACTGCGTCAACCATTGTTGATTTTAGTGTAGTGTGTAGATCGTTTAAATAAGTAATAATCCCAGTTTTAATGTATATAAATATAATATAACTATTCAAGCACGTCCAATTCTACAGCACATACTGTTTAATATAAAGTTTACATTTGTATGCTTCTACGCGACGGTCGTTGTCTGTAGTATCGTTGAAGGAACAATTACATTCATTTAAAAAAATAAGTAATGAACGATAATTTTGTGGGCAACTAATTTAAAATTTATTTTATGATTGTTAATTCAATATTGAAGTCTCACAGTCTACGTTGTCTTTAAAATATAAACTGGTAAACAATTTTCAATATTTATGAAACATAACAAATATCATAAAAATCGTCCTATTTTTATGATGTTTATTACGTTGGATTCGTTTTTTAATTATAAGTGTAACTGACTCTACTTTGATTTATTTATATTGATTATTTAAAAGGAGCTTTTATAACTCCTTTTAAATCATCCTTGGAAATTATTAACTTATTAAGCTGGTAGTAAAAAAACTAATTTAATTTTGAAAATATAATTGGAAACTTCCAAAGCCAAATATTAAGCCAATTTCTTATTAGATTTATATAGCTGATACCACAATACAATTTTTAAATAGTCTGTAGTAATATTATAAAGTTGTTGTGCTTCTTTGTTTGAACGTCTTAGAATCTAAGAAACTATTGCTTTGGATTTAAAAAATCTTTTAATGTTGAATAGTTGTCATTTCACAGTTTTCGTGGATAGTTATAGGCTCTACAACATCACACCACGACTAATTGAAGCGGACCATCAAAGAGTAAAGGAAAAACAGGTTAAGTTCTTACATTCTCTTTCCCAGTATCTTGTGGGAAGCAGATGTTTGTGCGCCTAATCATTCATAAATATTGAAAATTGTCAGTTAATGGTAAATGTGATGTGCATAGTTCATGTACATAGGCCAATTACCATTAAATAGGACGAGCTTGTTTCCAGTTACCTAAATAAAAAAAAGCAGACGTGAGACTTCGAGCTTAATCAAACAATATTGACTTTGTAGGGCGTCTCCATTTGTTTCACTGCCATCTCGTACGTTCAAACAAG